TACTGTGCCAAATTGGCAAACACTGCCACCTACTGGCTGAATCCTTTGAGACCTGATTTGTCTTTTTATTCGTTTATAATGCACAATACCAAAACCACAAAAGCACACCATAGGAAAAATAGGGAGGGGAGGAAACGGATGGGAAACGTTGACAGTAAGGAAACACACACACACACACACACACACACACACACACACACACACACACACACACACACACACAATCTTTTTCCAAACAGAGGCCGAGAGCCAAGATCACACAAAGTATGAGTACCCACTTTATCCAGCGCTGGCGAGGCCGCACCCGGAATACCGCAACCAATTTGGGTCCCCACAATCACAAAAAAAGACGTTGAGCGTTTTTGGAAACAGTTCAGAGAAGAGCAGCTAAGAGGATCCGAGGCCCGGAGACTAAAACTTAACGAAGAACGACTGCGGGACTTGGGGTTTGGCCGGTCTAAAGCAGAGAAGAAATAGGGGAGAGATGATAGTAGTTATTCCAGTATTTGGGGGGGCTGTCACAAAAAAGAGGAGGGGGGGTCAAACTATTCTCCAGAGCCCCAGAGGGCAGGAGGAGAAACAAGGGTTGGAAACGGATCAAAGACAGAAGCACCCTGGAATGAAGGAGAAACTTCCTGACAAGTGACATGATAGCGTTTCACTGGTCTGAAATGGTGTAGCTTCTCTTGAGGGCTGGACTAGATGACCTCCGAGGTCCCGTCCAGCTCTGTCATTCTGCAAGGGTCTCCTGCCTGAGCAAGGGGCTGGACTGGATGACCTTGGAGGTCCCTTCCAGCTCTGTCATTCTGTAAGGGTCTCCTGATTGAGCTGGAGGTTGGACTAGATGACCTCCAAGGTCCCTTCCACGTCTGTCATTCTGTAAAGGTCTCCTGCTTGAGCAGGGGGCTAGCAGGTCCCTTCCAGCTCTGTAATTCTGCAAGGGTCTCCTGTTTGAACTGGGGGTTGGACTGGATGACCTCGGAGGTGCCTTCCAGCTCTGTAATTCTGTAAGGGTCTCCTGATTGAGCTGGAGGTTGGACTAGATGACCTCCAAGGTCCCTTCCACGTCTGTCATTCTGTAAAGGTCTCCTGCTTGAGCAGGGGGCTAGCAGGTCCCTTCCAGCTCTGTAATTCTGCAAGGGTCTCCTGTTTGAACTGGGGGTTGGACTGGATGACCTCGGAGGTGCCTTCCAGCTCTGTAATTCTGTAAGGGTCTCCTGCTTGAGCAAGGGGCTGGACTGGATGACCTCGGAGGTCCCTTCCAGCTCTGTAATTCTGCAAGGGTCTCCTGCTTGAGCTGGGGGTTGGACTGGATGACCTCGGGGGTCCCTTCCAGCTCTGTAATTCTGCAAGGGTCTCCTCCTTGAGCTGGGGGTTGGACTGGATGACCTCAGGGGTCCCTTCCAACTCTTTAAATCTGCAAGGGTCTCCTGCTTGAGCTGGGGATTGGACTGGATGACCTCCGAGGTCCCATCCAGCTCTAATTCTGTAAGGGTCTCCTGCTTGAGCTGGGGGTTGGACTGGATGACCTTTGAGGTCCCTTCCAGCTCTGTAATTCTGTAAGGGTCTCCTGCTTGAGCTGGGGGTTGGACTGGATGACCTCGGGGGTCCCTTCCAGCTCTGTAATTCTGCAAAGGTCTCCTGCTTGAGCTGTGGGTTGGACTGGATGACCTCAGAGGTCCCTTCCAGCTCTGTAATTCTGCAAGGGTCTCCTGCCTGAGCAAGGGGCTGGACTGGATGACCTCGGAAGTCCCTTCCAGCTCTATAATTCTGTAAAGTTCTGCGGCCTGAGCAAGGGGCTGGACTGGATGACCTCGGAGGTCCCTTCCGGCTCTGTAATTCTGCAAGGGTCTCCTGCTTGAGCTGGGGGTTGGACTGGATGACCTCGGAAGTCCCTTGCAGCTCTGTAATTCTGCAAGGGTCTCCTGCTTGAGCTGGGGGTTGGACTGGATGACCTCAGGGTCCCTTCCAGCTCTGTAATTCTGCAAGGGTCTCCTGCTTGAGCTGGGGGTTGGACTGGATGACCTCGGGGGTCCCTTCCAGCTCTGTAATTCTGCAAGGGTCTCCTGCTTGAGCTGGGGGTTGGACTGGATGACCTCGGAGGTCCCTTCCGGCTCTGTAATTCTGCAAGGGTCTCCTGCTTGAGCTGGGGGTTGGACTGGATGACCTCGGAAGTCCCTTCCAGCTCTGTAATTCTGCAAGGGTCTCCTGCTTGAGCTGGGGGTTGGACTGGATGACCTCGGAGGTCCCTTCCAGCTCTGCAATTCTGTAAGGGTCTCCTGCTTGAGCTGGGGGTTGGACTGGATGACCTCAGGAGTCCCTTCCAGCTCTTGTCATTCTGATGGGGTCTTCTCCACCTGGAAGATTGAGTTGGAGCAAAAGGCTGGACTGGATGACCTCGGAGGTCCCTTCCAGCTCTGTAATTCTGCAAGGGTCTCCTGCTTGAGCTGGGGGTTGGACTGGATGACCTCGGAAGTCCCTTGCAGCTCTGTAATTCTGCAAGGGTCTCCTGCTTGAGCTGGGGGTTGGACTGGATGACCTCGGAGGTCCCTTCCAGCTCTGTAATTCTGCAAGGGTCTCCTGCTTGAGCTGGGGGTTGGACTGGATGACCTCGGGGGTCCCTTCCAGCTCTGTAATTCTGCAAGGGTCTCCTGCTTGAGCTGGGGGTTGGACTGGATGACCTCGGAGGTCCCTTCCGGCTCTGTAATTCTGCAAGGGTCTCCTGCTTGAGCTGGGGGTTGGACTGGATGACCTCGGAAGTCCCTTCCAGCTCTGTAATTCTGCAAGGGTCTCCTGCTTGAGCTGGGGGTTGGACTGGATGACCTCGGAGGTCCCTTCCAGCTCTGCAATTCTGTAAGGGTCTCCTGCTTGAGCTGGGGGTTGGACTGGATGACCTCAGGAGTCCCTTCCAGCTCTTGTCATTCTGATGGGGTCTTCTCCACCTGGAAGATTGAGTTGGAGTCAACCCCACTGACATGATTTTTGGGGGGGGGGGTAATTAAGACACGCCCGTTCCTTCGGTTTGGAAATTTGGGGAGGGGGGAGGCAGGAGGAGACCCCCGGTGACCCAAAGCCGGGGAAAGGACCCCAGCCCTGATCAAAAGCTTTCCACCCCAGCGGATCCCAATGAGTTAGAAGCAGAGCCACAGAAGGAAAGAATGGGAAGTGCTGGAAGGGACCTCGGAGGTCCTCTAGTCCAACCCCCTGCTGAAGTAGAACATTATTTCAGAATTACGGAAACACAGAGCCGGAAGGGACCTCGGAGGTCATCTAGTCCAACCCCCCTGCTCAAGTAGAACATTCTTTCCGAATTGCAGAATCACAGAGCCGGAAGGGACCTCGGAGATCATCTAGTCCAACCCCCCTGCTGAAGTAGAAATTTCTTTCAGAATTGCAGAATGACAGCACCGGAAGGGACCTCGGAGGTCATCTCGACCAACCCCCTGCTAAAGTGGAAGATTCTTTCAGCATTGCGGAATCACAGAGCCGGAAGGGACCTCGGAGGTCATCTAGTCCAACCCCCTCTGCTGAAGTGGAAGATTCTTTCAGAATTGCGGAATCACAGAGCCGGAAGGGACCTCGGAGGTCATCTAGTCCAACCCCCCTGCTGAAGTAGAATATTCTCTTAGAATTGCAGAATCATAGAGCCGGAAGGGACCTCGGAGGTCATCTAGTCCAACCCCCCTGCTGAAGTAGAAGATTCTTTTAGAATTGCAGGTTCACAGAGCCGGAAGGGACCTCGGAGGTCATCTAGTCCAACCCCCTGCTGAAGTGGAACTTTCTTTCAGAACTGCAGAATCACAGAGCCAGAAGGGACCTCGGAGGTCATCTAGTCCAACCCCCTGCTCAAGCCGGACTCCCTTACAGAATCTCATAGGAAAACAGAGTTGGAAGGGGCCTCAGAGGTAATAATAATAATATTAATAACAACAACAACAACAATAATAATAATGTTGGAAGGGACCTCGGAGGTCATCTAGTCCAACCCCCTGCTGAAGTACAGTAAAACATTCTTTCAGAATTACAGAATCACAGAGCTGGAAGGGACCTTGAAGGTCATCTAGTCCAACCCTCTGCTCAAGCAGGAGACCCTTACAGAATAATAGAGTTGGGAGGGACCTCGAAGGTCATCTAGTCCAACCCCCTGCTGAAGTAGAAGATTCTTTCAGAATTGCAGAATCACAGAGCCGGAAGGGACCTCGGAGGTCATCTAGTCCAACACCCTGCTCAAGCCGGAGTCCCTTACAGAATCTCATAGGAAAACAGAGTTGGAAGGGGCCTCAGAGGTAATAATAATAATAATAATAATAATAATAATAATAATAACAACAACAACAACAACAACAATAATAATAATAGAGTTGGGAGGGACCTTGGAGGTCATCTAGTCCAACCCCCTGCTGAAGGACGAGACCCTTACAGAATCATAGGATGACAGTTGGAAGGGGCCTCAGAGGTAATAATGATGATGATGATGATGATGGAAGGGACCTCAGAGGTCATCTACTCCAACCCCCTGCTCCGGCAGGAAACCCCTACAACCATTTCAGACAAATGGCCGTCCAGTCTCTTCTTAAAAATGTCCCGTGACTCGGAAGGGACCTCAGAGGTCTTCTAGTCCAACCCCCTGCTGAAGCAGGAGACCTTCAGAGAAATACAGAGCTGGCTAAGGTGGGACTAGAACTCGCCGTCTCCTGGCCATTGGCCCAAAGTCACCCAGCCGGCTTTCACTCCCTAAGGCGGGACTAGAACTCCCCGACTCCTGGCCATTGGCCCAAAGTCACCCAGCCGGCTTTGATTCCCTAAGGCGGGACTAGAACTCCCCGACTCCTGGCCATTGGCCCAGAGTCACCCAGCCGGCTTTCACTCCCTAAGGCGGGACTAGAGCCCTGTGGGCGGGGCCTCTGCAGGCTCCTCCTCCCCCCCTCGGAACCAACTGCCGCTGCCGGAGGGTTGCAGCCCCCGTCCCTTCCATCAATGGGCCGGTGGAGAGAGTAAACGCCCCCTCCCTGGCCGGGAAGCAGACCCCAACCCTAAGCTTCCGAGACCCCCACCCCGTGGGGCGATTGGGGTCCTCGCCCCCTTCTGCTCTTCCCCACGGAGGGGGGGGGTGCTAGACGGCTTCTCCTAAGCCCCTGACTCAGTTTCCTGCCCGAGGTCCCCCGTTTGGCCATTTCAGCCCGGCTCTCTGCGGGACCCCCAAAATGGCCGAGCTGTGCCCCCCGCCCCAAATGGAGCCGCAGGAGAGCATTTACCACTGGCTGCCCACCGGGGAGGAGGAGCCCCCCAAGCCCCCGCTCAGGTAGGGGAGGACGATGGGCCTGGTTCCACCATCTTGAGGGTCCCGGGTCCTCCTGGGCAGTCGGCGGGGGCGGGTTCGAGACCCGGGGAGGGGTCTTCTCCGACGGGGGGGGGACCCTCATGCCCACAGCCTCCCGAGTGTACGGATCCCAGCAATGTCCCGGGAGCAAGAAATCCAAGGCGCTAACAGGGGGGGTCCACAGACCCCCGGGCTGTAGCCTACTACCGGTCCTCAGGACTGTGGGCGGGCGCTGACGCGAGCGCGTTCCGTTGGCGCCAAGGGGGGGTCCCCGTGTCCACCACTCGGGCACTGGCCCACCGCTCCCGCGCAACCATCTTCCCTACGTTGGGGAAGGCTGCCCGCATGGAGGCGGGTAGTCCTCGACAGCTCCCATGCCTAAGGCGGAACTAGAACTCACCGTCGCCTGGCGATTGGCCCCAAGTCACCCAGCCGGCTTTCACGCCTAAGGCGGGACTCGAACTCACCATCTGCTGGGGATTGGCCCAAAGTCATCCAGCCGGCTTTCATGCCTAAGGCGGGACTAGAACTCACCATCTCCTGGGGATTGGGCCAAAGTCACCCAATTGTCTTTCATGCTTAAGGCGGGACTAGAACTCACCGTCTCCTGGTGATTGGCCCACCCAGCCGGCTTTCATGCCTAAGGCGGGACTAGAACTCACCATCTCCTGGGGATTGGGCCAAAGTCACCCAATTGTCTTTCATGCTTAAGGCGGGACTAGAACTCGCCGTCTGCTGGTGATTGGCCCACCCAGCCGGCTTTCATGCATAAAGCGGGACTAGAACTCACCGTCACCTGGTGATTGGCCCATAGTCACCCAATTGTCTTTCATGCTTAAGGCGGGACTAGAACTCACCATCTCCTGGTGATTGGCCCAAGGTCACCCAGCCAGCTTTCATGCCTAAGGCAGGACTAGAACTCCCTGTCGCCTGGGGATTGGCCCAAAGTCACCCAGAGGGCTTTCATTCATAACGTGGGACTAGAACTCACCATCGCCTGGTGATTGGCCCAAAGTCACCCAGCCGGCTTTCATGCCTAAGGCGGGACTAGAACTCACTGTCACCTGGTGATTGGCTCAAAACACCCAGGTGATTTCATGCTTAAGGCGGGACTAGAACTCACCATCGCCTGGTGATTGGCCCAAAGTCACCCAGCCAGCTTTGATGCCTAAGGCGGGACTAGAACTCCCTGTCGCCTGGTGATTGGCCCAAAGTCACCCAGCCGGCTTTCATGCTTAAGGCGGGACTAGAACTCACCGTCGCCCGGTTACTAGCCTGGTCTCTTAATCACCAGACCCGGCTGGCTCTCTAAATATCCAGGCTAAATGGAGCTGACTATTATGGGCTGCCCAAAGGCCAATTCTCCGGAAAAGGGCAACTATCTGATTCGGGTGGCTGAGGGGGACGCTTGTGTGAGTTGTGTAGATGTGGGTGCACCCCCCACTCCCCGTCTCCTCTCTTCTCCACCCAAGGTACGTCTCCTCCTTCCGACCGTCGCTCCAACGGGAAATGGAGGAGACGCGGAAGGCGCCTTGCCAGACCATGGGCATCCCGAAGCTCCAGGTGCCCACGCCCAAGGAGTACCTGCGGAAACACGCCAAGGAGCGGAAGTTACCCCAAGGTAGGTGGGCGCGCCCAGGTCTTCTCTCCTACTACGCCTCCCGCAAGGAGGAGGGGTGGGTGGGAAACAGGATGATAATAATAATAATAATAATAATAATAATAATAATAATAATGATGATGATGATGATGATGATGATGACATTGGAAGGGACCTTGGTGGTCATCTAGTCCAACCCGCTACTCAGGCAGGAAACCCTATACCATTTCAGACAAATGGGTGTCTAGTCTCCTCGTAATAATAATAATAATGATGATGATGATGATGATGATAATGATGATGATAATAATGATGATGATGATGACATTGGAAGGGACCTTGGTGGTCATCTAGTCCAACCCCCTGCTCAGGCAGGAAACCCTATACCATTTCAGACAAATGGGTGTCTAGTCTCCTCGTAATCATAATAATAATAATAATAATAATAATAATAATAATAATAATAATAATAATGGTGATAATAATAATGATGATGATGATGATGTTGGAAGGGACCTTGGTGGTCATCTAGTCCAACTCCCTGCTCAGGCAGGAAACCCCAGACCATTTTGGACAAAGGGCTGTCCAGTCTCTTCATCATCATCATCATCAAGTTGGAAGGGACCTTGGAGGTCATCTAGTCCAACCCCCTGCTCAGGCAGGACACCCTACACCATTCCGGACAAATGACTGTGCAGTCTCTTCTTCTTCTTCTTCTTCATCATCATCATCATCATCATCAAGTTGGAAGGGACCTTGGAGGTCATCTAGTCCAACCCCCTGCTCAGGCAGGACACCCTACACCATTCCGGACAAATGGCTGTCCAGTCTCTTCATCATCATCATCATCATTATCATCATCATTATTATCATCATCATCATCCTCATCATAAAGTTGGAAAGGACCTTGGAGGTCATCTAGTCCAACCCCCTGCTCAAGCAGGAAACCCTACCATTCTGGACAAATGGCTGTCCAATCTCTTCTTCATCATCATCATCATCATCATCATCAAGTTGGAAGGGACCTTGGAGGTCATCTAGTCCAACCCCCTGCTCAGGCAGGACACCCTACACCATTCCGGACAAATGGCTGTCCAGTCTCTTCATCATCATCATCATCATTATCATCATCATTATTATCATCATCATCATCCTCATCATAAAGTTGGAAAGGACCTTGGAGGTCATCTAGTCCAACCCCCTGCTCAGGCAGGACACCCCAGACCATTTCAGAGAAATGGCTGTCCGGTCTCTTCATCATCATCATCATCATCAAGATGTGTGGAATTCCAACTGACCTGGGTGGTTTCTTTGCAGACGTTTCATGACCCCCACTAAGGGGGGGAGGAGGAGGAGGAGGAGAAGAAAGGGCTGTGGGGTCCTTGGTGCGTTCTGAGCTGGGTGGTTTCCTTGCAGACGTTTCATGACCCAACTAGGGAACGTCATCAGTGCTGGAAGGAAGGAAGGGAGGGAGGGGAGGGAGGGAGGGAGGAGGGAGTGGGGTCCTTGTGCTCTCTGAGCTGGTGGTTTCCTGCAGACGTTTCATGACCCAACTAGAACGGCATCGTGCTGGAAGGAAAAGGGGAGGGAGGGGAGGGGAGGGAGGGGCGAGGGAGGGAGGTGGAAGTGGTTCCTGGGTGCCTCTTGCTGTGATTTCCTTGCAGACGTTTCATGACCCAACTAGGGAACGGCATCAGTGCTGGAAGGAAGGAAGGAAGGGAGGGAGGGAGGGAGGGAGGGAGGGAGGGAGGGAGGGAGGGAGGGAAGTGGGGTCCTTGGTGCTCTCTGAGCTGGGTGGTTTCCTTGCAGACGTTTCATGACCCAACTAGGGAACGGCATCAGTGCGAGAAGGGAGGAGGAGGAGGAAAACAAGTGGGGTCAACGAAACTGTGAGGAACCCCCAGGGTACCCCTAGGAGCCCAGGAACATCCAGGTTGGTTTGTATCCACCCTGTCAAGGTTGGAGGTGCCCTGAGCTGTTTCACCTTCTGTACTTCCCGTCAGAATAGCGTTGGAAGGGATCCCCGGAGGTCATCTAGTCCAGCCCCTTGCTCAAGTAGGAGACCCTCACAGAATCATAGAACCGCACAATTGGAAAGGACCCTGGAGGTCATCTAGCTCAGCCCCTTGCTCAAGTAGGAGACACTCAGAGAATCATAGAACCACAGCGTTGGAAGGGACCCCGGAGGTCATCTAGCCCAGCCCCTTGCTCAAGCAGGAGACCCTCACAGAATCATAGACCCACAGCGTTGGGAGGGACCCCGGAGGTCATCTAGCCCAGCCCCTTGCTCAAGTAGGAGACCCTCAGAGAATCATAGAACCACAGCATTGGAAGGGACCCTAGAGGTCATCTAGCCCAGCCCCTTGCTCAAGTAGGAGACCCTCAGAGAATCATAGAACCACAGAGTTGGAAGGGACCCCGGAGGTCATCTAGCCCAGCCCCTTGCTCAAGTAGGAGACCCTGACAGAATTACAGAATTGGAAGGGACCTCAGAGGTCATCTAGTCCAACCCCCCTGCCCAAGCAGGAGACCCTAATAGACCCTTCCAGACTTCGCTCCCACCTCTCAACGGGCATGTTGGGTGTCTCCCACCATCCCCCACCCGAGTTACAGGTAGCACCTCGACTCACGACCACAACCGAGGCTCAAATTTCCGTTACTAAGCACGACGGTTGTTAAGTGAGTTTTGCCCCAATTCAGAACATTTCTTGTCATCGTCGTTAAGCGGATCCCACTGGTTGTTAGGTTAATGGCACAGACTCTGCCTTCCTGGCTGACTTTGCTGGAGACAAGGTCACAAAAGGGGACGGTCACCTGAACCCAGAACACTGAAACCGTCATAAGTTTGAGTCAGTTGCTAAGCTTCTGAATTTTGATCCCAGGACCAGGGGTCAATAAGGGCGAAAAACGGTCCTTTTTCAGTGTCCTTGTAACTTCGAACGGTCACTAAACGAACAGTTGTAAGTCGAAAAATGGAGATACAAATCGCCCGCCCCCAAAACACAGCCAGTCCTCGCCTTGCGACCACAACTGAGCCCGGCCTTTTCTGTCGCTAAGTGAGGCTGTCGATTAGCGAGCGGCTTCGCCTCTGACGACCACCATTCTCACCACCATGGGTAAGTGAGTCACTGTCGTTAGTTGTGAGTCACCAGGCCGTTGAAGCGAATCCGGCTCCCCCATTGCTGGAGAGAAGGTCGCAAAAGGGGGACGGTCGCCTTTGGAAGCCGGGACGCCGCAAGTACGTCGTAAGTACGAGTCAGTGGCGGAGCTTCCGAAGGTTGATCCCGAGACTACGGGGGGGGGGGGGGAATGCCGCGACGGTCAATCAGTGCGAAAAGCAATGGTCCTGTGTAAGCTTGTAAGCTTTGCCTACCACCCCTCAACCATAGGCACGCACGAGCGCGTAAAGCGGCAGCCCATCAAAGCCCCGCTCCCCCTCCAGTCTGACCGGCCCCTGATGGGCGTCCAGAGCGAGAAGAACTTCGTGACGGCCAACGTGGCCGAAGCCATCATGGCCGTGGCCAAGAAGCCCCTGCACGCCTGCGTGGACCAGCGGAGAGGGGAGAAGTTCCTGCTGGACGACTCCGGGCTGGTCCAGAGGTACCTCAAGAAGAAGGTGGGTGCCCTTCCGTGCCCCGGGGCCGGTGGGCAGAGTGGCCGGGCGCAGGTGGGGGGGGGAAGGGGCTGTCTGAAATTGGGAGGGGGGAAGAGGGGGGGTTCTCTTCAGAAAAACTGCCCCCTCTGTTCCCACTACACTACACTCCCTCCCTCCCTCCCTCTCCCACCTGCTTGGCGTTCTCTCGGTTGAATGTTTTTAAGTCCGAGACCTTTTTTTCGATTGAATGAATGGGCTAATGTGTGTTTTCTACTGCATTCAATTGCTGTAAGCCACCTGACACAATGGGTGTAGAGATAGGTAGGTAGGTAGGTAGGTAGGTAGGTAGGTAGGTAGGTAGGTAGATAGATTGATAGATTGATAGATAGATAGATAGATATTGATAGATAGATGTAAGATAGACAGATAGATAAGACAGACACACTAGATAGATAGATAGATAGATAGATAGATAGATAGATAGATAGATAGATAGACAGACAGACAGACAGACACAGATAGATAGATACTGATAGATGATAGGTAGATAGATAGATAGATAGATAGATAGATAGATAGATAGATAGATAGATAGATAGATACTGATAGATATAGATGTAAGACAGACAAATAAGACAGACAGACAGACGCTAGATGGATGGATAGATAGATAGATAGATAGATAGATAGATAGATAGATAGATAGATAGATAGATGTCGGTCGATAGGTCGGTAGGTAGGTAGATAAATAGACAGACAGACACAGACAGACAGATAGATAGATAGATACTGATAGATGGTAGGTAGGTAGGTAGGTAGGTAGGTAGATAGATAGATAGATAGATAGATAGATAGATAGATAGATAGATAGATAGGAGAGAGAGAGACAAACAGACAAAGGTGATAGGTTAGAGAGAAAGAAAGAGACAGACAGACAGACAATGGTGATAGATTAGAGGGAGATGATAGATAGATAGATGATACAGATTAGAGAGAGAGAAAGAGGGGGAGAGAGAGAGGTGATAGATTAAAGAGAGAGAGAGAGAGACGGAGGGAGGGAGAGAGAGGGGAGGACAGACAGACAAAGATAGGTGATAGTCTCCCGCTGCCCCTCTGCAACCCTCCCAGGAATTGTGAGCGCCCCACTTCTTCCTCCGCAGGACTTCGGGGTGACCCCCAAATACATCCAACGGCGTAAGAAAGAAGCCGTGGACGTGCACAAAGAGCGAGCAGCCGCTCGGCGGGAATGTCTGCAGAAGAGGCGGCTCACCCGCCTCTCCTCCCGTGAACGGGAGAGCATCCTGGAAGTAAGCAGACCCTCCCCCAAATTGGCATGCCTTGGTAGAATGTATTTTGCATTGTAACAACGCAAAACGGAATTAATCGGCAAGGAGATGATGGGGTTTAGTTAGCCTCTGTAGTTATAAATCTATGGTTCCCTTATGTTCTGAAGGAGTTTCCTGTTTGCGGTTACAGTCAGTCGGTTAAGCAGTAAAGCACATGGTGACGGTACCCTTTGTTTGATCTGAGTAAAGCAGTAAAGCACATGGTGACAGTACCCTTTGATCTGAGTAAAGCAGTAAAGCACTTGGTGACGGTACCCTTTGTTTGATCTGAGTAAAGCAGTAAAGCACATGGTGACAGTACCCTTTGATCTGAGTAAAGCAGTAAAGCACATGGTGACAGTACCCTTTGTTTGATCTGAGTAAAGCAGTAAAGCACATGGTGACGGTACCCTTTGATCTGAGTAAAGCAGTAAAGCACATGTGACGGTACCTTTTGTTTGATCTGAGTAAAGCATTAAAGCACATGGTGACGGTACCCTTTGATCTGAGTAAAGCAGTAAAGCACATGGTGACGGTACCCTTTGTTTGATCTGAGTAAAGCAGTAAAGCACATGGTGACGGTACCCTTTGATCTGAGTAAAGCAGTAAAGCACATGGTGACGGTACCCTTTGATCTGAGTAAAGCAGTAAAGCACATGGTGACGGTACCCTTTGTTTGATCTGAGTAAAGCAGTAAAGCACATGGTGATGGTACCCTTTGATCTGAGTAAAGCAGTAAAGCACATGGTGACAGTACCCTTTGTTTGATCTGAGTACAGTAAAGCACATGGTGACAGTACTCTTCGATCTGAGTAAAGCAGTAAAGCACATGGTGACTGTGTCGGTGTCCTTACCAACCCCTGGTTCCCACAGAAGGCAAGTGGTCGACATCAAGGTGGCTGGAAATATGGTCTGACCAGCGTTTAAGCATAGCAAAATAAAGCGCCGGGAGGGGGAGGGGGAGAAGGGGGAGAGGGAGAAGGGGGAAGGAGGAGGAAGAAGATGAGGAGGGGGACTGTGGGATCCTCGGTGGTCTCAAAGCTTGGTTGTTTCCTGGCAGATGTTTCATGAGCAAACTAGGCAACACCCTCATTTTTCTAGTGTACATGGCTACACGGGGGGGGATTAAATGTTTTTAAGGAACGAACCTGTCTCTCCCCCCCTCCCTCCCTCTCTCCCTCCCCTCCCTCCCTTTCTTTCTTGCTCTCTCTCCACTCTTTCCATCTCTCCCCCTTCCTCCCTCCCTCCCCTCCCTCCCTTTTTTGCTCTCTCTCCTCTCTCTCACTCACTTTTCCTCCCTCTCCCCCTTCCTCCCTCCCTTTCTGTCTTGCTCTCTCTCCTCTCTCTCACTATCTCCCCTCCCTCCCTCCCCTCCCTCCCCTTCTTGCTCTCTCCTCTCTCTCACTGACTTTCCCTCCCTCTCTCCCTCTCTCTCACTGACTTTCCCTCCCTCTCTCCCCCTTTCTCCCTCTTTCTCTCCCTCCCTCCCCCTCTCCCCCCTCCTCCCTCCCCCCTCTCTCTCCCCCTCCCCCTCTACCCCTCTCTTCCTCTTTCCCTCCCCTCTCTCCCTTTATCTCTTGCTCTTCTCTCTCTCACTCCCTCTCCCTCTCTCCTCTTCCTCCCTCCCTCCCCCTCTCTCTCCTTCCTCTCTACCTCTCTTTCTCTCTTGCTCTCTCCTCTCTCCCTCCCTCCCCCTCCCTCTCACCCCATTCCTCCCTCCTTTCTCTCTTGCTCCGCTACTCTCTCCCTCATCATCCCCCTTCCCCTCCCTCGCCTCCCCCCTCCCTCCTCTTTTCTTTTATGCTCTCAATCGTCCTCTCTCCTCACCTCACTTTCCCGTCCCTCTCGTACCCCTTCCTCCCCTCCCTTCTCTCACCTCGCCGTCCCCCCTCCCCCTTCCCTCCCTCCCCCTCTCTCCCCTCCCTTCCTCTTTCCCCCTACCCCTCCTTCCCTTTCTCCTCTCTTGCTCTCTATCTCGCTCTCTCTCACTGGTCCCTCTCACCTCTCTCTCCCCGCTTCCTCCCTCCATCTCCCCCTTCCTACCCTCCCTGGACGAACCCTTTCTTCTCTCTTGCTCTCTCCTCTCTCCCTCCCTCCCCCTCCCTCTCACCCCCTTCCTTCCTCCCTTTCTCTCTTGCTCTCTCTCCTCTCTCCCTCTCTCCCCCTTCCTCCCTCCCTCCCTTTCTTGCTCTCTCTCCTCTCTCTCACTCACTTTCACTCCCTCTCTCCCCCTCCCTCCCTCCCCCTCTCCCCTCCCTTCCTCTTTTCCTCCCCTCCTTCCCTTTCTCTCTTGCTCTCTCTCCTCTCTCTCACTCCCTCTCCCTCTCTCCCTCTTCCTCCCTCCATCTCCCCCTTCCTCCCTCCCTCCCTTTCTCTCTTGCTCTCTCCTCTCTCCCTCCCTCCCCCTCCCTCTCACCCTCTTCCTCCCTCCCTTTGTCTCTTGCTCTCTCCTCTCTCCCTGCCTCCTTCTCTCTCCCCCTTCCTCCCTCCCTCCCTTTCTCTCTTGCTCTCTCTCCTCTCTCCCTGCCTCCCCCCTCTCTCCCTCTCTCTCTCCTCCCCGCAGGGTCTCAAGAACAACTGGGAGGAGATCAACAAGGACTTCCAGAGCCTGTCCGTGGAGATCACCACCATCCCGCAGCGGCTGCGCAAAGAGAAGCTGGAGACGGAGATGAAACAGCTGGAACACGACATTGCGGCTCTGGAGAAGCACAAGTTTATCTACATCGCAGGAGAATAGGACCGGGAATGGGGCGGGATCTGGGCCGATGGGAGAGGAAGGGGGGGTTACCTCGGGATCCCCTCCCACGGCTGCTTCTTTCCCCAAATTGACACAGGCTCAGCTCAGGCGAACAGGACCCATTAGTGGCTCCATCGCTTCCCCTGACAGGTTTCCGGTTGCTGTAGTTGTGCGTTGGGCAGCTGCCCTCCCCCCCCCCGCAGGACTCCAATTCCCCCCCCTTCCCAGTCAGCCACAATCCTGGGGTGTGAGACCCTTCTCCCACCCCTCACCCCCCCAACCAGTTGGTCTACAGGCAACAAGAGTTAGTTTGTCCGAAGTTGCTGGCAGTTTTTAAGATGCGTTTGCCAAAAATGATCTAAGTGTTCTCCGTTCATTTTACGATTTGCCAAAAGTGGAATAACGGTTCTCGGTGCATTTTGCAATTTGCCCAAAGTTGTCTAACGGTTCTCGGTGCATTTTGCAATTTGCCCAAAGTTGTCTAACGGTTCTCGGTGCATTTTGCAATTTGACAAAAGTTGTGTAACAGTTCTCAGTGCATGTCACAATTTGACAAAAGTTGTGTAACAGTTCTCCCAGCATTTCGCAATTTGACAAAAGTTGTGTAACGGTTCTCCCAACATTTCCCAATTTGACAAAAGTTGTATAACGGTTCTCCCAGCATTTTGCAATTTGCCAAAAGTTATGTAACAGTTCTCAGTGCATGTCACAATTTGACAAAAGTTGTGTAACGGTTCTCCCAGCATTTCCCAATTTCACAAAAGTTGTATAACGGTTCTCCCAGCATTTTGCAATTTGCCAAAAGTTGTGTAACAGTTCTCAGTGCATGTCACAATTTGACAAAAGTTGTAGAACGGTTCTCCAAGCATTTTGCAATTTGACAAAAGTTGTAGAACGGTTCTCTGAGCATTTTGCAATTTGACAAAAGTTGTGTAATGGTTCTCCAAGCATTTTGCAATTTGACAAAAGTTGTATAACGGTTCTCCCAGCATTTTGCAATTTGCCAAAAGTTGTGTAACGGTTCTCCCAGCATTTCGCAATTTGACAAAAGTTGTCGAACGGTTCTCTGAGCATTTTGCAATTTGCCAAAAGTTGTAGAACAGTTCTCGGTGCATTTTGCAATTTGACAAAAATTGTATAATGCTCCTCCGAGCATTTCGCAATTTGCCAAAAGTTGTATAATGGTTCTCGGTGCATTTTGCAATTTGACAAAAGTTGTCTAACGGTTCTTCTTCCAGTTTGAAATAAAGCACCTTATTGATCCGCTGTTTTTTCTGTGTGCGTGCATGTGTGCATAAATGGCTGCGTTTGTGTCTGTGCCTGTGTGTGTGTGTGTGTGTGTGTAGATACAAAGCCCTTGAAATGGAGCAGCCGTAACAACTCATTGTCATGATTTGTTATAGCAGCCTATGGGATGGAGGCTAAAACATTCAAAGGACGGTGGCTTTGGGCAGTCTAGAGCAGTGGTTCTCAACCTTTTTAATGCCGCGACCCCAACCGGTCGTAAGCCGAGGACTACCCAACTGGTCGTAAGTCGAGGACTACTCCACTGGTGCAGCACCGTTTGCAGAATGGGACTTTTGGCGGGCTCAGCAGGGCAGAGACAGCCTGAACAATTCCTATTGGCTTTGGAAAGCCAATAGAATGAGACTCTATTCAAGAGAGTCTATTTGATTGGCTTTCAAAAGCCAATAGAATAAAAGGGAGTAGCCCAGCTAAGGAAAAGGGGGGAAAAAATGGCGGACTGCGTTGTTTGGCGACCCCCGTGAAATGGTCGTTCGACCCCAAATGGGGTCCCGGCCCACGGGTTGAGAGCCACTGGTCTAGAGCAAAGAAGAAATGGGGTGGGGGGAGGGACACAATACCCATGTTCCACGGAGAGAAGCAACCTCGAATTAAGGAGAAAGTCTCTAACAGGGAAGAAAATTAGCCAGTGGAACAGCTGGCCACCAGAGGTTGTGGGTGCTCCGTCACTGGAGATTATCAGGAAGAGACTGAACAGCCATTTGACCAGGATGTTATAGGACAGTGATGGCGGACCTTTTAGAGACCGAGTGCCCAAACTGCAACCCAAAACCCACTTATGTATCGCAAAGTGCCAGGGCTTGCATTAGCGTTGTGGTGCCCTCAGGGTGTGGGGGGGGATGTGGCCCACTGCGTGGGCATGGCTGCAGTGGTCACAGCAGACTGGGTGAGCGTGGCATCTGGGGGGGGGCAACGCCGCTTGCTCGCTCACTTCCTGCCCTGTCACTTCCAAACGCCACGTACTCGCTACTCTGGTGAACTCTGCCGGGGCGAAAGCGCGCGTGCCCACAGAGAGCGCTCTGAGTGCCGCCTCTGGCACGCGTGCTATAGGTTCGCCATCACTGTTATAGGATCCCAGGGGGTTGGACTAGAAGAGAGCGAGAGAGATGGGGAGAGAGAGATACAGAGAGAGGAAGAGAGATGCAGAGAGAGAGAGAGATGGAGAGAGAAAAATGCAGAGAGAGAGAGATACAGAGAGAGATGAAAAATGCAGAGAGAGAGAAAATGATAGAGAGATGCAGAGAGGGAGAGAGAGATGGAGAGAGAGATGCAGAGAGAGAGAGAAAGATGGAGAGAGGGATGGAGAGATGGAGAGAGATGGAGAGAACAATGCAGAGAGAGATGCAGAGAGAAATGGAGAGATAGATGGAAAGATGAGAGGAGAAAGACATGCAGAGAGAGATGGAGAGAAAACGCAGAGAGAGAGAGGAGAAAGAGAGATGCAGAGAGAGAAAGATGGAGAGAGAGAGAGGGAGAGATGCAGAGAGAGATGGAGAAAAATGCAGAGAGAGAGATGCAGAGAGAAATGGAGAGATAGATGGAAAGATGAGAGGAGAAAGACATGCAGAGAGAGATGGAGAGAAAACGCAGAGAGAGAGAGAGAGAGAAGGAGAAAGAGAGATGCAGAGAGAGAGAAAGATGGAGAGAGAGAGAGGGAGAGATGCAGAGAGAGATGGAGAGAAAAATGCAGAGAGAGCGATGCAGAGAGAAATGGAGAGATGGAAAGAGGAGAGGAGAAAGACATGCAGAGAGAGATGGAGAGAGAAAAACGCAGAGAGAGAGAGAAGGAGAAAGAGAGATGCAGAGAGAGAGAAATGGAGAGAGAGAAATGAGAGAGATGCAGAGAGAGATGGAGAGAAAAATGCAGAGAGAGAGAGGTGCAGAGAGAAATGGAGAGATAGATGGAAAGATGAGAGGAGAAAGAGATGCAGAGAGAGATGGAGACAGAAAAACGCAGAGAGAGAGAGAGAGAGAGAGAAGAAGAGAGATGCAGAGAGAGAGAAAGATGGAGAGAGATGGAGAGATGCAGAAAGAGATGGAGAGAAAAATGCAGAGAAAGAGATGCAGAGAGAAATGGAGAGATAGATGGAAAGAGGAGAAAGATGCAGAGAGAGATGGAGAGAGAAAAACGCAGAGAGAGAGAGAGAGAGGAGAAAGAGAGATGCAGAGAGAAAGATGGAGAGAGAGAGATGGAGAGATGGAGAGAGATGCAGAGAGAGATGGAGAAAAATGCAGAGAGAGAGAGATGCAGAAAGAAATGGAGAGATAGATGGAAAGATGAGAGGAGAAAGATGCAGAGAGAGAGATGGAGAGAGAAAAACGCAGAGAGAGAGAGAGGAGAAAGAGATGCAGAGAGAGAAAGATGGAGAAAGATGCAGAGAGATGGAGAGAAGGAGAAAGATGCAGAGAGAGAGATGGAGAGAAAGAAAGAAAGAAAGAAAGAAAGAAAGAAAGAAAGAAAGAAAGAAAGAAAGAAAGAAACTGACCCCAAAGCCATCAGGAATGACTCCTGCAAGAAAACGCCCTTCCCAGGTGTGCAGTCCAGGATCTCCAGCACAGTCCCTCCCCCACTTGTCCCTCAGCAGAGCCTCCAACCCCAACAGACCCGGCCTTATTTCCCTCCCCCCAACAGTCAGAGAAACAAACTTCCTTTAAAGTCAGATTTTATTAGCAGGAAAAGTATTTTCACATCCCAGGTTTTTCCCCGGCAAGAATTCACGAGACCACAGGGGTCCACAAGGGCAGTAATCGTGGGAATGTTTGCGCAGCGGAGCCCCGTTGAAACGGAGCCGTACGGTCGACGCAGTCAAAACTCTCCCACACACTAAACAGGAGGGAGGAAGGACCAGAGATGTGCACTCAGGGAGGGAGGGAGGGAGTTCCGGAACGGCGCTGTGGCAAAGCCAAATCAGGGGGGCAAGTGAAACTTCACGTCGAGGTCCACCTCTCTGGCCAACGTCATGATCTCGGAGAGCTTGACAGCCATCTTGGCTGCCCGGTCCAGATCGTCGCAGGGCAGGATCTTCAAGCCGCTCTCAGCGATCAGGACTTTGGCGTCGGCCACCCGGGTGCCTTGCAGGCGCACCACGATGGGGATTTTGAGCTCCAGGTCCTCGACGGACATGATGATCCCGTGCGCAATGACGTCGCACCGCATGAGGCCTCCGAAGATGTTGACCAGGATGGCCTGGACCTTCTCGTTGGAGGTGATCAGCTTGAAGGCCTCGGTGACTTGCTCCACCGTGGCCCCGCCACCCACACTGAGGTAGTTGGCTGGGGCGCCTCCGTGGAGCTTGATGATATCCATGGTGGCCATGGCCAAGCCCGCCCCGTTGACCAGACAACCGATGTTGCCGTCCAAAGCGATGTAGTTGAGCTCCGCGTTGGCCGCTTCCCGCTCCTTCTCGTCCATCTGGGTCCAGTCCTGAAGCTCGAAGACCTTCTGCTGGCGGAAGGCCGAGTTGCTGTCGAAGATGACCTTGGCATCCATGCACATCACCCTCCCCGTGGAGTCCTCCACCAGCGGGTTGATCTCCACCATGACGGCGTCGTAATCAATGAAGAAGTTGTAGAGCTTGATCATGTTGTCTGCCGCCTCTTCCACCAGCTCCGAAGGGAAGCCCATTTTCTTGGCCAACGGGACGGCTTGGCTGCGTCGCAGGCCCGCCACGATATCCACCGGCTCCTTCAGGATGGACTCCGGCTTGTCGGCCGCCACGTCTTCGATCCGGAGGCCGCCCTGAGAACTGGCGACGATCACCGGCCCCTGGAAGTCCCGCTCCATGCTGATGGCGAAGTAGTACTCCTTCCGCAGGTAGCGGCGCTCGCAGACCAGAACCTGGTTGCAGATCCGCCCTTTTTCGCCCGTCTGCTTGGTGACGAGTTTCTTGCCAATCATCTGGGCCGCCACCTCCTTGGCTTCCTGCGGAGAACATACAATCTGCACACCGCCCTTCAGCCCGCCTTCGAAGACCCCCTTTTCCCGCCCCCCCGCCACCACCTGGGCCTTCACCACCAGGTCGTTGGTGCCGATCTTCCGGGCCACCTTGTACGCTTCCTCGGGGCTCCTGGCCACCAAGCCGTACGGGACGCAGACGCCAGCCTCCTTCAGCAGCTTCATGCTCAGGTATTCATGGATGGAGAGGTGGCGGAGACGCTGACGCTGCAGCTGCCGGACGGGAGACGTCGTGGAAAACCGCCGGCTGGCGCCGCACGACGGAGCTCCGGCACCCCGGCCCGTCCAGAAGACCTTGGTCCATATGGTTGGGGCTCCTCTGACCGCCCGTGGCCAGAACATGAAGATGGCTAGATGCCTTCAGCCGGGTTGAGACTTCTGAATCAAAATCTTCCAACCGGCTGTTGATGGTTTGAAAAGAAAATGCCAGCCCACTGCTTCCTGCTGGCTTCCCATTGGCTAAAGCCAGAGGTTCTGTGACCTCACCCACCTCGGCCCCGCCTCCTTGGAGCCCCCAGGAAACACCTCCCCTCCCCAAGGATGGAGGTCCTGCTTCACAGGAGCTTTGCATTTTCTGAACCTGTGAAAGTTTCCCGAGAAACAGACGCCGATTTCCGTCGGAAAAGCAGTCTCTATATTGCTGTATTTATTGCGGGAAAGTTAGCCGGAAGTCCTCGACTTAATACGATTCGTTTAGTGACCGTTTGAACTTAGGACGGCACTGGAGAATGGGAGTTATGAGCGTGGTTTCACACTTACGACCGTTACGACCATCCCCGTGTTCACGTGATCAGAATTCAGAGGCTCGGCAACCGACTCGTATTTATGAACGTTGCAGAGTCCCCGGAACGTGTGATTCGCCTTTGGTGACCTTTGGACAAGCCAGATCCATTTAACCGACGGTGTGACTGACTTAACAACGGCACGGGTTCCCTTAGTGACTGCGGCAAGGAAAGGTCGTAAAATGGGAGGAAAAGTTACTTAAGAAATGTCTAACTTCACAATGGGGATTTGGGAGTTGTGACGTAAGTCGTGGACTTCCTGTCCTGGCCCCCGGGGAATAAATGTACGGACACTCATTTTGACGTTGGGATAGTCTTCCTCACATCAGGCCATCTCAGCTGATCGGGGGGGGCATGTTGTGGATCCCATGAGTGCAGACATTTTATCTGAAATAGTCTAGGAGAGTCTCCTGCTTGAGCAGGGGGTTGGACTAGATGACCTCCGAGGTCCCTTCCAGCTCTGTCATTCTGTAAGGGTCTCCTGCTTGAGCAGGGGGCTGGACTAGATGACCTCCAAAGTCCCTTCTATTATTCTGTAATTCTGTAAGGGTCTCCTGCTTGAGCAGGGGGTTGGACTAGATGACCTCCGAGGTCCCTTCCAGCTCTGTCATTCTATAAGGATCTCCTGCTTGAGTAGGGGGTTTGACTAGATGACCTCCAAAGTCCCTTCTATTATTCTGTAATTCTATAAAGTCTCTTGCTTGAGCAAGGGGCTGGACTAAATGACCTCCAAAGTCCGTTCTATTATTCTGTAATTCTGTAAAGTCGCTTGCTTGAGCAGGGGGTTGGACTAGATGACCTCCAAAGTCCCCTCTATTATTCTGTAATTCTGTAAACTCTCTTGCTTGAGCAGGGGGCTGGACTAGATGACCTCCGAGGTCCCTTCTATTATTCTGTAATTCTGTAAAGTCTCTTGCTTGAGCAGGGGGTTGGACTAGATGACCGCTGAGGTTCCTTCTGTTATTCTGTAATTCTGTAAAGTCTCCTGCTTGAGCAGGGGGTTGGACCAGATGACCTCCAAAGTCCCTTCTATTGTTCTGTCCTTCTGTAAGGGTCTCCTGCTTGAGCAGGGGGCTGGACTAGATGACCTCCAAAGTCCCCTCTATTATTCTGTAATTCTGTAAAGTCTCCTGCTTGAGCAGCGGGTTGGACTAGATGACCTCCAAAGTCCCCTCTATTATTCTGTGATTCTGTAAAGTCTGTTGCTTGAGCAGGGGGCTGGACTAGATGACCTCCAAAGTCCCCTCTATTATTCTGTAATTCTGTAAAGTCTCCTGCTTAAGCAGGGGGTTGGACTAGATGACCTCCGAGGTCCCTTCTATTATTCTGTAATTCTATAGTCTCTTGCTTGAGCATGGGGTTGGACTAGATGACCTCCGAGGTCCCTTCTATTATTCTGTAATTCTGTAAAGTCTCCTGCTTGAGCAGGGGGCTGGACTAGATGACCTCCAAGATCCCTTCCAACTCTGTCATGATGTAATTTTGTAACGTTCTCCTGGTTGAGCAGGGGGTTGGACAAGATGACCTCCAAAGTCCCCATTATTCTGTGATTCTGTAAAGTGTCTTGCGTGAGCAGGGGGTTGGACTAGATGACCTCCGAGGTCCCTTCCAACTCTATGATTCTGTAATTCTATAAAGGTCTCCTGCTTGAGCAGGGGGTTGGACTAGATGACCTCCGAGGTCCCTTCCAATTGTGATTCTGTAAGGGTCTCCTATTTGAGCACGGGGTTGGACTAGATGTCCACCCAAGTCCCTTCTCTTATTCTGTGATTCTGTATGGGTCTCCTGCTTGAGCAGGGGGCTAGACTAGATGACCTCCAAGGTCCCTTCTATAACTCTGTCATTCTATGTTTCTCTAAGGGTGTCCTGCTTGAGCAGGGGTCGGACTAGACAACCTCACAATTCTATTATTTTTTTTTTTCTGTAAGGTCTCTTGTTCGAACAGGGGCCTCCACCAGACGACCTTTGCCGAGTGTCCGAATTGGGATCCCGTGCCCAGGGGGGATGCGTCGTTAAGTGAGACATCTCTTACATGAGTCAAAGGCCCCCTTTGACACACCTCCCTCGCCATGTCCTTAAGTGAATCCCTGCCTTGGTTCAGTCCGTCCCACAGGTTGTTAAGTGACTCTCGGTTCCCCCCCGTAGCTGGTCGCCAAATGGGATAATGTCACCCCGGGATGCTGCAACGGTCGTAAATATGAGTCCACATTGATCGCCTGACCCGCAGAGACGCCTCAACCGTCGTAAGCCTGACCAACGGCCCTCTGTCGCTTTCTTCAGGGCCGTGGAGACTCTGAACGGTCATTAAACGGACATGTTGTAACGTGAGGACCGGCCGCTGGTACAGAAAGAACCAAACAGCTGAAATGGGACCGTCGGGATGGCCTTTGGGGGTCCCGATGGGCGTGAAGAGGCTGACTTGGAAACCCTTGGTTACCTGGCCAGGCTGAGCGCCCGGAACCCTGGATCTGACCAATCGCAGGCCGCCCGGGGGACAGTTGGAGAAGAGAATTCTGGGAGGTCCGTCTCTGCCTCGACTCAGAAGAGCAGTTGAGGACTTCCGGAGACGACCGAAGTGTCCGTGGCGCCTCCATGTTTGGTCACTGGGTAGCCAGAGTTGTCCGACCGGTGGGCAAAAGACACGGACTCGGTGCCGTCGGTCACCCGGAACTCTGGGCGCCGCGGCCGAGGCGCCTGTCCCTCCACGAATACCTGAGCATGCAGCTGCTGAAGGAGGCCGGCGTCTCCGTGCCGAAGGCCCTGGTGGCGGCCAACCCCGAGGAGGCCTTCCGAGCCGCCGAGAAGATCGGGACCGAGGACCTGGTGGTCAAGGCCCAGGTTTTGGCCGGGGGGCGGGGCAAAGGGACCTTCGAAGGCGGGCTGAAGGGGGGCGTGCAGATGGTGGGCTCCCCGGAGGAGGCCAAAGCGGTGGCCGCCCAAATGATCGGCAAGAAGCTCTTCACCAAGCAGACGGGCGAAAAGGGTCAGATCTGCCACCGGGTGCTCGTTTGCGAGCGCCGATACCTGCGGAAGGAGTACTACTTCGCCATCACCATGGAGATGGCCTTCCAGGGGCCGGTGCTCATCGGCAGCTCCCAAGGAGGGGTCAACATCGAAGAGGTGGCCGCCATGGAGCCGGAGGCCATCTTGAAGGAGCCCGTGAACATCGCGGAGGGTATCCGGGAAGAGCAGGCCCTTCGGTTGGCACGGAAGATGGGTTTTCCCGCCCAGGCGGCCTGCGCCGCCGCCGAGAACATGGTCAAGCTGTACCACCTCTTCATCAAGTACGACGCGCTGCTGGTGGAGATCAACCCGCTGGTGGAGGACTCTACGGGCACGGTGATGTGCATGGACGCCAAGATCAACTTCGACGACAACTCGGCTTTCCGTCAGAAGGCGGTCTTCGCGCTGCAGGACTGGACCCAGATGGACGAAAAAGAGCAAGAAGCGGCCAACGCCGAGCTCAACTACATCGCTTTGGACGGCAACATCGGCTGTCTGGTCAACGGGGCGGGCTTGGCCATGGCCACCATGGACATCATCAAGCTCCACGGCGGAGCCCCGGCCAACTTCCTGGACGTCGGCGGAGGCGCTACGGCAGAGCAGGTGAAAGAGGCCTTCAAGCTGATCACATCCGACAAGAAGGTCCAGGCGATCCTGGTCAACATCTTCGGGGGCATCATGCACTGCGACACCATTGCCCGAGGGATCGTCCTGGCGGCCACCGAGCTGGAGCTGAAGGTCCCGGTGGTGGTCCGGTTGCAGGGCACCCAAGTGGAGCAGGCCAAGGTGTTGATCGCCGAGAGCAAGCTGGAGATCTTGGCCTGCGACGACCTGGACCAGGCAGCCAAAGTAGCTGTGGGCCTCTCCAGAATCGTGACCTTGGCTAGGGAAGCCCAGCTGGAGGTGACCTTCCAGTGGAGGACCTGAGGAAACATCTCGGATTTCTGAAGAACCTCAAGCCCTCCTCGCCGTTTTTCTTTCCGGAACTTCTCCGCACCGGACGAGGAAAGCTTGAGTCCCGTCGTCACCACGGATGATGACCGGGAGGCCTCTTGCAGCTCCCGTTCTTCTGTCCTCCTGGTTGTAAGTGCCCAAGGAGGGCATCTGGAGACACGTGGGATGGGACGGGCTGGCACGGCACGGCGTCTTCCCAATAAAAGCCCGGCGTGGAACCGAAAGTGGTCTCGTGGTTGATGCCCATCCTGACGTCGTGTGTTGGCATGTTCGTGAGGGCCACGTCACCAGTTGTCTGTCTGCCTGTTTGTTGGTGCCACCTCTAGGGGTTTTCCAGAGCTATCCAGAGGGGTGTCGAAGCCCCTCCTAAAGGACCAGCCTTCTTTGTCCACCATTAAACCACCATCCAAGGAAGACCAGGCCGAATGTCAGTTAAGCTCTCGGCTTTCAAGGGGTTGAGCTTGAGACCCCCGCGGTGACGGGACGTCAGCCGAGACGCTTGCTGCCAGTCCCCGCCTGACAACCAGGATGGAGGCTGCCCGTCGCAGCTGGAAGCCGTGGCTGGCGTAAAGCGGGAGCGCCGTGCGCCTGATGACCTTTTTTTGTGGCGATTGTTAAGCGAATGTTGATTGTTAAGCAGATGGTTATCTTTCTCCGTCTCCTTCTGCTTTTCTTCTTTCTTCCTCTTCTCCTCCTTCTCGTTCTCGTCCTCGTCTTCCTCCCTCTCCTCTCTCCCAATCTCCTCCTCCTCGTTCTTCCTGTTCTCCTCTTCCTCCTCCTCCTCTCGCCCTTCCCATCTCCTCTCCTCCTTTTCCTCTTCCTCACCCTAGCCCTTCCCATCTCCTCTCCATCGCTTCTTCCTCTCCGTCTCCTTCTCCTTTTCCTCCTCACTCTCCTTCTCCTCCTTCTTCTTCCTCTCCTCTTCTTCCCCTCATCTTTCCCGTTCCTTTTTTCCTGCCTTTCTTCTTTCGCCTCCTCCTCTCCTTTTTTCCTGCTTTTCCTCCTCCTTCTCCTTCCCCGTCCTCCCCCTCCACAACTCCTCCTCCTCCTCCTCCTCCTCCTCTTCGTCTCGGTCCTTCTTTTCCTGTTTTTTCTCTTCCTCCTCCCCATCTCCTCCTCCTCTCCTCCTCTTCTTCTTTTCCTCCCCTTCTCCCCCCTTCCCTTCTCCTCTCCTCCTCCTGTTTTTCTCCACCTTCTCCCCTCCTTCTTTTCCTCCTCCACTTCCTCCTCCTCTTCTCACCCTTTCCATCCCCCTCCCCTTCTCCTCTCCTCCTTTTGTCTTCTCCTCTTCCTCTTACTCTTCCCATCTCCTCCCCTCCCCATCTCTTCCTCCTTCTCCTCCTCCTCGGTCTCCTTGCTCTCCTTCTCCCTCTTCCTTCTTCTTCCTCTTCTCCTCCTTCCCCTCCTTCTTGTCCTTCCTATTCCTTTTTTCCTGCCTTTCTTCTTCTGCTTCCTCTCTCTCTCTCTCATTCTTCCATCCCTCTCCCTTTCTTTCTCTCTTCCTCCTAACATCTCTCTCTCCCTCTCCCTCTTTCTCTTCCTCCCTCTCTCCCTTTCTTTCTCTCTCTTCCTCCATCCATCTCTTTCTCTTCCTCCCTCCCTCTCCCTTTCTTTCTCTCTTCCTCCTTCCATCTCTCCTTCTCCTTTCCTTCCTGCTTCTCCTCTCCTCCTCCCTCATCCTCCCTCTCCCCAACTCCTCCTCCTCTCCTTCTCCTTCTCCTCCTCTCCTCGTCCTTCCCCTATTCCTTTTTTCCTGCCTTTCTTCTTTCGCCTCCTCTCTTTCTTTCTCTCATTCTCTCTTCCTCCCTCCCTCTCTCCCTTTCTCTTCCTCCTTCCACCTCTCTCTCCCTCCCTCTCTCTCTTTCTCTCTTCCTCCCTCTTCCTTTCTTTCTCTCTTCCACCTTCCATCTCTCCTTCTCCTTTCCTTCCTGCTTCTCCTCTCCTCCTCCCCCATCCTCCCTCCCCAACTCCTCCTCCTCCTTTTTCCTCCTCCTCCCCGTGTCCTCCTCTCCTTCTCCTTCTCCTCCTCTCCTCGTCCTTCCCCTATTCCTTTTTTCCTGCCTTTTTTCTTTCGCCTCCTTTCTCTCATTCTCTCTTCCTCCCTCCCTCTCTCCCTTTCTCTTCCTCCTTCCACCTCTCTCTCCCTCCCTCTCTCTTTCTCTCTTCCTCCCTCTTCCTTTCTTTCTCTCTTCCTCCTTCCATCTCTCCTTCTCCTTTCCTTCCTGCTTCTCCTCTCCTCCTCCCCATCCTCCCTCTCCCCAACTCCTCCTCCTCCTTTTTCCTCCTCCTCTTCCTCCTCCTCCCCGTGTCCTCCTCTCCTTCTCCTTCTCCTCCTCTCCTCATCCTTCCCCTATTCCTTTTTTCCTGCCTTTTTTCTTTCGCCTCTTTCTTCTTCCGTCTCTTCTCTCTCTTTCTTTCTCTCATTCTCTCTTCCTCCCTCTCTCTCTTTCTCTTCCTCCTTCCACCTCTCTCTCCCTCCCTCTCTCATTCTCTCTTCCTCTCCCTTTCTTTTCCTCCATCCATTTCTCTCTCTTTCTCTCTTCCTCCCTCTCCCTCTTTCTTTCTCTTCCACCTTCCATCTCTCCTTCTCCTTTCCTTCCTGCTTCTCCTCTCCTCCTCCCCATCCTCCCTCTCCCCAACTCCTCCTCCTCCTTTTTCCTCCTCCTCTTCCTCCTCCTCCCCGTGTCCTCCTCTCCTTCTCCTTCTCCTCCTCTCCTCATCCTTCCCCTATTCCTTTTTTCCTGCCTTTTTTCTTTCGCCTCCTCTCTTTCTCTCATTCTCTCTTCCTCCCTCCCTCTCTCCCTTTCTCTTCCTCCTTCCACCTCTCTCTCCCTCCCTCTCTCTCTTTCTCTCTTCCTCCCTCTTCCTTTCTTTCTCTCTTCCACCTTCCATCTCTCCTTCTCCTTTCCTTCCTGCTTCTCCTCTCCTCCTCCCCCATCCTCCCTCTCCCCAACTCCTCCTCCTCCTTTTTCCTCCTCCTCCCTGTGTCCTCCTCCTCTCCTTCTCCTCCTCCTCTCCTCGTCCTTCCCCTATTCCTTTTTTCCTGCCTTTCTTCTTCCGTCTCTTCTCTTTCTTTCTCTCATTCTCTCTTCCTCCCTCTCTCTCCCTTTCTCTTCCTCATTCCACCTCTCTCTCCCTCCCTCTCTCATTCTCTCTTCCTCTCCCTTTCTTTTCCTCCATCCATTTCTCTCTCTTTCTCTCGTCCTCCCTCTCCCTCTTTCTTTCTCTTCCACCTTCCATCTCTCCTTCTCCTTTCCTTCCTGCTTCTCCTCTCCTCCTCCCCCATCCTCCCTCTCCCCAACTCCTCCTCCTCCTTTTTCCTCCTCCTCTTCCTCCTCCTCCCCGTGTCCTCCTCTCCTTCTCCTTCTCCTCCTCTCCTCGTCCTTCCCCTATTCCTTTTTTCCTGCCTTTTTTCTTTCGCCTCCTTTCTCTCATTCTCTCTTCCTCCCTCCCTCTCTCCCTTTCTCTTCCTCCTTCCACCTCTCTCTCCCTCCCTCTCTCTTTCTCTCTTCCTCCCTCTTCCTTTCTTTCTCTCTTCCTCCTTCCATCTCTCCTTCTCCTTTCCTTCCTGCTTCTCCTCTCCTCCTCCCCATCCTCCCTCTCCCCAACTCCTCCTCCTCCTTTTTCCTCCTCCTCTTCCTCCTCCTCCCCGTGTCCTCCTCTCCTTCTCCTTCTCCTCCTCTCCTCGTCCTTCCCCTATTCCTTTTTTCCTGCCTTTTTTCTTTCGCCTCCTTTCTCTCATTCTCTCCTCCTCCCTCCCTCTCTCCCTTTCTCTTCCTCCTTCCACCTCTCTCTCCCTCCCTCTCTCTTTCTCTCTTCCTCCCTCTTCCTTTCTTTCTCTCTTCCACCTTCCATCTCTCCTTCTCCTTTCCTTCCTGCTTCTCCTCTCCTCCTCCCCCATCCTCCCTCTCCCCAACTCCTCCTCCTCCTTTTTCCTCCTCCTCCCCGTGTCCTCCTCTCCTTCTCCTTCTCCTCCTCTCCTCGTCCTTCCCCTATTCCTTTTTTCCTGCCTTTTTTCTTGTCGCGCTCCCTCTCTTCTCTCATTCGCTCTCCTCCCTCCCTCTCTCACCTTTCTCGTCCTCCTTCCACCTCTCTCTCCCTCTCCTTCTCTCTCCTTTCCCTCTCTTTCCTCCCTCTTCTTTCTTTCTCTCGTCCCACCTTCCATCTCTCCTTTCTCCTTTCCTTTCCTGCTTTCTCCTCGTCCTCTCACCCCATCCTCCCTCTTCCCCACTCCTCCTCCTCTTTTTCCTCCTCCTCCTGGTCCTCTCTCTCCTTCTCCTCCTCTTCTCCTCATCTCCTTCTCCTCCTCCTCTCCTCGTCCTTCCCCTATTCCTTTTTTCCTGCCTTTCTTCTTCCGTCTCTTCTCTCTCTTTCTTTCTCTCATTCTCTCTTCCTCCCTCTCTCTCTTTCTCTTCCTCCTTCCACCTCTCTCTCCCTCCCTCTCTCATTCTCTCTTCCTCTCCCTTTCTTTTCCTCCATCCATTTCTCTCTCTCTTTCTCTCGTCCTCCCTCTCCCTCTTTCTTTCTCTTCCACCTTCCATCTCTCCTTCTCCTTTCCTTCCTGCTTCTCTCTCCTCTCCTTCCTCCCCCATACCTCCCCTCTCCCCAACTCCTCCTCCTCCTTTTTCCCCTCCTCTTCCTCCTCCCTCCCCGGTCCTCTCTCCTTCTTCATTCTCCTTCCTCTCCTTCGTCCTTCCTATTCCTTTTTTCCTGCCTTTTTTCTTTCGCCTCCTCTCTTTCTCTCATTCTCTCTTCCTCCCTCCCTCTCTCCCTTTCTCTTCCTCCTTCCACCTCTCTCTCCCTCCCTCTCTCTCTTTCTCTCTTCCTCCCTCTTCCTTTCTCTCTTCCTCCCTCTTCCTTTCTTTCTCTCTTCCACCTTCCATCTCTCCTTCTCCTTTCCTTCCTGCTTCTCCTCTCCTCCTCCCCCATCCTCCCTCTCCCCAACTCCTCCTCCTCCTTTTTCCTCCTCCTCCCCGTGTCCTCCTCCTTCCCTCCTCCTCCTCTCCTCGTCCTTCCCCTATTCCTTTTTTCCTGCCTTTCTTCTTCCGTCTCTTCTCTCTCTTTCTTTCTCTCATTCTCTCTTCCTTCCTCTCTCTCTTTCTCTTCCTCCTTCCACCTCTCTCTCCCTCCCTCTCTCATTCTCTCTTCCTCTCCCTTTCTTTTCCTCCATCCATTTCTCTCTCTTTCTCTCTTCCTCCCTCTCCCTCTTTCTTTCTCTTCCACCTTCCATCTCTCCTTCTCCTTTCCTTCCTGCTTCTCCTCTCCTCCTCCCCCATCCTCCCTCTCCCCAACTCCTCCTCCTCCTTTTTCCTCCTCCTCCCTGTGTCCTCCTCCTCTCCTTCTCCTCCTCCTCTCCTCGTCCTTCCCCTATTCCTTTTTTCCTGCCTTTCTTCTTCCGTCTCTTCTCTTTCTTTCTCTCATTCTCTCTTCCTCCCTCTCTCTCCCTTTCTCTTCCTCATTCCACCTCTCTCTCCCTCCCTCTCTCATTCTCTCTTCCTCTCCCTTTCTTTTCCTCCATCCATTTCTCTCTCTTTCTCTCGTCCTCCCTCTCCCTCTTTCTTTCTCTTCCACCTTCCATCTCTCCTTCTCCTTTCCTTCCTGCTTCTCCTCTCCTCCTCCCCCATCCTCCCTCTCCCCAACTCCTCCTCCTCCTTTTTCCTCCTCCTCTTCCTCCTCCTCCCCGTGTCCTCCTCTCCTTCTTCTTCTCCTCCTCTCCTCGTCCTTCCCCTATTCCTTTTTTCCTGCCTTTTTTCTTTCGCCTCCTCTCTTTCTCTCATTCTCTCTTCCTCCCTCCCTCTCTCCCTTTCTCTTCCTCCTTCCACCTCTCCCTCCCTCTCTCATTCTCTCTTCCTCCCTCTCCCTTTCTTTCTTTTCCTCCCTCCCTCTCTCTTTCTCTCTTCCTCCCTCTTCCTTTCTTTCTCTCTTCCACCTTCCATCTCTCCTTCTCCTTTCCTTCCTGCTTCTCCTCTCCTCCTCCCCCATCCTCCCTCTCCCCAACTCCTCCTCCTCTTTTTCCTCCTCCTCTTCCTCCTTCTCCTCCTCTCCTCGTCCTTCCCCTATTCCTTTTTTCCTGCCTTTCTTCTTTCGCCTCCTCCTCTCCTTTTTTCCCGCTTTTCCTCCTTCCCCTCCCCATCTCCTCCTTCTTCGCCTCCTCCTCCTCCTCCCCCCTAGCTGCAGCCGCCTTAAGGAGAAATACCACCTGACCTTCACAGGAGGCCTGTGGTGGGAGGAAGAAGGGAAAAGCTGGGGAAAACCTGCTCCTCCTGGTCCTTCATGTGTCCTAGAAGCTTGACATGTTTCCAAATAGCATTCTTGGGCCAGGGGCAAAAGGGGCAAGGGGGGTGGGGCAGAGTTTATGCCCTCCGTAGATTTATGCAGCTCCAACTCAGCCGGAGACTCTAAGCACCGGGATTGAGGAACAGAAGGACAGAGCTGGAAGGGACCTCGGAGGTCATCCAGACCAACCCCCTGCTCCAGCAGGAGACCCTGAGAGAATCATAAAATAACAAAAGTTGAAAGGGACCTCGGAGGTCATCTAGTCCAGCCCCCTGCTCCAGCAGGAGACCCTGACAGAATCGTAGGACAGAGTTGGAAGGGACCCCGGAGGTCATCCAGCCCAACCCCCTGCTCCAGAAAGAGATCCTTACAGAATCATAGAATAACAAGAGTTGAAAGGGACCTCGGAGGTCATCTAGTCCAACCCCCTGCTCCAGCAGGAGACCCTGACAGAATCATAGCATGACAAGAGTTGGAAGGGATCTCAGAGGTCATCTAGTCCAACCCCCTGCTCCAGCAGGAGACCCTTACAGAATCATAGAATAACAAGAGTTAGAAGGGACCTTGGAGGTCATGTAGTCCAACCCCTTGCTTGAGCAGGAGACCCTTACAGAATTACAGAATCATAGAGTTGGAAGGGACCCTGGCGGTCGTCTAGTCCAACCCCTTGCTCAAGCAGAATCATAGGACAGAGTTGGAAGGGGCCTCGGAGGTCAACTAGACCAACCCCCTGCTCCAGCAGGAGACCCTTACAGAATCATAGAATGAAAAGAGTTGGAAGGGATCTCGGAGGTCATCTAGTCCAACCCCCTGCTCAAGGAGGAGACCATTACAGAATCATTAGAATGACAGAGGTGGGAGGGACCTCGGAGGTCATCTAGTCCAACCCCCATGCTCGACAGGAGACTTTCATAGAATCACAGAAGGACAGAGTTGGAAGGGACCTCGGAGGTCATCTAGTCCAACCCCCTGGCTCAGACAGGAGACGCTATGCCATTTCAGACCGAGGGCTGTCCCATCTCATTTGAAAAGCCTCCAGTGACGGGAGCATCCACAACCTCTGGGGGCGACCCCCGGGATGAGGCCTCTTCACAACGGAGCCATGCGACAGGCGGGCTGGCACACGCGTGTGCCCTGCACAAGCAGCTTGACTCGCTCGAGCGGTGAGCCGGCAATGTACATGCCTGCACGCACAGCTTGAGTTGTGTGAGTGGTGTGCAATCAGCCAGTCAATCAGTCAGTCAGTCAGTCAGTCTGTGAATCAGTCAGTTAATCAATCAATCAGGCAGGCAGCCAGTCAATCAGTTAATCAATCAATCAACCTATCAGTCAGTCATCCTAGTAGACAATCACCTAAATAGGAGCCAGCCGTGTGCTGCAGCTGCCAAAAAGGCCAACACGGTGCTAGGCTGCATTAACAGAGGGATAGAATCAAAATCACGTGAAGTATTAATACCACTTTACAAGGCCTTGGTAAGGCCACACTTGGAATCCTGCATCCAGTTTTGGTCCCCATGATGTAAAAAAGATGTTGAGACTCTGGAAAGAGTGCAGAGAAGAGCAACAAAGAGGATCAGGGGACTGGAGGCTAAAACATATAAGGAACGGTTGCTGGAAGTGGGTATGTCTAGTTTAACGAAGAGAAGGACGAGGGGGGACATAATAGCAGTCTTCCAGTATCTCAGGGGCTGCCATAAAGAAGAGGGAATTAAGCTATTCTCCAAAGCGCCTGAAGGCAGGACAAGAAGCAACGGGTGGAAACTAAGCAAGGAGAGAAGCAACCTAGAACTAAGGAGAAACTTCCTGATAGTGAGAACAATTAACCAGTGGAACCACCTGCCTCCAGAAGCAGTAAATGCTCCAACATTGGAAGTTTTTAAGTAGAGACTGGACAGCCATTTGTCCGAAATGGCATAGGGTTTCCTGCCTGAGCAGGGGGTTGGACTAGATGACCTCCAAGGTCCCTTCCAACTTTACTACTATTACTATCCAGCCAGCCAGCCAATCAATCAATCAATGTCATCCAGCCAGCCAATCAATGAATCAATCAATCAATCAATCAGCCAGTCAGTCAGTTAATCAATCAGTCAGTCAATCAATCAATCAGCCAGACAGCCAATCAATCAATCAGGCAGGCAATCAGTCAGTCAATTAATTAATCAATCAACTAATCAGTCAGTCAGCCAGCCAGCCAATCAGTCAGTGAATTAGTCAATTAATCAATCAGGCAGGCAGGCAGGCAGGCAATCAATCAATCTATCAGTCACCCAGCCAGCCAGCCAATCAATCAATCAGCCAGTCAGTCAGTTAATCAATCAGTCAGTCAATCAATCAATCAGCCAGACAGCCAATCAATCAATCAGGCAGGCAATCAGTCAGTCAATTAATTAATCAATCAACTAATCAGTCAGTCAGCCAGCCAGCCAATCAGTCAGTGAATTAGTCAATTAATCAATCAGGCAGGCAGGCAGGCAGGCAATCAATCAATCTATCAGTCACCCAGCCAGCCAGCCAATCAATCAATCAATGTCATCCAGCCAGCCAATCAGTTAATGAATCAATCAATCAATCAATCAGCCAGCCAGCCAGCCAGCCAATCAATCAATAAATTAATCAGTCAGCCACCCAGCCAGTCAGTTAATCAATCAGTCAATCAATCAATCAATCAGCCAGCCAGCCAATCAATCAGGCAATCAGTCAGTTAATTAATCAATCAATTAATCAATCAGTCAGCCAGCCAGCCAGCCAATCAGTCAGTCAGTGAATTAGTCAATTAATCAATCAGGCAGGCAGGCAGTCAATCAGTCAGTTAATCAATCTATCAGTCAGTCAGCCAGCCAGCCAGCCAATCAATCAATCAATGCCATCCATCCAGCCAATCAGTTAATTAATCAATCAATCAATCAGCCAGCCAATCAATCAGTTAATAAATCAGTCAGTCATTATCAGTTAATCAATCAGTCAATCAATCAGTCAGTCAGCCACCCAGCCAGTCAGTTAACCAATCAATCAATCAATCAGTCAGTCAAACAATCAATCAGACAGGCAATCAATCAGTCAGTCACTCACTCAGCCCACCCCTCACATGGCCCGCTTCCTCTGCCCCCCTTCCCCCCCCCCAGGCCTGCCAAGCCTTGATGGTTTGGGACTCCTTTGACTAACTAGCCCAATCCTAGTCAGTTGGGTCCTTCCTCTTTCCAGATATAATGTCGGCTTCTGCCCCTCCCACCGGTCACAGGAACCCCCCCCCCGTGGAACTGTCACCTCCTCCTCCTCCTCCTCACCCTCCCCCTCCCCCCAAAAGACTACGGCCAGCCGTTTCCTCTTGAATCACCCAGCTTTATTGCCTTTGGCTGGCTGACCAGGTGCACCCTGGGAGGGGAAGTCACCTACTCCCTCCTTTACGACCATCCCGTGGACCGGTAGCGGGCCGCGGCACGCCAGCAACCGGTCCGCACAAACAAGCAAAGCCCCGTCCGCGGGACGAAGGCAGCGGGCGAAACGGCGCGTCCTCCGGTCTGCGGGAAAACCTCTCTCCGCGGTAGCGGTCCCTGGCGTCCAAAAGGTGGGGACGCCTGCCCTAGGAAGCGCCCGGTTTGCTAAGCTAAGAATTTGGAGACCGTCCAGCCTGGACTGGCCTTGGTCTCCTCCTTGGTGGATGGGGCTGCCAGATTACGCCCGAACATCCATGTCGGCGTCCTTCCTCTGCCGGTCTCTCTCCAGGTTGCTGCCATGTTCGCCGCAAACAACGACGTCCCGCAGAGAAACGAAAAGACTTCCTTCCCCCCCCTCGAGCAAGTTTAAAGGTCAGGGTCCCGAAGTCCAAGGCCTTGGCAGCCGGCTTCCGGCTTGAACTTGGTCAGGGTCTCCAGAGGCACGGGAAGCGGGGCGCAGGAGAGGAGGAGGGGGTGCACCGGGAGGAAGGGGTTCCCGTCCTTGCCGTCCTCCCCGTGGCAGGGCCGCAGGCGGTCCCCCGCGTGAGCCGCCTGGTGCCCCTTCAGCTGCTTCCGCTGGCCGAAGACGAGGCCGCACTCGGTGCACGGATACACCCGTTGCACCGTGTGCGTCAGCTGGTGGGTCCGCAGGTTCCCCTTGTACTTGAAGCTCTTCCCACACTCCAGGCAGGCGAAGGGCCGCTCGCCGGTGTGGATCCGCCGATGCTTCATCAGGGTGGTCTTCAGGTTGAAGGTCTTGCCGCACGCGCCGCAGGCAAAGGGCCGCTCGCCGGTGTGGATGCGCTGGTGGGTGACCAGGGTACCCTTGCGGTTGAAGCTCTTCCCGCACTCGGGGCAGGAGAAGGGCTTCTCACCCGTGTGGATGCGTCGGTGCTTGATAAGTTCCCCATTGTGGCTGAAGCTCTTCCCACAGTCGGCGCAGGAGAAGGGCCGCTCGCCGGTGTGGATGCGCCGGTGGCGGGTCAGGTCCCCGTTCCGGCTGAAGCTCTTCCCGCAGTCGGGGCAGGCGAAGGGCCGCTCGCCCCCGTGGATCTTCTGGTGGAGGAGGAAGGTCTTCCGGGCGCAGAAGCCCTTGCCGCACGCGCCGCAGACGAACGGCCGCTCGCCCCGGTGGCTCTTCTGGTGGGTGAGGAAGTTGGCCTTGTGGCTGAAGCCCTTCCCGCACTCGGGGCAGGAGAAGGGCCTCTCGCCGGTGTGGGTGCGCTGGTGGAAGACGAAGGTCTGCTTGGAGCAGAAGCTCTTGCCGCAGACGGGGCAGGCGAAGGGCTTCTCCCCCGTGTGGAGCCGCAGGTGGCGTATCAGGTCCCCCTTCTGGCTGAAGCGCTTCCCGCACGCGGCGCAGGGGAAGGGCCTCTCCCCCGTGTGGACCCGCAGGTGGGTCGCCAGGTTGCCGCGGTGCGGGAAGCGCTTCCCGCACACGCTGCAGGCGAAGGGCCGCTTGGGGCAGTGGTAGGCCTCGGTCACGCCGGAGACGATGCCGGTCGGCTTTTCCACAGCACCGGGGGATCGTCCGGGATCGGAGGCGGGTGGTGGGGACGCGTCCTGAACCCCGCTGCGTTTCATCTTGGGGCAGTCCCGGGAAAGAGCGCTTTCCACACGCTTTCCACATGGCTCCTGGCTCGGCTGTCCCCACGGTACATTGGGACTCGGCTCCAAGCAGCCGGCTGGCAGAGAAGAGAGAAGAATTAGCCGGGTGACGTAAGTCGAGGACAAGGTGTAACTACTTACAGAGTAAAGGCAACTCACAAGACCTGTGCTGGGTGGCCAAAAGCGGGTCAAACTCACCCAGGGGGTCAGGCTTAGGAGGATGGGAGCAGCCAAAGACCCCCTCCCCCTCCTCCTCTGGTTCCATCTTCACAATAACGTCAGGTTTGGTGTCAGCTGGGGATGGGGATAGAAAGCTGAGTCACTAGAGGAGGGGACGATGGGATTGTAGTCCCACTGGGGAAAAGACCACCACCTCCCCCCCCCCAGCCACACCAAGCTCCGAGACCGGCCAACTCACAGGAATCGTTGCTGGCATCCTCGTCGCTCTCTTCCCGGAGACCCGCACGGTACGACGGATCCCCTGAGTCCTCCTTGATCACCACCTCTGGCCGGATCCCTGGAACCAAATGCACCACGGTGCGATTGCAGCTTCCCCTCGGAGGCAAGCGCCGGGCTTCCCCCGAGGGTGGGGACCACGCCTGGAGCAAGCCTCGGGGTCCCCGTCTGGGGTCTTTCGTGAACCCCCTTCCTGCGCCCCATACAAGACGGCTTGCAAGGAGAGATTGGACAGCAATGGATCAGAAATCGCATTGGGTCTCCTGCTTGAGCAGGGGGCTGGACTAGAAGACCTCCGAGGTCCCATTCTAGCTTTGTTATTCTATGATTCTGTAAGAGTCTCCTCCTTGAGCAGGGGGTTGGACTAGATGACCTCCGAGGTCCCTTCCAGCTCTGTCATTCTAGGATTCTGTAAGGGTCTCCTGCTTGAACAGGTGGTTGGACTAGATGACCTCTGAAGTCCCTTCCAGCTCTGTCATTCTAGGATTCTGTAAGGGTCTCCTGCTTGAGCAGGGGGTTGGACTAGATGATCTTCGAGGTACCTGCCATCTCTGTCATTCTATCATTCTGGAAGGGTCTCTTTCTTATGAGGTTTGACTAGATGACCTCTAAAAACCCCTCCAATTCTGCTATTTTATAAGGGTCTCCTGCTCAGGGAGGAAGTTGGGCTAGATGACCTCCGAGGTCCCTTCCAGCTCTCCGATTCTGTAATTTGGGAAGGGTCTCTTGCTTTGAGTAAGGGGTTTGGCTAGATGACCTCTCAGATCCCTTCCAGCACTGTGATTCTACGATTCTGTGAGGCTCTCCTATATGATCCAGAATGGGAGACTCACAGAGGTGGAAGGGATCTTAGAGGTCATCTAGTCGAACCCCCTACTCAAGCAAGAGACCCTTCCCAAATTACAGAGTTGGAAGGGACCTCAGAGGTCATCTAGTCCAACCCCCCCTGCTCGAGCAGGAGAACTTACACCATTCCAGACCAATGGCCGTCCGATCTTTTCGTGAAGACCTCCAGTACTGGAGTGCCTGCGTCTTCTGGTGGCAAGCTGTTCCACGGGTTAATTGCTTTCACTGTCCGGCCTTACCTGAAGGCAATAACGCCTCTCCCTCGGCCAGGTCTCGGGGACGGCCAATGCGCAACTCCTCCACCGGCTCCTCCTTCACTGCCACTTCGGACCCTGGAGGGAGGGGGCCATAGTCAAGGCAAGGGGGGGCACAGTTAGGACCCTCGTTACCCCACCCCGAAGGTTGGGAGGCCGAGACCCAACCAGCCCCCAGCAAAACACGGAAACGGGACTTTGATACCGCTGGACAATCAGGAGTAAGAAGTCTCCCACCTCTTGCCAGGCAGCCGGGACCCCTCCTCATTTACACCTCTACCCCCCCCCGAGCACATCGGGGCTGGGGGTGTCTGCCCGAATACAAAGGAGGGTCTGCCAGAGTAGGAAGCCCCCTCCTCTAAAAAGACTCAGTAAAAACTCAATCTCTACCAAGGGGAAAGGAAGGGGAACGGCGGCACAATGTGGCGCCCGAAGAGGGGTCTCATGACACCTCCGGAACAAAAGGCTGCTCGCACACAGGCAGGAAGACCCCCCCCCGCCATCCCATATACACACACATATATATTACAAGGGAGACGGGAGGGGCACAGACCTCCTCCCTCTACAGCAGACATGTCAAACTTGCGCGACGTCACGTAACATCGTGCGCCGTGGCAGCAATGGGATGGGCACGGTTTCCTCATGATGCGTCCGGCCCACGGGCCGACAGTTTTGACACCCCTACTCTACAGGGAGGCTTGCCCGCTGATCATTCCAAAGAGACCCCCCCCCCAGGGATCCCAGGAAGGGGAAGGGGTTTCTGCTATCCGCCAGAGGGGACCGTTCCACTCAGGGGCGCCGCGGACCAGTGAGCAAAAGACCTATCAGGGAGATGCAAACGGTCCTCGACTTTTCAACGGTTCGTTTTGTGAACCGAAAAATGCGACTGGGGACCATTCTTCACTCTTGCGGCGGTCGCACCATCCCCACGATCACAGGATCGAAACTCGGACCCTCGTATTTATGAGGGTCACAGCATCGCGGAGATCACACGATTCCCCTTTTGCGACTTTCAGACGAGCAAAGTCGACGGGGAAACTGGATTCGCTTAACCACCGGGTTACTAACTTAATAACTGCAGGGATTTGCTTAACAACGGTGGCAAAACTCAAAGGGGCAAAACTCAGGGCTTCACGTACCAAGGTAAATGTCGGGCTCAGTCGTGGCTGTACGTCGAGGACAGGCGAGGCTAACAATTTGCAATCCAGCCAGGAGGGGCTTCCATCCCGGTCGTGCGTTTGCCTTTCGGAGAGTCTGTCAGATGCTCTCCCCTTCCCACCAGCTCAGTACCCTTCCTCATCTGGATCACCCCAATTCCGAAGACCCCCCGAAAGATAATCTCACCTGGATTGGCAAGTTTGGGTCTCGCCCACGGGGTCTCCATTTTCTCGTCTCTCTTCTCTGACCAAAAAGGGTCACATTAACGAATCCTGTCTGGGGCAGGAGAGATGGCATAAATGAAGGAAAATGAAGACCCCACACACACACACACACAGAGAGAGAAACGAGGAGAGGGTCCCCATCTTTTCCCCGGACCCCCACAAAACCTGGGATGTTTGGCTGGCAAGTCGGAATGTCAGCGAGAAGAGAATATTTGTGTTTCAGGATTAAAGGGCAATACCCACATCGCCGATAAGCCTCGATCGACAAACGTTCGTTTAGCGACCGTTCGAAATTCCCACAGCACCGAAAAACGGGACTGAAGACCGTTTTTCACACTTCCGACCGTTCAGCATCTCTACAGTCGCGTGAGCAAAATTTAGGCACTTGGCAACCGGCTCACATTTGTGACGGTCGCAGCGTCCCGGGGTCACGTGACCTTCCGGCAAGCAAAGTCAAAATGGGGAAGCCGGATTCCCATAATGACCTGGTGACTCATTTGATTACTGCGATGGATTCACTGAACAACAGTGGCAAAAAAGGTCGTAAAATGGGGCAAAACTGACTTGACAGATGTCTTGCTTAGCAACAGAAATTTTTGGGCTCACTTGTGGCCAGAATTCAAGGTCTAGTTGACATTCTCCTCCTTGCCATTCGTTTGAGGGGGGAAAACTCAAGTAGCCTTCAGGGCTTCTTAGATGCCCCTCCCTTCTCCCGTCAGTCAATCGATCAGAATAGAGCTGGAAGGGACCTCGGAGGTCATCTAGTCCAACCCCCTGCTCCAGCAGGACACGCTTACAGAATCATAGAGTAACAGAGTTGGAAGGGGTCTGGAAGGTCATCTAGTCCAACCCCCTGCTTCAGCAGGAGATCCCTAGACCAGGGGGTGGGGGGGAACCTTGGCTCTTTGATGACTCGTGGACTTTAACTCCCAGAACTCCTGAGCCAGCATGGCTGGTTCAGGAATTCTGGATGTTGAAGTCCCCAAGTCATGAAAGGGCCAAGGTTGCCTACCCCTGCCCTGGACCATTTCTATCTATCTATCTATCTATCTATCTATCTATCTATCTATCTATCTATCTATCTATCTCTATCTATCTATCTATCTATCTATCTATCTATCTATCTATCTATCTATCTATCTATCTATCATGTATATCATCTATCTATCATCTATCTATCATTATCTATCTCTATCATCTATCATCTATCTATCACACTGGTTCTCAACCTTTTTAATGCTGCGACCCCCAACCGGTTGTAAGTCGAGGACTACTCAACCAGTCGTAAGTCGAGGACTACTCAAGTGGTGCAGCACCGTTTGCAGAATGGGACTTTTGGTGGGCTCAGCAGGGCAGAGAGAGCCTGGACAATTCCTATGGGCTTTGGAAAGCCAATAGAATTAGACTCTATTCAAGAGAGTCTCTTCTATTGGCTTTCAAAAGCCAATAGAATAAAAGGGAGGAGCACAGCTAAGGAAAAGGGGGAAAAAATGGCAGACTGCATCGTTTGGCGACCCCTGTGAAATGGTCGTTTGACCCCAAAAGGGGTCCCGACCCCACAGGTTGAGAACCACTGATCTATCATCTATCTATCATCTATCCATCATCTATCTATCATCTATATCTATCATTATCTATCTATCATCTATCTATTATCTCTATCTCTATCATCTATCTATCTATCATCTACCTATATCTATATCATCTATATCTATCTATCATCTATCTATTTATATCTCTATCATCTATCTATCATCTATCATTTATCTATCATCTATCATCTATCTATAAACTATCATCTACATCTATCTATCATCTCTATCTATCATCCATCTATCGTCTATTATCTATATCTCTATCTATCATGTATCTATCTCTATCTATCATCTATGTATCATCTATAATATAGATGATAGATAGATGATAGATGATAGATATAGATTCTATATCTATCATCTATCTATCATCTGTCTATCTATCTATCATCTATATCTCTATCATCTATCATCTATGTCTATCATCTATCTACCATCTCTCTATCTATCTATCTATCTATCTATCTATCTATCTATCTATCTATCATCTCTCTATCATCTCTCTATCTATATCTATCTATCTATCTATCTATCTATCTATCTATCCATCCATCCATCCATCCATCTATCTATCTATCTATCCCTCCCTATCTATCTATCTATCTATCCATCCATCCATCTATCTATCCCTCCCTATCTATCTATCTATCTATCTATCTATCTATCTATCTATCTATCCCCCCCCCTCTCTCTCTCATCTATCAGAATAGAGCTAACTCTGCCAGCCCAGTCCGAGAGACCCCCCCACACCTCTCTTCTCGCGAAGCCCTCTGGGATGCGACCACCTTGGCTTAGCCACAGCAGGTAGAGGGGGGGGGGACACCGAGGCTGCGAAGGGGGCGAGTGGACCCTGCAGGCGTCGGTGGGGGGGGGGTGAGAAAGCGGGAGGATCAGGCACCCTTCGAAGTAGGCGGCTTCGCCAGCGGCTATTTTTTGGGGGTGGGGGGGGCGACCCTTCAGATGTCCCGCAGGCCCCTCCAGCGGAGCTCTCCCAACAACCAGTTCTAGGGTGGGGTGGGGTGGGGGGTCTTCGGGGTCGGGAGGGCAAGTAGGTGGGGGGGGCAGCAGGTAGATGGGAAGGCAGCGCCCCCCCCCTCCCCTTTTGCAAGGAGCCTTTTCCTTCCCCTCCTTCTCCACCAGCGATTCTTACCTGGCCGGCCCCCTAGGAGGAGTGGGAGGGGGCACTTACCTGGCCCTCCCCCTCGGAGGAAGGGGGGGGCACTTACCTGGCCGACCAGGTAAGGAACAGGCGCCCCTTGAGGCTTTCTTTGGGGTGGGGGCGCCGCTTCAGATGTCCATCGGAGCTCTCCAACATCCATCTCCGGGGGGGAAGGGGGGCTCCGGGGTGGGGAGGCCGCCTGCGGGGGGGGGCAAGGAGGTGGGGGGGCGGCGACCCCCCACCCCTGGCAAGGAGCCTTCGCCTCCCCCTCCCCCGCCCGAGAGACCTACCTGGCCGGCCGCTCCGAGGAGAAAAAGGGGGCGCAACGAAGACCCCCCCCGGGGTGGGGAGAAAAGACCCGTGCGCCCAGGGCGCACAGAGAGAACGGGGGGGCCTCGCCTCGCCTTTGTTGGGGAGGGAGGAGGAGGAGGAGGACTACGACTCCCGACAGCCCCCGCGGGGGCTCCGCCCACCCCTCGCCCACCCCCTGGCCGAGCCCCCTCCCACGAACCCTCCCCGCTTGGCGCACCCCCAACCCTCCATTCCGGGGTCTCCGGCTCCCAAAGCGGGGAGGGAGCGAAGGAAGGGCGGGGGGGGGGGAAGAGCTGGTCCTTAAACGGAGCCAGGAGAAGGAGGGAGGGGAGGATGGGGGAGGGAGTCCTAGCTGGGGAGGGGACTAGTCCGGGTTGTGGGGGGGAAAGGACCCCAAAACGGGCTCCCCCACCCCGGGGGTCTTCCCGGACCGAGCGATGATCGGGCAGCGCGCAAAGATGGAATCACACAGCTGGAAGGGACCTCGGAGGTCCTCTAGTCCAGCCCCCTTGCTCGAGCGGGAGAACCCCCTTCCAGAAGGACGGAGCTGGGAGGGATCGTGGAGGTCATCTAGTCCAGCCCACTGCTCAGAAGGAGACCCCCTTCCAGAAGGATGGAGCTGGGAGGGATTTTGGAGGTCATCTAGTCCAGCCCACTGCTCAAGCGGGAGAGCCCCTTCCAGAAGGATGGAGCAGGGAGGGATATTGGAGGTCCTCTAGTCCAGCCCCCTTGCTCAAGCGGGAGACCCCCTTCCAGAAGGATGGAGCAGGGAGGGATATTGGAGGTCCTCTAGTCCAGCCCCCTTGCTCAAGCGGGAGACCCCCTTCCAGAAGGACGGAGCTTTGGAGAATAACGTGACCCCCTCCTCTTCTTTGGGGCAGCCCCCCCAAATTCTGGAATAACTGCTATCATGTCTCTTTCTTGCACAACGAAAAACCAGTCGATCAGGGTAGAGCTGGAAGGGACCTTGGAGGTCATCTAGTCCAGCCCCCTGCTCGAGCAGGAGATCCTTACGGAATGACAGAGCTGGAAGGGACCTGAGAGGTCATCTAGTCCAACCCCAACTCAAACATCAAACGGTTGCAGAATTACAGAATCCTAGAGTTGGAAGGGACCTCCGAGGTCATTTAGTCCAGCCCCCTGCTCAAGCAGGAGACCCCTTCCAGGAGGACAGAGCTGGAAGGGACCTCGGAGGTCCTCTCGTCCAGCCCCCTGCTCAAGCGGGAGAAAACCCCTTCCAGAATCACAGTGTTGGGAGAGACCTTGGAGGTCATCTAGTCCAACCCCCAGCTCAAGCAGGAAACCCTTACACAAGCACGAAAGGGACCCCGGAGGTCATCCAATCCAGCCTCCAGCCCAAGCAGGAGACCCTTACAGAATGACAGAGTCGGAAGGGACCTTGGAGATCATCTAGTCCGACCCCCTGCTCAAGCTGGGGACCCTTACGGAATCATAGAACAACAGGGCTGGAAGGGACCCCGGAGGTCATCTAGTCCAGCCCCCTGCTCAAGCGGGAGAACCCCTTCCAGAATCACAGTGTTGGAAGAGACCTTGGAGGTCATCTAGTCCAACCCCCCCCCCCCCCGCTCAGGCTGGAGAGCCTCGACCATTGCAGACGAATGGCGGTCCAATCTCTTCAGGAAAACTTCTTCTTCTGCTTTTTTAAACCTATATTTTATTGTGTTTTTTTTTTAAAAAAAAAAAAAAAACCGAACAACCGGGCGCCACCAGCGAGACGCGCGGCCGGAGCGGCCGGAAGCCGCTCTTCCTCGCAGGCCCGCCGAGGGCGCCCGGGTCCAGGCGCCCACTTCCGCCGCCCCCACCCTAGCTTCCGGCGACGCGCTAGCCAGTTCCCCCTCCGCGACTTGTCTGCTCGCTGGGCCAGATGGCGGCTGCCGGGCTCTTCCTGGGACGAGGTGGGGAGGGAAGGGGGGGGGAGTCCTGGAGGGCGCCTGGTCGGGGGGGGGACAATTGGGGGTGGGGGGTGTCCTGAGGGTGGGGGGGGGAAATGGGGAGGGTCCGGGGGGGGCAGGGAGAAAATCCGGGGGCTTGGGGGTCCTCCTGGGGGGGGAAGGATATGGGAGGGAGGGGTAACCTGGGAGAGTGGGCGGAGCTTAAGGTGGGGGGGATCAGGGGAGGGCGATTTGGGGGGCATCGGGGGTCCTGGGAGGGCGGGGTGAGGTAGAAATGTGGGCGGAGCTTAGGGTGGGCGGGGGTCCTGGGCAGGAGATAGCTGGGGGGGGGGGCGGTTTGGGGGGGCATCGGGGGTCTGGGAGGGCGGGGTGACCTAGAAATGTGGGCGGAGCTTAGAGTGGGGGGTCCTGGGAGGGGGATAGCTGGGGAGGGATTTGGGAGGGCTCAGGGATCCTGGGAGGGCGGGGTGAGCTAGTCATGTGGGCGGAGCTTAGGGTGGGTGGGGGTCCTTGGGAGGGGATAGCTGGGGGGGATTTTGGGGGCATCGGGGGTCTGGGAGGGCGGGGTGAGCTAGAAATGTGGGCGGAGCTTAGGGTGGGTGGGGGTCCTGGGCAGGAGATAGCTGGGGGGGGGGTTGGGGGGCATCGGGGGTCTGGGAGGGCGGGGTGAAGTAGAAATGTGGGCGGAGCTTAGAGTGGGGGGTCCTGGGGAGGGGGATAGCTGGGAGGGATTTGGGAGGGCTCAGGGGTCCTGGGAGGGCGGGGTGAGCTAGACATGTGGGCGGAGCTTAGGGTGGGTGGGGGTCCTGGGGGGGATAGCTGGGGGAGGGATTTGGGGGGCATCGGGGGTCCTGGGAGGGCGGGGTGAGCTAGGAATGTGGGCGGAGCTTAGGGTGGGTGGGGGTCCTGGGGAGGGGGATAGCTGGGGGGGATTTGGGGGGCATCGGGGGTCCTGCGGGGGCGGGTTGAGCTAGACATGTGGGCGGAGCTTAGTGTGGGGGGGTCCTAGGGCGAAGGGCAGGATCCTGGGGAGGGGGATAGCTGGGGGGGGAATTTGGCGGGCATCGGGGGTCCTGGGAGGGCGGGGTGAGCTAGACATGTGGGCGGAGCTTAGGGTGGCGGGGGGTCCTGGGAGGGGATAGCTGGGGGGGATTTTGGGGGCATCGGGGGTCTGGGAGGGCGGGGTGAGGTAGAAATGTGGGCACAGCTTAGGGTGGGGGGTCCTGGGGAGCGGGATAGCTGGGGAGGGATTTGGCGGGGATCGGGGGTCCTGCAGGGGCGGGGTGAGCTAGAAATGTGGGCGGAGCTTGGGGTGGGCTGGGGACCTGGGGGAGGGTCCTGGAGGGGGATAGCTGGGAGGGGTTGGGGCCATTGGGGGGGCGGGCTGAACTAGAAATGTGGGCTGAACTTGGGGTGGGGGGCTCCTGGGGTGTGGGGACCATCCTGGGGGGACCTGGCCTTTGGGGGCCCCCTTGGGGGTTGGGGGGGAATAAGGGGGAGGGAGGGGGGGAGCCAGGTACAGGAACAGCCAGGGAGAGTCCCGGGGGGAACTGCCCGCCCTCCCCCTCTGACGCAGCCCCCCTCTCTCTCCTCCCCCTCCCCGCAGGGACCCGCTGGATGGCCACCCTGGCCCAGATGCACCGGCTGGGCCGGCCCAAGCGCCCCCCCCGCCCCCCAGGCCCGCTGGAGGGCCACCCGCAGCTGAAGGGGGTGGTGCTGAAGACGCTGATCCGCAAGCCCAAGAAGCCCAACTCGGCCAACCGCAAGTGCGCCCTGGTGCGCCTGAGCACGGGCCGAGAGCTGGTCTGCTTCATCCCCGGCGAAGGCCACAACCTGCAGGAGCACATGGCCGTCCTGGTGGAGGGCGGGCGCAAGCAGGACCTGCCCGGCGTCAAAGTCCGTATCGTGCGGGGCAAGTACGACTGCGCCCACGTCAAGAAGAAGACGGCCTAGAGGGGGCGCTCACTCACACACACACACACACAGACACCACCACCACCACCACCTATGCGCCCCCCCCCCAGGGCAAAGCGGGGCTACACCGTTCCCCCGGAGGAGGACAGGACTGTGCAGCTGGGAGGGCGGCACGGACGTTCCATGAGTCGGTGAACAAATAAATGGGGAGGGGGGGGTCTTCAGCCCCTCCTTGACTCCCCCTGGCTTGCTTTTGTGTGTAGAAGGGGGGTAGGACCCCGGAGGGAGGGAGGGAAGGAGGGAGAGAGAAAGAGAGGAAACGATGGATGGATGGATAGATAAGATGGATGGATGGATGGATAGAGACAGACAGGATTGATCGATATAGATGGATGGATGGATAGACATCCTGATAGATGGATCAATGGACGAATAGATTAGATGATAGAGATAGATAGATAGATAGATAGATAGATAGATAGATAGATAGATAGATAGATAGATAGATAGATAGATAGATGGATGATAGGTAGGACAGAGATAGATATAGATGATAGAGATGGATGGATAGATGGACAGATAGATAGGACGGACATACTGATAGATAGATAGATAGATAGATAGATAGATAGATAGATAGATAGATAGATAGATAGATAGATAGATAGATAGATAGATAAGGCAGAGATATAGATATGATAGAGATGGATGGATGGATAGATAGGACGGACATACTAATAGATAGATAGATATAGGATGGAGAGACAATACAGATGATAGATAGATGATAGAAGATAGATAGATATAGATAGATAGATACATAGAGATAGGATGGACAGACAATACAGATAGATTAGATAGATGATAGGACAGAGATACAGATATAGATAGATGATAGAGATGGATGGATAGATAGGACGGACATTGATAGATAGATAGATAGATAGATAGATAGGGCGGAGATACAGATATAGATAATACAGAGATGGATGGATAGATAGGAGGGACATACTGATGGATGGATGATAGAGATAGAGATAGATAGATAGATAGATAGATAGATAGATAGATAGATAGATAGATAGATAGATAGATAGATAGATAGGACGGAGATACAGATATAGATGATAGAGATGGATGGATAGATAGGACAGACATACTGATAGTAGATAGATAGATACATATAGATCAGTGTTTCTCAATGCTGGCTGTGGAATTCTGGGAGTTGAAGTCCACATGCCTTAAAATTGTCAAGGTTGAGAAACACTGATATAGATAGATGATAGAGATGGATGGATGGATAGATAGGACATACTGATGATAGGTAAATAGAATATAGATAGGATGGACGGACAATACAGATAGATGATAGATAGGAGATACAGATATAGATGATAGATAGGACGGACATACTGATGATAGATATGTGATAGATAATATAGATAGATGATAGATCGGACGGAGATACAGGTAGATATAGATGGATGGATCGATATGGATAGACAGCTATGGATAGATGGATGTTAAATGCTAATTAGAGTAAGTGGGAAGAGACCTCGGAGATCATCTAGTTCAACCCCCCTGCTCGAGCAGAAGCCTCTTCCAGAAGGATAGAGCTGGAAGGGAGCTGGGAGGTCCTCTAGTCCAGCCCCCTGTCCAAGCAGGAGACCCATACACAATTACAGAATCACAGAGCCGGAAGGGACCTTGGACGTCATCTAGTCCAACCCCCTGCTCAGGCAGGACACCGGCCTAGACCATTTCTGACAAATGGCTGTCCAGTCTTTAAAAACCTCCAGTGTTGGAGCATTCACCGCTTCTGGGGGCAGGTAGTTCCACTGGTTAATTGTCCTCACTGTCAGGAAGTTTCTCCTTAATTCCAGGTTGCTTCTCTCCTTGATGAGTTTCCATCCGTTGCTTCTTGTCCTGCCTTCCGGCGCTTTGGAGAATAGCTTGACTGCCTCTTCTTTGGGGCAGCCCCTGAGGTATTGGAATACTGCTATCATGTCCCCCCTTGTCCTTCTCTTCGTTAAACTAGACATACCCAATTCCAGCAACCGTTCCTCGTATGTTTTAGCCTCCAGTCCCCTAATCCTCTTTGTTGCTCTTCTTTGCACTCTTTCTAGAGCCTCAGCATCTTTTTGACATCGCAGGGACCAAAACTGGATGGAGTGGTCCAAGCGTGGCCTTACCAAGGCCTTGTAAAGTGGTAGTAACCTTTCACGTGATCCTGATTCTATCCCTCTGTTAATGCAGCCTAGCTCTGTGTTGGCTTTATTTGGCAGCTGCAGCCCACGGCTGGCTCCTATTTAAGGGATGGTCTACTAGGACTCCGAGACCCCTATCACAGTTGCTACTCTTGAGCAAGCTACCCCCTCTACTACTACACCTCCACAGTCGGTTTTTCTTGCCTAAATGTATGTTTTGCTCAAGGCTCCTGCTCAATTAGACTTTGCTCAATGCCCACGGCTAATTAGCGGGGGGACACCCATTGTTCCGCGTGCCCCACAGGCGCCCTGCGGCCGCCCGGCGTTGGGCTCAGCCGCCAAACAGACAGGAGCTCAAAATCCAGAAAAGCTACTTTTTTTTTATTCACTGGGTGTGCAGGAGGAGTCTGCTCGCGTGAAAAGCGGTGGGTAACTTCGGAGTATCTTGACTTCGGGACCGGCTGCTGGGAAGTGCTTCAGCTGCTATTTGGTCCCGGGGAAGAGCCAAAGGCCAGCGGGGGTAGGGGGTCTTCCCTCCATGCCCCTCAGGCAGGGCTCTGCTCTTTGCCCGGATCCCCGGGCGTAGGAGAGTCGTCTGGGTCCCCCAGGGCCACGTAGTCCTGCCAGCCCCCCTGCGGGAAAGAAAGGATTGCAGTGGCTTCCCCGGCATTGGCCAGTGGCCAGCAAGCCCCCCCCCCGCCATTCACGCCAGAGTAGGGGTCCCCAACCTAGTGGCACGCGACCCACTAGCTTGCAACCGGGCGGCGGAAACAGCTGACGAGCACACAGGCGCGAGCAGCAGGCGAGGACACGCACATGCTCCACTGAAAGTGAGCGGTAGGCGCTCGGGCAAACGGAGGCCCCGCTGCACGTCGCACGCCTGCTGGCCGTTTATGTGGAGCCGCCACCCCGCCATTCGCTCCAAAGCAGGCCTCCCGCAACCGGTGAGCCACGACCCACTCGTTGGCAACCGGGGGGCGCGGAAACAGCTGGCGAGGACACGTGCAACGCTCCACTGAAAGCGGCAGGGGCTCATGCAAACGGAGGCCCTGCTGCCCGCGCACGCTTGCCGGCCGTTTGTATGGAACCTTCTCCCACCCGTCGGTCCGCCAAGCCAGAAACATCAGAGAGCTTGGCTCCGGAGGGAACGTGACCCCAGGGGAGATCTTCCCGAGATCTCTTCTCGGGAAGCTGAGCGAGGAAGGGCGACTCTTTCTGGAGTGCCCGGAGCGACAACAGCCAGGGACTCCCTGGGGGGGGGGTGGCCGCCCTCCAGAGTGCCTGACCTAGCTGTGCCCAGTGGGACCGGGAGCTCTGCGCCCTTCCCTCCACGTACCCAGCAGGAGCAGCACAGGCGGCGCAGGCCGTATCCGAAGCAGAAGAGGGCGGTGGCCAGGGCGACGACGTGCACGATGAGCAGGAGGATCTGGGTGCTGCTCCACATGCGCTGGGGAAAGAGGGGGGCTCGACTCAGCAGGAGAGGGGCGCAGGTGGACACGGCAGGCAGCCAGTCCATCAAAGCCCACTGGCACTGGCTCCCGTGCTTTGCCCACACCGGCAGGGACTCCGTGGGGAGGCAGGAGGAGGGCGTGGGAGGGGGGAAACGCCCGTCTGTGAGGACCAGTGGGTACCTTCTCCCAGGGGCAGAACACCTGAAGCCGCCTGAGGACAGGTGAGCCCTCCTTGCCCTTCAGCCCGACGTTCAGGACAGCCAGACTGAGGGAGGCCCGTACTTCGAAGGTCTCATCCTGGGATTGCCGTCTTCTAAGAGGCGCCGCTGCCCGCCTCCCTCTCTGGCGAACAAACACTCACCACGAACCCCAAGAGAGCCTCCTGGCACTCCGTGGCCCGCTCTTGGTCCCTCTCGTCGTCGTACGGAGGTCTGGTGGTCGGTTGCCACGAGCGGTAACCCCGGTCCTCCGCTCTGTGCTTGCAGAGTTGCTCAACGAAGTAGGGTTCGTAGGCGAGGGGTGCGAACTCCGTCAAGCCCAGCACGAAGGCCACCGAGCCGGCCACGACGCTGCCCAGGTTGAAGAAGGTGGCCAGGTGGACCTAGGAGGCAAGGCAGGGAGTGGCTGAGAATGGGCACCAGGGTCCTTGCGACTGGTCGGCGACAGGGACCTTCCCCACTTACCCAGTAGCTGCCGTGTCGTGCGCCCACCACCGAGAAGGTGCCGGAGAGGATGAACTGTAGAGGAGAGGGAAGCAGATCGGTGAAGGGTGTCTGTCTGGGCCTCCCGCCCATCCGCCTCTCAACAGTCCAGTTGGCATTTCCAGAAAAAGAGACTCCTGGGACATCCTATTTTACTGAAAATCGCCCCCACCCCATCGGGTCTTCCCATTGTCCAATAGCAATATTGCTTTTTGTGATGGCAACAGCCCGCTTCTCCTTTCGGCCACTGCGTTAGCAGCACTAGATCAGGGGTCCCCAACCCAGAGGCTGTGGCCCACTCGCGGGCTGTCCGGACCATGGGGCGGGAAGGCCACTGCGCGCCCGTGTGCGTGCACTCACCCCGACTTGTGCCAGCGCCACGGCCACGCAAGGTGAAAATGGCAGCACCACGCAGGGCAAAAACGGGCCTAGCGAGCGTCACGCGGGCCGCCCCGTTTGTGTCCCACGCGACACAGCAAACGCTCAACTCAGCAAGCCCAGAACTCTACCCTGCCCACTTCTGTGCACTGGACTGACTTCCGGGGATGTCGGCAAGGCAGCAGTCCAGCCCCCTCAAACGGACCGGGCCCTGCCATCTTTGTCCCGTCCCAGAATCCTCTCCTGCTGCTTCTTGGGGGGGGGTTGCCAGCTGAGACCAAGGGCGGGACCCTCCCTCATTCCACCCTCCCCCCCCAGTACTCACCAGGCCGCCCATCCAGAAAGGGACTCCGTTATAGATTGACCACTTGTAGTAGTAGGGTAGCTCACTGTTGGGCGCAACCATGCTCAGCGCCAGGCCGAGGCCGATGCAGACAGCACCGAGCAGGATCTGGGCTCCCTGGGGGGGGGGAACAGAGGGGGGAGACCCCAGGCAGCGTCAGCGGGCAACGGGAGGGGGGGTCCCGGATACCCGGCAGACGCTCCCCAAGCGAGGTTAGCTGGAGACCCCGGTGGGAGGTCGTGGTTCCCTTTGTGGCCGGAGCGGAGAGAGAGGAGCAGCCCCTTGGTGCCTCCTTGACTCTAGTCAAGGTTTAGAACAGAATAGAGGGGACTCTGGAGGTCATCTAGTTCAGCCCCTCTCCTGCCGCCCAAGCAGGAGACCTTTGCAGAATCAAAGAGTTGGAAGGGACCTCGGGGGGGGGGGGTCGTCTAGTCCAACGCCCTGGCCAGACAGGAGACCCTTACAGAATCAGTGTTGGATGGGACCTCGGGGGGTCATCTAGTCCAGCCCCCCCCACCCTCCTGCCACCCAAGCAGGAGAACCTACACACTGTTTCTGACCGAGGGCGGTCCAGCCTCTTGTTGACAGCCCGTTTATAGTTATACGGCTGGTTTATAACTTGTAGGTCAAAAGTTAAAAAAAAAAAAAAAAAGGTTGAGGTTTGATGTTACAATGTTTATTTTAATAGAGGCGGAAGTCCACGCCTTTTCTTTCTTCTTTCTTTCTTTCTTTCTTTCTTTCTTTCTTTCTTTCTTTCTTTCTTTCTTTCTCTTTCCTTCCTTCTTTTTCCTTTCTTTCTTGTTTTTCTTTCTTTTTCTTTCCCTTTCTTTCCTTCCTTCTCTTTCCTTCTTTCCTTCCTTCCCTTTCCTTTTCTTCTTTCTTTCCTTTCTTTTTCCCTTTCTTTCCTTCCATCCTTCCTTTCTTTTCTTCCTTCTTTCCCTTTTTTCTTTCTTTCTTTTTTCCTTCCTTCCTTCTTTCCCTTCCTTTCTTTCCCTTCTTTCTTTCTTTTTTCCTTTCTCTTTTCTTCCTTCATTTTTATTTCTATTGCCTCATTCTTTCCCTTTCTTCTTTTCTTTCTTTCCTTTTTTCCCTTTTTTGTTTCCTTCCTTCCTTCTTTCCTTCTCTTTCTGTCCCTTCTTTTTTCATTCTTTCCTTCCTTCCCCTCTTAACTTTCTTTCTTCCTTTCCTCTCTTTCTTACTTTCCTTCTTTCTTTCCCTTTCCCTTTCTTTTTCTTTCTTTGTTTCTTTCTTTCCTTCCATCCTTTTCTCTTTTCTTCCTTTCTTCCTCTCTTTCTATTCCTTCATTCTTTCCCTTCCTTCTTTTCCTTTTCTTTTTTCCTTCTTTCTTTCCTTTGTTTCCTTCCTTCCTTCCCCTCCCTCTTCTTTCCTTCCTTCCTTTCTCTTTCACGCCTTTCTTTTTCTTTTCTTTCTTTGTTTCTTTCTTTTTTCTTTCTCTTTCCTTCCTCCTTTCTCTTTTCTTTTTTCTTTCTCTTCCTTCTTTCCTTCATTCTTTCCCTTCTTTCCTTTCTTTCTCTTTCCCTTCTTTCTTTTTCTTTCCTTCTTTCCTTTCTGGCTTTTTTCCTTCCTTCCTTCCTTCCTTCCTTCCTTCCTTCCTTACTTCCTTCCTCTTTCTTTCTCTCTCTCTCTTTGATTCTTTCCTTTTCCCCTTCTCTTCTACACTCCTCCCTTCCCTAGCTTCCCCATCATTTGCTTTTCTGGAGGTTCGACCCTCCAACTCATCAAACCAGCCTGGTGCTCAGGACGGAAGAGCCGATTCCCCTCCCTCCCTCCCTCCGGGGCCACCCCCTCCCCTCCCCCCTCCCCCAGGCCTGCAGCCCCTTCCCCGGGCCTTACCCCCAAGACTTTCTGCTCCCCCCCGGCCGGGCGGGGGGCGCGGGGAGCCTCGCCGGCGTCATTGGCCGCCGCTTTGCGGAGACTCAGGGCCGCCACCCCTCTGAACAGGGAAGCCAGGCCGGACTCCTGGCGGAGGGTGATGTTGATGGTGGTCCCCTCCGGACCCTTCACGGCCACCTCGGTCCCGTCCACCTTCACCTCGGTCCCGTCCACCTTCACCACGGTGCCCGCCATGGCTCCTCCGGCTGCAGCTTCCTGCCTGGCTGGAGAAAGCGGGGCGTCTGTCTGCCAGGAAGAGGAAGGGAGAAGCAGGTGGGAAAACCCCTGGAGGGAGGGGCCAGGACATCGGGAGGGGGAGGGGGAGGGGGAGGAGCAGCAAGGGGAAGAAGAGGGGGGCGGAGGAGGATGGAGGAAGAGGAGGAAGGAGAAGGGGAGGGAGGGGGAGGAGGAGGAGGGGGAGGATGAAGGAAAAGGGGGAGGAGGACGGAGAAGGGGAGGGAGGAGGGAGAGGAGGAGGGGGAGGAGGACGAAGAAGGAGAAGGGGGAAGGAGGGAGAGGAGGAGGGGGGAGAAGGGGGAAGAGGACGAAGAAGGAGGGGGGAGGGGGAAGAGGAAGGGGGAAAAGATGGAGGAGGGGGGAGAAGGGGGAGGAGGACGAAGGAGGAGGGGGAGGGAGGGGAGGAGGGGGAGAAGGGGGAGGGGAGGGAGGGGAGAAGGGGAGGAGCATGAAGGAAGAGAGGGAGGGAGGGGGAAGAGGGAGGAGGGGAGGAGGACGAAAAGAGAGGAAGGAGGCGGGAGGGAGGAGGGGAGGAGGACGAAGAAGGAGAAGGGAGAAGAGGAGGGGGAGAAGGGGAAAGAGGACGGGGGAGGGGGAAGAGGAAGGGGGAAAAGGAGGAGGGGGGAGAAGGGGGAGGAGGGGGAGGGAGGGGAAGAGGCAGAAGGGAGAGGAGGAGGAGGAAGGAGGAGAGGGAGGGAGGGGAAGAGGGAGGAGGGAGAGGAAGGGGAGGACGAAGGAGAAGGGGGGAGAAGGGGAGGAGGAGGATGGAGGAGAGGGAGGGAGGGGGAAGAGGGAGGAGGGAGAGGAGGAGGAAGAGAAGGAGAAGGGGAGGGAGGGGAGGAGGGGGAAGGAGGAGGATGGAGGGAGAGGGGGGAGAGGAGGAGGAGGGGAGGGAGGGGGAAGGGGGGAGGAGGAAGGAGAGAAGGGAGGGGGAGGAGGAAGATCAGACAACCTTTATTGTCATTTTTTTTTTTTACTGCACACAGCAACAGTGAACCGTTACTTGCCCCCTCTCAAAGCGAAGCGCAGACACGACGCGCACCTCAACGTACTACGGACAACATATGTACAGACCCCCCCCCATCCCTACAGATCCGTAGCAAATCAATAGTAAAGGGAGAGGGAGAGGAGGAGGAGGAGGAAGGAAAGCATCGCCCTCCCCCCTTTTTTTCTTCTGCTGCTTCCCCCTCCCCCCGCGCGCGTTTCTGCCTCTGGATCGCAAGGAAGCCCCGGGAGAAAGGGGGGGGGTCTCTTGTGCCGAGATTGGGGGGGGGAAAGGGTCTGTGGAAGTCCCTCTTGCTGACTCGCAGGGCCGGCCGAGGAATGGGGGGGGGTGGCCTGAGCGCCTCCCTCTTTCCCCCCCCCTCCCCAAGGGAGTCCCCCCCCCGTCCCAGAAGCTGGGAAAGTCCCCTGGGGGGGGGATCTCCTGCGATCCTTGGCAGGCAAGGGAGATCCGGGGCAGGGCAACCGGATTGCGGACCGGTGGCGGGTTGCGGCTCCGAAAGCAGAGGGAGGATCCCGGAGGATGCCAGCCTAGAACAAGACTCTACACAACAGTGTTTCTCAACCTTGACCATTTTAAGGCATGTGGACTTCAACTCCCAGAATTCCACAGCCAGCAATGCTGGCTGTGGAATTCTGGGAGTTGAAGTCCACATGCCTTAAAAGGGTGAAGGTCGAGAGACACTGCGTCTACAGAATAGAATAGAAGCTGGAAGGGATCGTGGAGATCTTCTCATCCAGCCCCCCTGCTGGAGCCTGCGGGTCTGGTCCCTTGCGGGTGATGGCTCCCCCCCCACTCCTCTTCCGGGGTGGGGTCCACCGGAGAGCTACAGCCCCTCCACGCCCCCTCCCCTCCCCAAAAAAGAAGCAGGGCGGGGGAGGCACCCCCTCACCGCCGCCTGCGTGGGGGCCGGAGCAAGAGATGGGGCACACAAACACCCACAGAGAGAAACACCTCCCACGAAAGCCGCGAAGCAAAGAGGAGCCGGCACACGCGCGCACACACACACACACACACCCAAAGACCCGGAGCAAAGAGGAGCGCGCGCGCGCGCGCACACACACACACCTTAAAAAGAAAGACACACCCCAAAGACCCGGAAGAAAGAGGAGCCCCCCCACACACACACCCCAAAGACCCGGAGCAAGGAGGACCCGACACACACACACACACATACACACAGACCAAAGAGAGAAACATCCCCCCCCAAGACCCAAACCAAAGAGGAACCCCTCCACACACACACCCCCCAAAGACGCGGAGCAAAGAGGAGCCCACAAACACACCCCAAAGGGAGAGAAACACACACCCCAAAGACCCGGGTCAAGAAGGACCCGACACACACACACACACAGACACACCAAAGAGAAACACACACCCCAAAGACCCGAAGCAAAGAGGAACCCCCCCACACACACACCAAAGATGCGGAGCAAAGAGGAGACCACACACACACACACCAAAGACCCGGAGCAAAGAGAAGCACACAAACACACCCCAAAGGGAGAGAAACACACACCCCAAAGACCCGGGGCAAGAAGGACCCGACACACACACACCAAAGAGAGAGAAACACACACCCCAAAGACCCGAAGCAAAGAGGAACCCCCCCCCACACACACACACCAAAGATGCGGAGCAAAGAGGAGCACACACACACACCAAAGACCCGGAGCAAAGAGAAGCCGGCACACACACACACACACACAAGGACCAGGAGAAAAGAGGAGCCGGCACACACACACACACACACACACACACACACACATCAAAGACCCGGAGCAAAGAGGAGCACACACACACACACACACCAAAGAGAGAGAAACACACAGCCCCAATGACCCAAGCAAAGAGGAGCCCCCCCCCCACACACCCCAAAGACCCGGAGCAAAGAGCACACCCACGCATGCACACACACAAAGACACACACCCCAAAGACCCGGAGCGAAAGAGGAGGCGAAAGGCTGCGACGTCCCGGGCTGGGTGGCCGGATCCGAACTGCGGACCTGGAGAAGGGCGGGGGGGGGGAGGGCTGGTTTTTATCCGCTGAGCGGTGGATCCAGCCGAAAGGTGGAGCTTGGCCGGGACTCGATCCCTCTTTCCTTCCCCCACCCCGCCCCAGCAAAGGCTTGGCGCATCCGGGAAAGTCCCCGGGTGAATCTCTTGCCAGGGGGAGGCGATCCTTCGCACGCAAGGGAGATCCGGGGCAGGGCAGCCGGGTTGCGGACCGGTGGCTGGTTGCGGCTCCGAAAGCAGAGGGAGGATCCCGGAGGATCCCAGCCCAGAAGAGACTCTACAGAAGAGAATAGAAGCTGGAAGGGACCGTGGAGATCTTCTCATGCAGGCCCCCCTGCGGGAGCGGGAGAACGAGTCCTAGACCATCTCAGACAAGGGGCTGTCCAATCAGGAAGGGAGGGAGGGAGGGAGGAAGGAAGGCTAAGAGTTTGAAGGGAACTCAGAGGTCTTCTAGTCCAGCCCCCTGCTGGAGCAGAGAACCTAGACCAGTGGTTCTCAACCTTTTTAATGCCCCACCCCCAACCGGTTGTAAGTCGAGGACTACTCAGCCGGTCGTAAGTCGAGGACTACTCAACTGGTGCAGCACCGTTTGCAGAGTGGGACTTTTGGCGGGCTCAGCAGGGCAGAGACAGCCTGGACAATTCCGATTGGCTTTGGAAAGCCAATAGAATTAGACTCTATTCAAGAGAGTCTCTTCGATGGGCTTTCAAAAGCCAATAGAATCAAAGGGAGGAGCACAGCTAAGGAAAAGGGGGGGGAAAAATGGCGGACGGCGTTGTTTGGCGACCCCCGTGAAATGGCCGTTCGACCCCAAATGGGGTCCCGACCCAGAGGTGGAGAACCACTGTCCTAGACCATCTCAGACAAGGGGCTGTCCAATCAGGGAGGGAGGGAGGGAGGGAGGAAGGAAGGAAGGAAGGAAGGATAAGAGTTTGAAGGGAACTCAGAGGTCTTCTAGTCCAGCCCCCTGCTGGAGCAGGAGAACCTAGACCAGTGCTTCTCAACGTTTGTGTGACGGCGACCCTGTCACACAAACGTTCTGCGCATGCGCAGCGCGCGTGCACGGCGCTGCCCCCATGCGCAGCGCGCATGCACGGGGGGCTGCCCCCATGGCGGCGCGTGTGCGCGGCGGCGCCCCCATGCGCAGTGCGCGTGCACGGCGCCGCAAAAAATGGCGGATCGCCACCTTTGGCGACCCCCGAAAAATGGTCGATCGACCCCAAATGGGGTCGCGACCCATAGGTTGAGAACCGCTGACCTAGACTGCCTCAGACAAGGGGCTGTGTAGTCTCTACTGATGGAGCGCAAGAAAAACAAAGGGGTGAGAGAGAGAGAGAGAGAGAGAGAGAGAGAGAGAGAAAGGAAGGAATAGAATGGAATAGAATAAAATAGAATAGAATAGAATAGAATAGAATAGAATAGAATAGAATAGAATAGAATAGAATAGAATAGAATAAAATAGAAAGAATAGAATAGAATACAATAGAATAGAATAGGAATAGATTATAGAATAGAAATTAGAATAGAATAGAATAGAATAGAATAGAAAAGAATAGAATAAAAAATATGAAATAGAATAGAAATAGAATAGAATAGAGTAGAAAATATGAAATGGAATAGAATAGAAAATATGGAATAGAATAGAATAAAAAATATGAAATATAATAGAAATAGAATAGAATAGAATAGAAAATATGAAATGGAATAGAATAGAAAATATGGAATAGAATAGAATAGAATAGAATAGAATAGAATAGAATAGAATAGAATAGAATAGAATAGAATAGAATAGAATAGAATAGGAGAATGGAAAATGGAATGGAATATAGAATATACAATACAGTAGAATAGAATTAACAATAGGAAAGAATAGAATAGAAATAAGAATAGAATGAAATGGAATAGAATAGAACAGAAAATATGGGATGGGATAGGACAGGATAGGAGCTAGAAGGGACCTTGGAGGTCTTCTAGTCCAGCCCCCTGCTCAAGCAGGAGAACCTATGCCATCTCAGACAAGGGACTGTCCAGCCTCTTGTTAAAAACCTCCCGTGATGGAGCGCCCACTGTTGTATCCCGAGCCTGCAAACGCAGGCTCGGGACATTGCAAGGGTCCCGGGCCTTTGCCGAAGCTGCCTGGGACCAGACTGAGTGGCGTCGGCTTTGCGTGCATGCGCAAGGCGGGAAAAGCGCCTGGTTCTGTTGCCATTGTATCCGGGGATCTGGGCGTCTAAAAGGAGGCCTGCGTGCCTCTGCTCGTTGTTGGAGTTGTGGCTGAAACTGAAATAAAGAGCAGTTCAAGGAAAGATGTGTCTTCGTCATTCGCCATTACTGCGAGGACTTAACACTAGCGACGAAGGTGGGATTGATTATAAGCTAAACAGGATGGAGGTACTAGACCAGTGGTTCTCAACCTGTAGGTCAGGACCCCATTTGGGGTCGAACAACCATTTCACGGGAGTCGCCAAACAACGCCGTCTGCCATTTTTTCCCCCCTTTTCCTTAGCTGGGCTACTCCCTTTTATTCTATTGGCTTTTGAAAGCCAATCGAATAGACTCTCTTGAATAGAGTCTAATTCTATTGGCTTTCCAAAGCCAATAGGAATGGTCCAGGCTGTCTCTGCCCGGCTGAGCCCGCCCAAAGTCCCAGTCTGCAAACGGTGCAGCACCATTTGAGTAGTCCTCGACTTATGACCTGTTGAGTAGTCCTCGACTTACGACCAGTTGGGGGGGGTCGCGGCATTAAAAAGGTTGAGAACCACTGGTCTAAAAGGAGGCCTGCGTACCTCTGCTTGTTGTTGCAGTTATGGCTGAAATTGAAATAAAGAGTGGTTCAAGGAAAGATGTCTCTTCGTCATTCGCCATTACTGCAAGGACTTAACACTGGCGACGAAGGTGGGATTGATTATAAGCTAAACAGGAGGAAGTTTTAAAGACTCATGCAAAGAAGTCCTGAAGAGGGAAGACGGCGTTAAGGTCAGCGTCCCAGCCTGCCAGCACAGCGTCGCTGGAGGGTGAGTTCGGCTGAAAGATCCCTTCCCTAAGAGAAGCGAGTGGTGAAGTGCAAGTGAGGATGGCGAAGATCGGCCGTTGATCCGCGTTCGATGTCTCTCACATCCGGAGAGATGGGAATCCTACGTTGCGAGGGTGGAGAATTATCTCAGGGTGAACCGGATCAGAGAAGAGGGCTTGAAGGCTGCCACCCTGTTATGTGCCTGTGGGCGGGGAGCCTTTGAGATTGCAGAAAATCCAGTGGCCTTTGCCTCTTTGGAATCAGTAACTTATATACTGATTTAAAGAAACTTCCGAAAGATCGTTCCCAGCCCAAGCTGTCCATCATTGCTTGGAGGCACACGTTTGAACAAAGGGATCAGAGGGCAGGTGAATCTGCTTTTATTGCAGCCTTGAGGCGAGCAGCCAGACCGTGTGAGTTTAAACTTCTACCCATTCACCCATCTTCCCATCCATCATCTATCCATGCATCCATCATCTTTATCCATCAATCCATCATTTCTATCATGTTTCTATCCATGCATCCATCTGCCCATCTTCTCCATCCATCCATCATTTCTATCGTTTCCATACATCCATCTGCCCATCTTCTCCATCCATCCACCTACTCATTCGTGTCTTCATCTACCCATTCGCCCATCTTCCCATCCATCATCTATCCATCCATGCACCCATCTTTATCCATCCATCATTTCTGTTTCTATCCATGCATCCATCTGCCCATCTTCTCCATCCATCCATCCATCATACTCACTCATGTCTCCATCTACGCATTCACCCATCTTCCCATCCATCATCCATGCATCTATCATCTTTATCCATCCATCCATCATTTCTGTTTCTATCCATGCATACATCTGCCCATCTTCTCCATCCATCCATCCATCCATCCACCTACTCACTCGTGTCTCCATCTACCCATTAACCCATCTTCCCATCCATCATCTATCCATGCATCCATCTTTATCCATCCATCCATCCATTTCTATCATGTGTTTCTATCAATGCATCCATCTGCCCATCTTCTCCATCCATCCATCCATCCATCCATCCACCTACTCATTCATGTCTCCATCTACCCATTCGCCCATCTTCCCATCCATCATCTATCTATCCATGCATCCATCTTTATCCATCCATCCATCATTTCTATCACCTGTGTGTCTATCTCCATCCATCCATCCATCCATCTTATCTATCCATCCATCATTTCTTCTCTTTCTCTCTCTCCTTCCCTCCCTCCCTCAGAGGCCCTACCCACCTTCTACACACAAAAGCAAGCCAGGGAGAGTCAAGGAGGGGCTGAAGACCCCCTCCCCATTTATTTGTTCACCGACTCATGGAACGTCCGTGCCGCCCTCTCGGCTGCTCAGTCCTGTCCTCCTCCGGGGGAACGGTGTAGCCCCGCTTTGACCTGGGGGGGGCGCATAGGTGGTGGTGGTGGTGGTGTCTGTGTGTGTGTGCGTGAGCGCCCCCTCTAGGCCATCTTCTTCTTGACGTGGGCGCAGTCGTACTTGCCCCGCACGATCCGGACTTTGACGCCGGGCAGGTCCTGCTTGCGCCCGCCCTCCACCAGGACGGCCATGTGCTCCTGCAGGTTGTGGCCTTCGCCGGGGATGAAGCAGACCAGCTCTCGGCCCGTGCTCAGGCGCACCAGGGCGCACTTGCGGTTGGCCGAGTTGGGCTTCTTGGGCTTGCGGATCAGCGTCTTCAGCACCACCCCCTTCAGCTGCGGGTGGCCCTCCAGCGGGCCCGGGGGGCGGGGGGGGCGCTTGGGCCGGCCCAGCCGGTGCATCTGGGCCAGGGTGGCCATCCAGCGGGTCCCTGCGGGGAGGGGGGGAGAGAGAGGGGGGCTGCGTCAGAGGGGGAGGGCGGGCAGACCCCCCGGGACTCTCCCTGGCTGTTCCTGTACCTGGCTCCCCCCCTCCCTCCCCCTTATTCCCCCCTGACGCCCCAGGGGGCCCCCCAAAGCCCAGGTCCCCCAGGACGGTCCCCACACCCCGGGAGCCCCAAGTTCAACCCACTTTTCTAGTTCAGCCCACCCCCCCAATGGCCCCAACCCCTCCCAGCTACCCCCCTACCCAGGACCCTCCTCCCCAAGGTCCACCCACATTTCTAGCTCACCCCGCCCCCGCAGGACGCCCGATGCCCCCCAAATCACCCCCAGCTTTCCCCCTCCCCAGGACCCCCCCACCCTAAGCTCCGCCCACGTTTCTAGCTCACCCCGCCCTCCCAGGACCCCCGAGGACCCACAAATCGCCCTCCAGGACCCTCCCCTCTCCCCAGGACCTTTCCTCCCCCCCCAGGACCCTCCCCTGATCCCCCCCCCCACCCTAAACTCCGCCCACATTTCTAGCTCAGCCCGCCCCCCCAGAATCACGGGTGACCCCCAAATTCCTCCCCCCCCCGCTATCCCACTCCAGGACCCCCCACCCCAAGCTCCGCCCACATTTCTAGCTCACCCCGCCCCCAAGACCCCCAAATCCCCTCCAGGACCCTCCCCCTTGTCCTCTCCACTCCAAGCTCCGCCCACATGTATAGCTCACCCCGCCCCCCCCAAAACCTCCGCCAGGACCCTCCCCCTGGTCCCCCCCACCCTAAGCCCCGCCCACTCTCCGAGGTTCCCCCTCCCCCATACCCTCCCCCGCCGGCTCCCCTCCCGCAGGACGACCCCGAAGCCCCCAGAATTCCCCCCAGCCCCTCCCCATGTCCCCCCACCCGCGCTCCGCGACGGCCCCCCCCCCTTTCCCTCCGCACCTCGTGCCAGGAAGAGCCCAGCAGCCGCCATGAGGACCGGCGAGCAGACAAGTCGCGGGCGTGGACTTGACTAGCACGTCGCCGGAAGCTCGAGGGGGAACGTCCCGTAAGCGGGCGCTCTTTCCGCCGTGGGAAAGCGGCTTCCGGCCGCTCCGGCCGCGTCTCTCGCTGGTTGCGCGAGAGACGCGGCCGGCTTTCCTGTCGCCCTGGGGCGGCGCCAGCCGCGTTCCTCGCCAGGCGGACTTCAACTCCCAGAAGGCCCCGCGCGCCGACTTGAGCAGGCCACCTGGGCTCTTTGAGGACCGGTGGACTTCAACTCCCAGAATTCCTGAGCCAGCCACGCTGAGGGGACAGGGCGGGGTTTCCAAGCTGAGCCATTGTTGGCACGGGAATTCTGGGAGTTGGAAGTCCACCCGAGCCAAAGTTGCCTACCCCTGATCTAGTCCAACCCCCTGCTCGAGCGGGAATGAACAGGGGGTTGGACTAGATGACCTCCAGGGTCCCTTTCAACTCTTTGATTCTGTACTTCTGTAAGGGTCTCCAGTTTGAGTTGGGCTTGGACTGGATGACCTCCCAGGTCGCTTCCCACCTTGTTATCCTATGATTCTGCAAAGGTCTCCTGCTTGAATTGGGGTTGGACTAGATGACCTCTGAGGACCCTTCCAACTCTATTATGCCATGATTCTATAAGGGTCTTCTGCTGGAGCAGGGGGTTGGACTGGATGACCTCCCCAGGTCCCTTCCAAGTGTTATCCTATGATTCTGCGAAGGTCTCCTGCTTGAATTGGGGTTGGACTAGATGACCTCTGAGGACCCTTCCAACTCTGTTATCCCATGATTTTATAAGGGTCTCCTGCTGGAGCAGGGGGTTGGACTGGATGACCTTCCCAGGTCCCTTCCAAGTGTTATCCTATGATTCTGCGAAGGTCTCCTGATTGAATTGGGGTTGGACTAGATGACCTCTGAGGACCCTTCCAACTCTATTATGCCATGATTCTATAAGGGTCTTCTGCTGGAGCAGGGGGTCATTCCCGCTACCAGCTAGAATGACAGCATCAAAGAGTTGAAAGGGAGCCTGGAGGTCATCTAGTCCAACCCCCTCCTCAAGTTGGAGATCCTTACAGAATTAGAGAGTGACAAAGCTGGAAGGGACCTGAGAGGTCATCCAGTCCAACCCCCTGCTCGAGCAGGAGAACCTTATAGAATCATGAAATAACACAGTTGGAAGGGTCCCCAGAGGTCATCTAGTCTGACCCCAATTCAAGCAGGAGACCTTTGCAGAATCATAGGATAACACTTGGAAGGGACCCGGGAGGTCATCCAGTCCAACCTTCTGCTCAAGCAGGGCACTCTTATAGAATCATGGGATAACAGAGTTGGAAGGATCCTCAGAGGTCATCTAGTCCAACCCCAATTCAAGCAGGAGACCTTTGCAGAATCATAGGATAACAAGGTGGGAAGCGACCTGGGAGGTCATCCAGTCCAAGCCCAACTCAAACTGGAGACCCTTACAGAAGTACAGAATCAAAGAGTTGAAAGGGATCCGGGAGGTCATCTAGTCCAACCAGCCGTCTGTTTCGCACCCGCTCCCCGAGCAGGATCTGCCTTCGAGGCAGGTGTGCCAACGAGGGGGGGAGGAATAATTAGACAACCCCCCCCTTCCTCGGCACCAGGAGCCATGGCGTGCTGGAAGTGGACCGTGGGCCTTGTGGTGGGCGTTGCGGTGCTGCTAGGCGTGGGAATCGCCATATGCAACACCGCCAATGCCACGGAACAGGAGCATGAGGACCACCAGGGGAATATGGGTTAAGTAGTTGTTGGCTTTGTGTGTGTGTGTGTGTGTGTGTGTGTGTGTTTGTGTGTTGGGACCAGCTCAGAAAAGACAGGTGGGGCTTGATGGCCCTTGAGAATAGAATAGAATAGAATAGAACAGAACAGAATAGAAAATATAGAATAGAAACATAGAATAGAAATATGAAATGAATAGAATAGAATATAGAACATAGAATAGAACAGACATTCTATATTCTATTCTAGTCAGAAGGGGCCTCGGAGGTCATCTAGTCCAACCCCCTGCTCAAGGAGGAGTCCCATACAGAATCCTAGGCTAAAAAGAGTCAGAAGGCGCCTCGGAGGTCATCTAGTCCAACCCCCTGCTCAAGGAGGAGTCCCGTACAGAATCCTAAGCTAACAAGAGTTAGAAGGTGCCTCGGAGGTCATCTAGTCCAACCCCCTGCTCAAGGAGGTGTCCCGTACGGAATCCTAGGCTAACAAGAGTCGGAAGGGGCCTCAGAGGTCATCTAGTCCAACCCCCTGCTCAAGGAGGTCCCCTACAGAATCCTAGGCTAACAAGAGTCGGAAGGGGCCTCGGAGGTCATCTAGTCCAACCCCCTGCTGAAGGAGGAGTCCCGTACAGCATCCTAGGCTAAAAAGAGTCGGAAGGGGCCTCGGAGATCATCTAGTCCAACCCCCTGCTGAAGGAGGAGTCCCGTACAGAATCCTAGGCTAACAAGTGTCGGAAAGGGCCTCGGAGGTCATCTAGTCCAACCCCCTGCTGAAGGAGGAGTCCCATACAGAATCGAAGCCTAACAAGAGTCGGAAGGGGCCTCGGAGATCATCTAGTCCAACCCCCTGCTCAAGGAGGAGTCCCATACAGAATCCTAGGCTAACAAGAGTCGGAAGGGGCCTCAGAGGTCATCTAGTCCAACCCCCCTGCTCAAGGAGGAGTCCCATACAGAATCGAAGCCTAACAAGAGTCGGAAGGGGCCTCGGAGGTCATCTAGTCCAACCCCCTGCTCAGGCAGGAGTCCCGTACGGAATCCTAGGCTAACAAGAGTCGGAAGGGGCCTTGGAGGTCATCTTGTCCAAACCCCTGCTGAAGGAGGAGTCCCATACAGAATCGAAGCCTAACAAGAGTCGGAAGGGGCCTTGGAGGTCATCTAGTCCAACCCCCTGCTCAAGGAGGAGTCCCGTACAGAATCCTAGGCTAACAGAGTCAGAAGAGGCCTCGGAGGTCATCTAGTGCAACCCCCTGCTCAAGGAGGCATCCCGTACGGATTCCTAGGCTAACAAGAGTTGGAAGGGGCCTCGGAGGTCATCTAGTCCAACCCCCTGCTCAAGGAGGAGTCCCGTACAGAATCGAAGGCTAACAGAGTCAGAAGGGGCCTCAAAGGTCATCTAGTCCAACCCCCTGCTCAAGGAGGAGGAGTCCCGTACAGAATCCTGGGCTAACAAGAGTCGGAAGGTGCCTCAGAGGTCATCTAGTCCAACCCCCTGCTCAGGCAGAGGACACCCTCCTCGGACAAACGACTGACCCATGACCCAAAATGCTCCAGTGTTGGGAGCAGCACCCACGACTTCCGGAGGCGAAGAGTTCCAACTATTTTATGAGTTTTTTGTGGGGGGAGAAAGCAAACAAATCGTTTCCTGGATCGGGCCCATCCCAGGCCATCCAGGTTGGCGTTGGCCACACGCCTTCTTTCGCCTTCTTTCGCACCCGAGGCCCAGGCAGGAGCCTCATTCCAGCCAAGAAGCCGAAACCGGGAGCAGCGAGGGTCTCTCTCGCACAACTACACAACCCCACCCCACCCTGTTTCCTAGGCCCCGGGAGCCATGACCGACTGGAAGTGGATGCTGGGCATCGTGGTGGGTGTGCTGATCCTGGTCTTTTTGGGAATCCTGCTCTGGCAGAGTATCAAAAGTCATTCGATCGAACTCCTCCAGGGGGGAGATGCCAAATAAGTAAGTATTTTTTGGGGGGGGGGAACCAGCTCTAAAATCATCGGTCGGGCGCTGTGGCCCCCCCGCGAGACCGTTGGGTTGGGGTGGTTGTTTTTTCGGGGGGGCAGGTGTGGGAAGGAGCGAGTTCGAGTCCCGCCCTAAGCACAGAAGTGTTTTCCTTGATTTATTTTGTTAGGAGAATGGGGGCGGGGGAGAGCGGTTCCACCAGCCGGGGTGGGGGGCGAGCACGGGATCGGTTCTCCCGCTTGAGCATGATTCTGTCAGGGTCTGCTGCTTGGGCAGGGGGGTCAGACTAGATGACCTCCCAGGTCCCTTCCGACTCTTGTCATTTTTGTAAGGGTCTCGTGCTCAAGCAGGGGGGTCGGACTAGATGACCTCCCAGGTCCCTTCCGACTCTTGTCATTTCTGTAAGGGTCTCGTGCTCAAGCAGGGGGGTTGGACTAGATGACCTGCCAGGTCCCTTCCGACTCTGGGATTCTGGAAGGGTCTCCTGCTTGACCAAGGGGGGGGGGGTTGGACCAGATGACCTCCCAGATCCCTTCCGACTCTGTCATTCTGTGATTGTGTAAAGGTCTCCTGCTGGAGCAGGGGGCTGGACTAGAGGACCTCCGAGGTCCCTTCCGACTCTGGCTGGTCCAGTTGCTTCATGATAAAATAATAATAAAGTCGGAAGGGACCTTGCAAGTCATCTAGTCCAACCCCCCCACTCAGGCAAGAAACACTACACCATTTCAGACAAATGGCTGTCCAGTCTCTTCATAATAATAATAATAATAATAATAACAACAACAACTGGAGCACCACTTGAACACCATTGGCATTGACACATTCGCTATTAGTCAATTGCAAAAGGCGGCCTTACTAGGAACTGCTTCCATCCTGCGACGATACCTGTAATACCATCAAACATCCACATCTGCCTATCCCAGGTCCTGGGTAAGGACTTGATAGGTAGACAAAATGCCAAATCCAGTCTGAACATCTGGCTGACTGTGCGATGATCCAAAATAATAATAATAATTTAAAAAAAGTTGGAAGGGATCTTGCAGGTCATCTAGTCCAAACTCCCCCCCCCCCACTCAGGCAGGAAACATTACACTATTTCAGACAAATGGCTGTCCAGTCTCTTCATAATAACAATAATAATAATAAATAAATAATAATAATAAAGTTGGAAGGGACCTTGGAGGTCATCTAGTCCAACCCCCCGCTCAGGCGGGAATCCCTACACCATTTCAGACAAATGGCTGCTCTAGTCTCATAATAGTAATAGTAATAATAATAATAATAATAATAATAACAAATTTGCTATTAGTCAATTGCAAAAGGCGGCCTTATTAGGAACTGCTTCCATCCTGCGACGATACCTGTAATACCATCAAACATCCACATCTGCCTATCCCAGGTCCTGGGTAAGGACTCAATAGGTAGATAAAATGCCAAATCCAGTCTGAACATCTGGCTGACTGTGCGATGATCCACAATAATAATAATAATTTAAAAAAAGTTGGAAGGGATCTTGCAGGTCATCTAGTCCAACCCCCCCCCACTCAGGCAGGAAACATTACACTATTTCAGACAAATGGCTGTCCAGTCTCTTCATAATAACAATAATAATAATAATAATCTGCCTATCCCAGGTCCTGGGTAAGAACTCGATAGGTAGACAAAATGCCAAATCCAGTCTGAACATCTGGCTGACTGTGCGATGATCCACAATAATAATAATAATTTAAAAAAAGTTGGAAGGGATCTTGCAGGTCATCTAGTCCAACCCCCCCCCCACCCAGGCAGGAAACATTACACTATTTCAGACAAATGGCTGTCCAGTCTCTTCATAATAACAATAATAATAATAATAATAATAAAGTTGGAAGGGACCTTGGAAGTCATCTAGTCCAACCCCCCCGCTCAGGCGGAAAACCCTACACCATTTCAGACAAATGGCTGTCCAGTCTCTTCATAATAAATAAATAAATAAATAAATAAATAAATAAATAAATAAATAAAGTCGGAAGGGAGCTTGGAGGTCATCTAGTCCAACCCCCCGCTCAGGCGGGAATCCCTATACACCATTTCAGACAAATGGCTGCTCCAGTCTCATAATAGTAATAGTAATAATAATAATATTAATAATAATAATAATAAAGTTGGAAGGGACTATCTGCCTATCCCAGGTCCTAGGAACTGCTTCCATCCTGCGACGATACCTGTAATACCATCAAACATCCACATCTGCCTATCCCAGGTCCTGGGTAAGGACTCGATAGGTAGACAAAATGCCAAATCCAGTCTGAACATCTGGCTGACTGTGCGATGATCCATAATAATAATAATATTAAAGTTGGAAGGGACTTGGGAGGTCATCTAGTCCAACCCCCTGCTCAGGCGGAAAACCCTACACCATTTCAGACAAATGGCTGTCCAGTCTCTTCATAATAAATAAATAAATAAATAATAAAGTCGGAAGGGAGCTTGGAGGTCATCTAGTCCAACCCCCCGCTCAGGCGGGAATCCCTATACACCATTTCAGACAAATGGCTGCTCCAGTCTCATAATAGTAATAGTAATAATAATAATAAAGTTGGAAGGGACTTGGGAGGTCATCTAGTCCAACCCCCTGCTCAGGCAGGAAACCCTAAACCATTTCAGACAAATGGCTGTCCAATCTCTTCATGATAATAATAATGCTGCTGCTGATGATAATGATAATAATGATGATGATGTTGGAAGGGACTTGGGAGGTCATCTAGTCCAACCCCTTCTCAGGCGGGAAGCCCTATATACCATTTCAGGCTGTCCAGTCTCTTGTTCAAAACTTCCAGGGTTGGGAGGCAGAGGTCTTGGAATGGAGGGGCAGCTGGGCGTGAGTGGCCCCCAACAACGCCGCCATCTTCCCCGCAGGCTTTCCTCCGTTGACAGGCGGGTTGGTGCCGAAGATGCTGATACGCAACCCCGAGGAACCAACCTCCCCAAAAACGCCGGCCTCAACCGCCAGGCCCAGCAAAAATCGCCACCGGGCCAAAGGGGGGGGGTCACACCAGTGGCCAAAGGGAGGGCAGCACTTCCCCGGTGGCGGCGGAGAAAAATAATGGCCGGCCGAAGGAAGAAGGCAGCTTCGGCAAGATTTGGGAGAGAGGAGCGTGGAGGAACCTGCAGCTTCTGGTGGCCGGGTCCTTCGGCCGCAGCCGGGCGGGCGGGCTGCACGGAGGTTAAATGAATGAAGGGATGAGTAAATAAATGGGGAGGGGGGCCTTCCGCTCCTCCTGGAATCCTTCTGGTCTTGTTGTGTGTGTACAAGGTGGATAGGGCACCTTCCGGGGAGAGAGAGAGGGATGGATGGATAAGATAGAGAAACACAGACAGGGATATAGGTGGATGGATGGATGGATAGAGAGATAGATATGGATAGATAGTAGATAGATAGATATAAATAGATAAGATAGACAGACAGATTAGGTGATAGAGATAGATAGATAGATAGAGACAAACACAGACAGAGATATAGGTGGATAGATAGATATGGATAGATAGTAGATATAGATAGATAAGATAGACAAACACAGACATATAGATGGATAGATAAATAGATAAATATGGATAGATAGATAGATTGATAGATAGATAGTAGATAGATAGATATAGATAAGATAAACAGACAGACACAGACAGATTAGGTGATAGAGATAGATAGATAGATAGATAGATAGATAGATATAGACAAACACAGACAGACAGAGATATAGGTGGATAGATAGTAGATAGATATAAATAGATAAGATAGACAAACAGACAGACATATAGGTGGATAGATAAATAGATAAATATGGATAGATAGATAGATAAGATAGACAAACACAGAGATATAAGTGGATGGATGGATGGATGGATGATATAGATAAGATAGACAAACACAGGCAGACAGACAAACACAGAGACAGACAAACACACAGATAAGTAGGTAGATAGATAAGTAAGATAGATAGATAAACACAGACAGACATAGATATAGGTGGATAGATAGGTAGATAGATATAGGTGGGTGGATGGATGGATAGATAAATAAATAGACAGAGACAGGCAGACAGACATATAGGTGAATAGGTAGATAGACATAGGTAGATACAGAGATATAGGTGGATAGATAGGTAGACAGACAGGTAGACAGACATAGGTAAATAGATATATAGGTGCATAGACACAGAGATATAGGTGGATAGATATGGATAGATAGACACAGATATAGACAGATAGACAGATAGATGATATAAATAGATAAGATAAACACAGACAGACAGACAAACACAGAGATAGACAAACACATAGATAGGTAGATATATAGGTAATATAGACAGACAGACACAGACAGACATAGATATAGGTGGATAGATAGGTAGATATAGGTGGAAGGATGGATAGATAAAAAGACAGAGACAGATATATAGGTGAATAGGTAGATAGACAGACATAGGTAGATAGATACAGAGATATAGGTGGATAGACAGACAGACATAGGTAAATAGATATAGGTGGATAGACACAGACAGAGATATAGGTGTAGAAAGGTAGATAGACAGAGACAGATATAGGATAGGTACATAGACAGACATAGGTGGATAGATAGATAGATAAGACAGATGATATAGATATACATAGATGACAGAGATATAGAGGATAGGTGATAGAGAGCAAAATAAGTAGATAATAGAGATACACAGATGATAGAGGTATGATAGATGATAGAAATAGATACATGAGAAAGATAATAGAAAGATGAGAGATGACACGGGGGGGGAGGGCCTTCAGCTCCTCCTTGCATCCCTCTGGCTTTTGTGTGTAAAAGGTGGGTAGTTTGTTCGTTTCGGGGATCCAGAGCAACGGAGGAAGGCAACTGGGGTGCAGGCATACGGGGAGCCCCCGCTTTCCAGAAGCGACAAGCGGGGACTGCCCTTGTTGCTTCGGTCACCCGGTGCCAAACGGTTCGCGGACCAGTAGCAGGCTGTGGCCCGCAGGTTGGAGACCGCCTGCGTTGGCAGGGAAGGGGTTGCTTCCCGATGTCCCCCCCCTTACTTTTCCCTGTACAACCAGGTGCCTCCTCCTACCTTCCCCAGGTGAGCTGCTGCTTAGGAATCCCGGTTGGAAAGTTCTCCCGATCCGGGCTGAACCTTGGCGCTACGCCGCCCACCGGAATACCTGCCTTGCCTTAGCGGCGTTTGCTTAAAAACGTGCCGACGGCCTGTTGTGATTCCTCGGCGGCCGGTGGACCCGGCCGCTGAATCCAAGGATTCAAGAGGAGGAGGAGGGGCCTGGCGTGCCGTCAGAGTCAAGAGGAAGGCTCTGAGGAGCTCCAAGACGTAACCGTCGGATGAGGAGCCTGGCCCCTCTACTCGCACAGCCTGAGTTGGACAGTGCTGAAGAACAGCTGGGACAAATCTCAGATGCACGAAAGAGACGGCAGGCAAAGCGAGTAGGACAGAGGGATGCGACGGGGCGGCTCCAAAGGCGAAGGAGAAGGCATTAGGAAGCCTAATAAAAGGGGGGGGGGCGGCCGTTCATGTTGAGGAATCGAGTTTTTTGTGGAGTGTGTTTTGTTTCCCTCGGACACGGACTCGGGTCTGTGAGAATAAAACGGGCTGGTTTTTTGGAAGAGGGGTTTCTTAGAAGAGGGGTTTCTCCTTGTACTCACGTAGGCCGGGACAGAAGACACCTCTCCCCGCGCCCCCCCCATGCCAAAAAACAAAACAGAGGTGACACACCGCCGGTCCGAACCCAAAAAGGCTGTATTTGAAAAAAAAAAAGAGATTCAAGTGTCAAATTGCACGCGGCTCGTCCTTTTCCACGCACTGGAGGAAGAGACGAAAGCCGCGTTCCCTGAAACCGACAACAGAGCGTCCCAGAGCAACGGGCTCTGGGCCTGTCCCGAGCAACCAGCTCGGGTGGGGTGGGGTGGGGGGCTGGAGGCCGAGCGAAAGTGGGGCAGGAATGACTACAAAAAAAGGAAGGGGGGAGTTCCGGGGTTTCCGGCCCCACCGAGCGGCGCCATCTCCCGCGTCTCAGATGTCCTTGGCCTGGCGGCGGAAAAGCTCGGCGTAGATGCCGCCCTTCCGTAAGAGCTCCGAGTGGGTCCCAGCCTGCGAAATGAAAAAAAGGGAGACACAAGTGTTGGGAAAAACCGGACCAGGGAAAAGCCCACTTCGACACTTCCGGGATTCCCAAAGGGGCTTTTTGGGGGGGGGGGAGGCAACTGGACTTTCTCGTTTCGCCTTTGAGGAGGTTTTGCTTCCCATCCGAGAGGCTTCTTCGGCTTTTACTGGATGGCCGGGGAACAGGAGGATTTATCCTCCTTGCAGACAGCTGGTCGTTTGCCTTCTTTTAGAGAGACGTTGAGGCCACTTGGATTTTTATCGGTGTTCTTCTCGTGGGACTTTTTTATTATTGTTTGAAGACGTTTCCCTTCCCACCCCAAGAAGCTTCTTCAGTGCTGACCGGATGGTGGGGAATGGAAGGATTTGTACTCCTTGCAGACCATTGGTCATTTGCATTATTTTAGAGAGGCGCTGAGGCCACTTGGAGATTTGTTGATGTCCTCCTCGTGGGAACTTTCTTATTATTCTTTGAAGATGTTTCCCTTCTCATCTCAAGCTTTTTCAGCGCTGACTGGATGGTGGGGAATGGAAGGATTTATACTCCTTGCAGACCGTTGGTCATTTGCATTATTTTAGAGAGGCGCTGAGGCCCACTTGGAGGGTTATCTGTGTCCTCATGGGACTTTTCTTGTTAATTCTTTGAAGATGTTCCCCTTCCCATCCAAGAAGCTTCTTCGGCTCTGATTGATGTTGGGGGAACGGAAGGATTCGTACGCCGTGCAGACAGCAGGTCATTTGCATTATTTTAGAGGGGCGTTGAGGCCACTTGGAGGTTTGTCTGTGCCCTCAGGATCGCCAGAGTGGTGCAAACATTGGGAGAGGGCCGGGGTGTGACATCGGAGAACACAACGCAGTCCTTTCAACAGTTCCAAGAAGGCTCCACTCCTATACTCAAGACACAGAGGAAACCTCCAGGTGGACTCAATGCCTCTCCGAAAGAAGGCAAATGACCAGCGGTCGGCAAGGAGGATAAATCCTTCCATTCCCCCACCATCCAGTCAGAGCTGAAGAAGCTTCTTGGATGGGAAGGGAAATATCTTCAAAGAATAATAACAAAATCCAGGAGGAAACAGATAAGCCTCCAAGTGGCCTCAACGCCCTTCTAAAACAGACATGTGAAACCCAAGTCCCGGGGTGGGGCCGGATGCGGCCCGCGGAGTGGTTTCATGCAGCCCGCGAAGCCATCCTGGAAACGGCGAGGGAACGGCCCCCACTGCCTTGGCCCTGGCCGGCCGGGAGCCAAGGTACAATTTCGCGGTGGCCATCTGTGCTGAGACGCGTTCAGTCTTAGCTCCACAAGGCCGTCGGGAAACAGCGAGGAACCGGCCCCTGCCGCGTCGGCATGCTGGGGAGGGGGTCCCCCTTGGCGAGGAATGAAGAAATGCACCGTTGCCTGGAAGTGGCCAGCCAATGGCCCTCGCCTACTTCACCGATCCAGCTTGATGGGCTCGGCCCTGGTCCCACCCCCTTTCTGCCAGAGACCCTCAGATCTGTCCCGCTCCTGCCCAGGCCCCCTTGACGCAAAGGATGTAGAGCTGGCCACGCCCCCCAGTAGGCCACACCCACTCCAGCCACGCCCACCCAGTAGGCTGCACCCAACCGGCCCCCCTGAGGGCAACCGCAATGCTGATGCGGCCCTCCGTGGAGTTTGATAGCGCTGCTCTCAAAGGAGGCAAACGACCAGCAGTTCTGCAAAGCGTAGAAATCCTTCCCCGCCATCCAGTCTGAGCGGAAGAAGCTTCCCGGGATGAGAAGCAGAACGTCTTCAACGGAAAAAGAAGGAAGTCCGGTTGCCTCCTTAAAAAAAAAAAAAAAGCACCGGGATTTGGATGACTGAGACCATTTCCCGGATTCACGAGCATGGGATTTCAGGGGAAGCGGAGAGCTGGACACGGCACACCACCACCCCACGAGCAATGGTTGGGCTGAGCGCAGTCCTGCTCCTAGCTCGCTTTACATGCTCAGTGGCGCCAACGGTCTTGGACGGAGGCTTAGAGGAGGGGTCCCCAATCCCTGGGCTGAGGATCGGCACTGGGGTTTGGGCACGCCCGCCCCCATAACGCCAGTGGGCACGCGGGTGTTCAGGCATGCGCTCGCTGCTTGTAAGGAAGCGTCCCGTTTCCGGCCTCCCCTCCCCGTAGATGCCCCCAGCGGTCCTTAATGCTGGAAAGCTTGGGGACCGTTGCCCTAAAGCACGCCAGGGTTTTCGTTGGGAAGAGGGAGACCGAGAAGTGGGAAATTGCTCCGCCAGGAACCGACAGCAGTTTCTACAGGGTCCCATGCTTCAAGCAGGGTGTTGGGACTCGAAGACCACCGAGGCTGTGGTCTCGTCGAGCGAAAAGGGTCCCCCGGGGCCCGGCGCTCACCTCGGCCACCCGGCCCTTGGACAGGACCACGATGAGGGAGGCCTCCTTGACCGTGCTGAGCCGGTGAGCAATCACCAGCACGGTCCGGCCGGCCACGGCCCTGTTCAGGGCCTCTTGGACCACGTGCTCCGACTCGGCGTCCAGGGCGCTGGTGGCCTCGTCCAGGATCAGCACTTTGGGATTCTTGATCAGGGCCCGGGCGATGGCCACCCGCTGCTTCTGCCCCGCCGACAGAGTCACGCCACGCTCCCCTGGGAGGGGAAGAAAGGGAGGGCGGTGTGAGGAGGGGGTTGTCGGGCGGAAGAGGAAGGAAGGAGATGGGGAGGAAGGAAGAGAGAAGGAGAGAAGAAGAAAGGAAGGATATCGGGAGGAAGGGAAAAAGGAACGGAGGAAGGAAGGAAGGAAATGGGGAGGAAGGAAGAGAGAGAAGGAGAGGAAGAAACAAAGGAAGGGAGGGAGGAAGGGAGGGAGAAGGGAAGAAGATGGGGAGAAAGGGAAGGAGAGGAAGGAAGGAAGGACAAGGGGAGGGAGGGAGGGAGGAAGAAAGGAAGGAAAGAGATGGGGAAGAGAAGGGAAGGAAGAAAGGCAACAGGCATGAAGAAGGGAAGGAAGGGAGGGAAGGGAGGGAGGGAGAAAGGAAGAAGATGGGGAGGGAGGGAGGGGAGGGAGGAAGGAAGAAAGAAGGATGAGGGGAGGGAGGGAAGAAGGAAGAGAGGAAGGAAGGAAAGAGATGGGGAAGAGAAGCGAAGGAAGAAAGGCAATGGATGAAGAAGGGAAGGAAGGGAGGGAGAGGAGGAAGAAAGAAGGATGAGGTTAAGGAGGGAAGGAAGAGGGGAGAGAGGAAGGAAGGAAAGAGATGGGGAAGGGAAGGGAAGGAAGAAAGGCAACAGGGATGGAGGAGAGAAGGAAGGAAGGAAAGAGATGGGCAAGGGAAGGGAAGGAAGAAAGGCAACGAATGGAGGAGAGAAGGAAGGGAGGTGGAAGGGAGGGAGAAAGGAAGAAGATGGAGGAGAGGAAGGAAGGAAGGGAAGAGATGGGAAGGGAAGAGAAGGAAGAAAGGCAACAGGGATGGAGGAGAGAAGGAAGGAAGGGAAGAGAAGAAAGGCAACAGGGATGGAGGAGAGAAGGAAGGGAGGGAAGGGAGCGAGGGAGAAAGGAAGAAGAAGGGAGGGAGGGAAGGAGAGAAAGGAAGAAAGAAGGATGAGGGGAGGGAGGGAAGAAGAGGGGAGAAAGGAAGGAAAGGGAAGGAAGAAAGGCAACAGGGATGAAGGGAAGGAAGGGAGGGAGGGAGAAAGGAAGAAGATGGGGAGGGAGGGAAGGAGAGGAAGGAAGAAAGAAGGATGTGGGGAGGGAGGGAAGAAGGAAGAGGGGAGAAAGGAAGGAAGGGAAAGAGATAGGGAAGGGAAGGAAGAAAGGCAAAAGGGTTGGAGGAAGGAAGGAAGGAAGGAAGGCCCCCCTGATCTCCAAGAGGCTGTTGTGAGGTCAGAGACGAACCTCTTTCGTCACCAAGGCCGTTTCCGGGCCGCAGCCACACTCACCCACAGTTGTGTTGTATCCATCAGGGAAGCTGCGGATAAACTCGTCGGCGTTGGCCAGCCGGGCAGCGGCGTAAATCTCCGAATCGGAGGCACAGGGCTTGCCAAAGCGGATGTTCTCCATGATGGTGGTGCTGAACAGCACCGGCTCCTGAACAACGGAGGCAGCAGGTGGGAGGTTCCCGGGTTGGGGAAGGGGCCAGCCTCCGTGCCCCCCCGCCCACGACCACCCTCCCCCCAACCAGGACTAGCCGTAATCTCTTTTTCCATTTTGTTCGCCCGCCCTCCCCACAGACGTTTCATTTCTCGCTGACCGACAGGTGAACCGAGCCGCGAGGGGGTTGCGTTACGTGGAAATCGGGCCCGGGAACAATTTTGCGTCGCGGGTGCGCGCGCCGGGCCGACTCTTCCCCTTCCGTGCTCGGGGTCCTACCTGGTTAATGAAGCCGATGACCTCTCCCCGGAGCCAGGAAGCGTCCAGGGTGCAAATGTCCCGCCCGTCCAGGAAGATGGCGCCCTTGGTGGGTTCGTAGAAGCGCTCCATCAGGGCCGCCACGGTGGACTTCCCTGCGCGGGAGAGAGAGAGAGAGAGAACAAAGGTCCACGGGCTTGGAGGTGGAGGAGGATGGGTGGGTGGGTGGGATGGGTGGATGGATAAGGAAGAGAAAGGAGACAGAGGAGGGGGAAGAAAAGGACTAGCTGGGTAGATTAGACTGGCAGCTAGATAGCTAGATAGATAGTCAGACCGACCGACCGACAGAGAGGATAGGTAGCTAGCGAGCAAGTGAGCGAGAGAGAGAGAGAGAGAGATAACAGGTAGGTAGGTGGATCATCAAGAGATAGATAATGGATAGGTTGATAGAGCGATAGAGCAGTAGGTAGATTGATGATCGATAGATCGATACGTAGATCAACAGATAGGTAGATGAGAGAGAGAGAGACAGACAGACAGATAGGAGATATAGATAGATAGATAGATAGATAGATAGATAGATAGATAGATAGATAGATAGGATAGACAGACAAATATAGGAGGTAGATGATAGACAGATATAGATATGAGGTAGATGATAGACAGATGAGATAGATAAATAGATTAGACAGACAGACAGATAATAAACAGAAAGATATAGATGTTAGATATAGGAGGTAGATTATAGATTAGACAGACAGACAGACAGATACAGATTAGATATAGTAGATAGATGATAGATACATAGATAGATAAATTAGATATAGACGATAGGCAGATAGATAGGAGAGAGATGATGGATGATAGAGATATGTGGATGACAGACAGGTAGGTAGATCATCAATAGATAATGGATAGGTTGATAGAGCGATAAAGCAGTAGGTAGATTGATGATCGATAGAGTGATACGTAGATCGACAGATAGGTAGATGAGAGAGAGAGAGAGACAGATAGGAGATATAGATGGATAAGACAGACAGACAGATACCTAGATAGATAGATAATAAATATAGATGAGAGACAGACACATAGGAGGTAGATGATAGATGAGATAGATGGATAGATGAGATAGACAGACATAGGAGGTAGATGATAGATAGATAGATGAGATAGATAGATGGATAGATAGATGAGATAGACAGACAGACATAGGAGGTAGATGATAGATAAGACAGATGAGATAGATTAGACAGACACACACACACACAATACGGAGATATAGATGACAGATAGACAGACAGACATAGGAGATAGATGATAGATACAGATGAGATAGATAGATAGATAGATAGACAGATAATAAATAGATGAGAGACAGACATAGGAGGTGATAGATAGATAGATAGATAGATAGATAGATAGATAGATAGATAGATAGATAGATGGATAAATAGATGAGATAGACAGACAGACATAGGAGGTAGATGATAGATAAGACAAATTAGACAGACAGACAGATAGATGAATAGAAATAGATAGATAATAGAGAGATATAGATGATAGACAGATACAGATAATTATAGATTAGATAGATAGATAGATAGATAGATAGATAGATAGATAGATAGATAGATAGACGGATTAGATAGATTAGATATAGTAGATGATAGATAGATACCGATACACAGATAAAAAAGAGATGAGAGAGATGATGGATGATGGAGATATGTGGATGATACACAGGTAGGTAGATTATGAATAGATAATGGGTAGGTAGGTAGTTTGATCGATCGATAAACTAACAGGTATGTAGGTAGTTCGATGGATCAATAGATGGATAGATAATAGGCCAGCAGGTGGAGGGAGGGATGGAGCAGATTGGATCCACTCAGCCAATCACTGCCATTTGCTTTCATCGCACAGGGAAAATGCCACTCTAAGTCCCGGTTATTATTTAAAAAAAAAACGAGGTTTAATTTTACCACGATGCCAAACTCAAAAGACCCACCACCACCACCACCCCCGCCCTAAGGACCCAGCCCCTGCTCAGGCACAGGAGAGGGCGCCTTACCGCCGCCGGATTGGCCCACGATGGCCACCGTCTTGTTGGCAGGGATGGAGAGATTGAAGTTCTCCAAGACTCTGTAGCCCGGCCGGGTGGGATAACTAACAGCAGAAAGAAAAGAGAGAGAGAGAGAGAGAGAGAGAGAGAGAGAGAGAGAGAGAGAGAGAGATAGAGAGAGATAGAGAGATTGTCAGGCCTTGGGGGTGACAGCTGTGGCCAGTTTTGTGGACCGGGGTGGGGTGGAGTGTGTGTGTGTGGGGGGAATGCGTTCACACGCAACATAGATCCTGTGCGTGTCAGATAAAGCTTTGCTCGCTCTCGCCGCCACTTGTAAAAAGGCCGTGGACTGGTAACGGGGCCACAACCCAGAGGTTGGGGATCCCTGTGCTAAAGGACACCCCCAGGTCAGTTTTCCCAGGGCAGGGATGGGGAGGAGGCCGAGGTCCCTTTGAGGGTGAGGACCAGCGGTGTCCAATGTACGGGCTCTTCATAGAAGTCTGTCAAAGGTATTTAAAGGTCAGCGCTCCGACAGACGAGCACGGACAAATAACACCCATGGCAATTTACATCACAGACAAAAAGGTATTTAAAGGCCAGTGCTCCGACAGACGAGCACGGAGAAGTAATACCCACAGCAATTTACATCACAGACAAAAAGGTATTTAAAGGCCGGTTCCGGTTCCAGGTCGCGGTACCAGCGTATGCGCGGGGAGAGCCTTCTTTCCGCCGTCCGGTTTTGCTTCATCCCACAGGAATTTACATCACAGACAAAAAGGTATTTAAACGCCAGCGCTCCGACAGACGAGCACGGACAAGTAACACCCACAGCCATTTACGTCACAGACAAAAAGGTATTTAAAGGCCGGTTCTGGTTCCAGGTCGCGGTACCAGCGTTATGCGCGGGGAGAGCCTTCTTTCCGCCGTCCGGTTTTGCTTCATCCCACAGGAATTTACATCACAGACAAAAAGGTATTTAAAGGCCAGCGCTCCGACAGACGAGCACGGACAAGTAACACCCACAGCCATTTACGTCACAGACAAAAAGGTATTTAAAGGCCGGTTCCGGTTCCAGGTCGCGGTACCAGCGGATGCGCAGGGAGAGCCTTCTTTCCGCTGTCCGGTTTTGCTTCATCCCACAGGAATTTGCATCACAGACAAAAAGGTATTTAAAGGCCAGCGCTCCGACAGACGAGCACGGACAAGTAACACCCACAGCCATTTACGTCACAGACAAAAAGGTATTTAAAGGCCAGCACTCCGACAGACGAGCAGAGACAAGTAACACCCACAGCCATTTACGTCACAGACAAAAAGGTATTTAAAGGCCAGCGCTCCGACAGATGAGCATGGACAAGTAACACCCACAGCCATTTACGTCACAGACAAAAAGGTATTTAAAGGCCAGCGCTCTGACAGACGAGCACGGAGAACTAAATCCACGGCAATTTACATCACAGGCAAAAAGGTATTTAAAGGCCAGCACTCCGACAAACGAGCACGGAGAAGTAACACCCATGGCAATTTACATCACAGACAAAAAGGTATTTAAAGGCCAGCACTCCGACAGACGAGCACGGACAAATAATACCCACAGCAATTTATGTCACAGATAAAAAGGTATTTAAAGGTCGGCGCTCCGACAGAAGAGCACAGACAAATAACACCCACAGCAATTTACATCACAGACAAAAAGGTATTTAAAAGCTGGCGCTCCGACAGACAAGCACGGACAAATAACACCAACGGCAATTTACATCACAGACAAAAAGGTATTTAAAGGCCAGCGCTCCGACAGACGAGCACGGACAAGTAACACCCACAGCCATTTACGTCACAGACAAAAAGGTATTTAAAGGCCAGCACTCCGACAGACGAGCAGAGACAAGTAACACCCACAGCCATTTACGTCACAGACAAAAAGGTATTTAAAGGCCAGCGCTCCGACAGATGAGCATGGACAAGTAACACCCACAGCCATTTACGTCACAGACAAAAAGGTATTTAAAGGCCAGCGCTCTGACAGACGAGCACGGAGAACTAAATCCACGGCAATTTACATCACAGGCAAAAAGGTATTTAAAGGCCAGCACTCCGACAAACGAGCACGGAGAAGTAACACCCATGGCAATTTACATCACAGACAAAAAGGTATTTAAAGGCCAGCACTCCGACAGACGAGCACGGACAAATAATACCCACAGCAATTTATGTCACAGATAAAAAGGTATTTAAAGGTCGGCGCTCCGACAGAAGAGCACAGACAAATAACACCCACAGCAATTTACATCACAGACAAAAAGGTATTTAAAAGCTGGCGCTCCGACAGACAAGCACGGACAAATAACACCAACGGCAATTTACATCACAGACAAAAAGGTATTTAAAGGCTGGTGCTCCAACAGAAGAGCACGACAAATAACCCCCACAGCAATTTACGTCACAGACAAAAAGATATTTAAAGGCCAGCACTCCGACAGACGAGCATGATTCAAAGCACACTTGAAGATGTCCCCCCCTCCCCTGAATGGAGATGAAACATTTGCAGCCAAATCAGAAAGTTTGGAGATCAAGCCAACAGCTCGGCGTAAGAGATGCTGATTTAGCCTAATAGACAAGGGTCCCCAATCCCTGGACCGCAGCCTGGTTCCTGGTCCATTCAGAACTGTTTTGTACAAGCTGGAGCTGAACATGCAGCTCCATTGGCGCGAGTGGCGGGCATTCCTGCGGGAATGTGGCGCAATGGTTAGAATGCAGTGCCGCAGGCTACTTCTGCTACTGCCAGCTGCCAGCAATTTTGGTAGTTTGAAACTGCCCGGCTCAAGGTTGACTCAGCCTTCCGTCCTTCCGAGGTCGCTAAAATGAGGACCTAGATTGTTGGGAGCAACGTGCTGAGAGAGGGCCGTAAAGCACTGTGAAGCGGTATATGTCTAAGTGCTTTTGCTAAATGCTATTGCATGAAGTTCCATTTGTGCATGTGGAGGGCTCTCGGCTCTGCCAGGAGCTCCGTTTGCGGCAGCAGTGGACACTCGCGCAGAACCGTTTCCTGCCCCCTCTCCGCCGCCATTCCACAAAGCCGGAAAGGTCGGCACCCCGTGGCCCGAGATATTTTCCCAGCCCATTTCAAAATCTCCCCCTTGCAACTCGGGAACTTTTCCGAGTTCTCACCTGAAAGTCACATCCCGGAATTCGAGGTGCCCGTTCAGCATGCTGCAGGTGAGCGTCTGTCTCTCGCACAGGGGCGTCTCCGGCGACAGGTTCATGAATTCAAACACGCGGGCCCCGGCGCTCATGCCCCGTAAAACCTGCAGGGGTGAAGAGAGGGGTCTTGTGGAACGACACCCCTCCTCCTGGGGGGGGGACACCATTTCCCGAGCGAAAAAAAGCCAGGAGGTGTGTACAGATGGTTCTCGATTTACGACAGTGGAGCCAAGAATTTATGTCGCCACGCGAGACGTTTCTGAAGGGAGCTTCGCCCCGTTTTGTGGCGTTTGTGAAGCGGATCGCTGCAGCTGTTCAGTTCATCACACAGTCGCTAAGCGAATCGGGCTTCCCTGTTTGGTCTGCTTGTTGGGAAGTCGCAAAAAAAGTGACCCTGCGATTCCCGGGCCATCGCAACGGTTGTAAATAGGATGTGGTTGTCCAGCATCCGAATGTAAATCACGTGACCCTTGGGATGATGAGTGGGAACAACGGCTCATCACTTCTCTCTGTGCCGTTGTAAAATCCAACGGTCACTAAAGGAACTGCTCTAAGTCAAGGACTATTTCTGCTAACTTTACACCTGCTGAGCTCTGCTTCACCGCCGTGGCAAGAAACGTCGTTAACATGGAGCTCCTCTCACTTCCCAAAGGTCTCTCACTTAGTGGTGGAAATTTAGGACCGTCAGTCGAAGGCTCCTTGCACGTTGAACCTTGGACGATTTGGCAGGAATTCTGCTGAATTCTATCGGAGCGCAACTGGAATCAAACTCTCGGAAGGTTTTGGTTTTCTCGCTTGCAACCAGATGAAATTTAATTTAATTTATTATTTATTCAATTTATTATTTAATTTAATTAATTTAATAATTTAATTTAATTATTTAATGTAGTTAATTTAATTTTTAATTTAATTTAGTTAATTTAATTTTTAATTGATTTAATTTAATTTATTTAATTTTTAATTTAATTAATTTGATTTAATAATTTAATTTTTAATAATTTAATTTTTAATTTAATTTACTTAATTTAATTTTTAATTGATTTAGTTTAATTTACTTAATTTGATTTAATAATTTAATTTTTAATAATTTAATTTTTAATTTAATTTACTTAATTTAAATTTTAATTGATTTAGTTTAATTTACTTAATTTTTAATTTACTTAATTTGATTTAATAATTTAATTTTTAATAATTTAATTTAATAATTTAATTTAAAATTTAACAATTTTTGATTTAATAATTTAATGTCATTTTTTCTTTAATTTTAATAAATTAATTTCATTTTTACTTTAATTAAATTTAATAATTTAATTTAATAATTTAATTTAACATTAAGTTAAAATTTTATTTTTATTTTATTTTATAATTTATTTTATATATTTCATATTTTATTTTATTTTATTATTTTATTTTATTTTATTTTTTGTTTTGTTTTATTTTATTTTTGTTTTATTTTATCGAGGTCTATCTGAATTATGTTGCCACTGGTTGTCCCATGGATCTCCCCAAGCCCACCTACCTGTCCAAAGAGCACCGACATGCTGGCCATGGACCTATGGAAGAAAAAGAAACAGCTCTTAAGGGCCAGCCGGTCAGTCGGCTGTCTGCACCGGAATCGGGCCGGTCTTACCGTTGTACGGTCTGGGAGGAGACCAAGAAGGACATGAGGTCCCCGGGCGTCATCTCCTGTCCGGCCATGAGGGAACCACCGACAAAGATGGTGCCAAGCACAATACCTGGAAAACAAAAACGACATGGCTGTGGCGTAGAATTCGACAACGTTGCTGGCTTTGTGGACCGATGGACGAGGACGGGACGATTCCGCGCGAACGACAGGGGAGCTCACTCGCCAGAAGGGACGATTCCGTGCGAACGGCGGAAAGCTCACCCGCTACTTCCGTGGTACAGTTCCAAACAGTTCAAGGACAGGTAGTGGGCCGTGGACCGGCGGACAGGGAGGGGACGATTCCGCATGAACGGCAGGTAAGCTCGCTTACCCGCTACTTCCGCGGCCCGGTTCCAACCGGTTCAAGGACTGGTAGTGGGCTGTGGATTGGTGGGTAGGGAGGGGATGTTTCCATGAGAACGGCGAGTAAACTTGCTCGCCACTTCCGCAGCTTGGTTCTAAATGGTTCAAGGACCAGTAGTGGACCGTGGACTGGGACAATTCCGCACGAATGGTGGGTAAGCTCGCTCGCCACTTCCACGGCCCAGTTCCAAACGGTTCAAGGACCAGTAGTGGACCGTGGATTAAGGGGGTTGGGGACCCCTGGTGTAAAACATTTAGAGGTAGTCCTCGGCTTACAACAGTTTGTTTAATGCCCGTTCGAAGCGTGAAATGTGACTTATGACCGTTTTCAAAGTCACGACCTTTGCAGCATCCCCATGATTGTGGGATGACATTCCAAATTTTGGGCAGCTCGTTCACACTTCCTTAGTCCAACAGTTCATTTAGTGATGGTTACAATGGCGATGCAAGAAGGGACTTAGGACCATTTTTTTTCACACTTACGACCACCGCTGCATCCCCGTAGTCGTGCGATTTAGATTTGGACACTTGGTAAGTGATTCGTTTTTTACAACGGTTGTGGGGTCCTAAGCTCGTGCGATCCCTTTGGTGACCTTCCGACAAGCAAAGTCAACGGGGAAGCCCAATTCGCTTAACTGGGTTACTAGCTTATCACCTGCAGCGGTCCACTTAACCGCCAGGGCAAAGGAGGTCATAAACTGGGGCATAAACCTGTATATAGCTGCCGGTCATATAACAAAACAGGCTGGGCACGGAGCCTCGCCCAGAAGCATCCCGGATGCCGCGTCGACCGTCCCTGGTAGCCAACGCAATGGAGCTTCTACTCACAGTTCAGGGCCATGTTGGACAGCCCCTGGAAGAAGGCAATGCCCAGCCCCAGGTTCATGTTGAGACGGCAGGAAGTGTCCACTTCAGCTGCGTATTCTCTGCACGGGGAAGAAAAAGGAGAAATTGACAGGCTCTGACAGGGTCACTGCACGGCCTACGCCGGGAGTGTCCAATCGCGGCAACTTTAAGACCGGTGGACTTCAACTCCCAGAATTCCCCAGCCAGCAAGGGCTTAAGCAGAATGGGTAGGACAAGAACTAGAACAAAGGCAGATGGACGACTTTTTCTTTTAGATATGGTAACTTTATTAGTAGATGGTGGGTATGCAGTGAATGTAATATATCTCATTTTTTGGATAGGGAAACCTTATTAGTAGATGGTGGGTATGCGGGGAACATAATATATCATATTTTTTTGATACAGTAAATTTATCAGTAGATGGTGGGTATGCAGTGAATGTAATATATCACATTTTTTGATAAGGTAAATTTATTAGTAGATGGTGGGTATGCAGTGAATGTAATATATCTCATTTTTTGGATAGGGAAACCTTATTAGTAGATGGTGGGTATGCGGGGAACATAATATATCATATTTTTTTGATACAGTAAATTTATCAGTAGATGGTGGGTATGCAGTGAATGTAATATATCACATTTTTTGATATGGTAAATTTATTAGTAGATGGTGGGTATGCAGTGAATGTAATATATCTCATTTTTTGATAGGGAAATCTTATTAGTAGATGGTGGGTATGCAGGGAACATAATATATCACATTTTTTGGTACGGTAAATTTATTAGTAGATGGTGGGTATGCAGTGAATGTAATATATCACATTTTTTGATATGGTAAATTTATTAGTAGATGGTGGGTATGCAGTGAATGTAATATATCACATTTTTTTGATAGGGAAACCTTATTAGTAGATGGTGGGTATGCGGGGAACATAATATATCACATTTTTTGATAGGGTAAATTTATCAGTAGATGGTGGATATGCAGTGAATGTAATATATCTCATTTTTTGATAGGGTAAATTTATTAGTAGATGGTGGGTATGCAGTGAATGTAATATATCTCATTTTTTTGATAGGGAAACCTTATTAGTAGATGGTGGGTATGCAGGGAACATAATATATCACATTTTTGATAGGGTAAATTTATTAGTAGATGGTGGGTATGCAGTGAATGTAATATATCTCATTTTTTGATAGGGAAACCTTATTAGTAGATGGTGGGTATGCGGGGAACATAATATATCACATTTTTGATACGGTAAATTTATTAGTAGATGGTGGATATGCTGTGAATGTAATATATCACATTTTTTGATAGGGTAAATTTATTAGTAGATGGTGGGTCCACGGGGAACATATTACAGCGTGACTTCAACAGAGTGAAAAAAATGCGGGCTGGTATGCTTGTACCCCTGGCTTAGTTGATCTTCAGTGTGGAGCTCCTGAGTGCACATGTGACTCGCACTGTGTACGCCAGGGGTACCCAACCTTGACTTGTGGATTTCAACACCCAGAATTCCCCCGCCATCAATTATTTTTCCATTCTGCTGATGTCAAGATATATTATGTTCCCGGCATACCCACCATCCACTAGTAAAAGTATCCGCTGGTCGTAAAATTAGGTGGGACTCCCTTCACAACTGCCTTGCTTAATAGCAGAAACTGTGGTCTCCACTGTGGTGGTGAAGGTGAGGTCTGCTTGTAGGGAGGAGAGCCCCAATGCACAGGGGTCCACCATGGGTTGATTCCACATCGGAGAAGTTGATGCTAGAAAACACCAGCCCCCCAATCTTTGGGGCACCAGGGACTGGTTTTGTGGGGAACAATTTTTTTTTGACCCATTGGGGTGGGGTGGAGAGGGGGGATAGTTTCGCACGCAACATAGACTTGCTCACTCGCCACTCACAACCAGCTGCGCGGCCCTGGTTCCTAAGACGTCACAAACCGGTATGGGTTCACAGCCCCGCGGGTTGGGGACCCCTGCTATAAAAGCATCATTCAAGAGAGCAGGGATCACACTTTTGTGGTACTCACTGGATCTCTTTGGGTTCCATGGCAAAGGCCCGCACCGTCCGGACGTTCCCCAAGGCCTCGTCGGCCACAGCCGTGGCCTTGGACACCTGCACGCCAAAGGGGAAGAACTCAATTTGCATAATGTCTCGCTCGTTAGGAACACAACGGACGAGATCTCTTGGCCAATGGGAAGAACTGGCAACACAGAAAGGGGACTCTGAGCTCACCCACCTTAGGACACCCCATTGAATCAGGCCGTCCTTAAGTGGAGGCGAGGAATTGAGTAGTTCAGGAACTGTGGGACGGTTAAAGAAGATACCAGATCGGGGTATCCAACCGTGGCAACTTTTTAAGACCTGTGCACTTCAACTCCCAGAATTCCCCAGCCAGCCAGCCAGGGTTTAACCAGAATGGATACAACAAGAACAAGCACAAATATAGATAGACGAGGGTTTTTTTGATAGGCTAACTTTATTAGTAGGTGGTGGGTATGCAGTGAATGTAATATATCTCATTTTTTTGATAGGGTAATTTTATTAGTAGATGGTGGGTATGAAGTGAATGTAATATATCTCATTTTTTGATAGGGAAACTTTATTAGTAGATGGTGGGTATGCAATGGACATAATATATCACTTTTTTGATAGGGAAACTTTATTTGTAAATGGCGGGTATGCAGTGAATGTAATATATTTCATTTTGTGATAGGGAAACTATTAGTAAATGGTGCGTATGAAGTGAATGTAATATATCTCATTTTTTGATAGGGAAACTTTATTAGTAGATGGTGGGTATGCAGTCGACATATCACATTTTTGATATGGAAACTTTATCTGTAGATGGCGAGTATGCAGTGAATGTAATATATTTCATTTTGTGATAGGAAACTTTATTAGTAGATGGTGGGTATGAAGTGAATGTAATATATCTCATTTTTTGATAGGGAAATTTATTAGTAGATGGTGGGTACGCAGTGAACATAATATATCACATTTCTGCTAGGGAAACTTTATTAGTAGATGGTGGGTACGCAGTGGACATAACATCACATTTTTTGATAGGAAAACTTTATTAGTAGATGGTGGGTACGCAGTCGACACAATATATCACATTTTTGATAGGGAAACTTTATTAGTAGATGGTGGGTATGCAGTCAACATAATATATCACATTTTTGATAGGTAAACTTTATTTGTAGATAGCGGGTATGAAGTGAATGTAATATATCTCATTTTTTGATAGGGAAATTTATTAGTAGATGGTGGGTACGCAGTCGACATAATATATCACATTTCTGCTAGGGAAACTTTATTAGTAGATGGTGGGTACGCAGTGGACATAACATATCACATTTTTTGATAGGGAAACTTTATTAGTAGATGGTGGGTATGCAGTCGACATAATATATCATATTTTTGATAGGGAAACTTTATTAGTAGATGGTGGGTATGCAGTCGACATAATATATCACATTTTTGATATGGAAACTTTATTTGTAGATGGCGGCTATGCAGTGAATGTAATATATTTCATTCTGTGATAGGGAAACTTAATTAGTAGATGGTGGGTATGAAGTGAATGTAATATATCTCATTTTTTGATAGGGAAACTTTATTAGTAGATGATGGGTATGCAGCAAACATAATATATCTTGACTTCAACAGAGTGAAAAAAATTGGTGGCTGAGGAATTCTGGGAGTTGAAGTCTACAAGTCTTAAAAGTTGTCAAGGATGGATACCCCCGTCCTAGATAAAGCAGAACGTGCATGGAACAGAGTTCTGGAAACTCTTTCAAACCTGTTTAGTTCAAGGAACGTTCACACGGGTTATTTCTCCCCACCTGCTCTTGGGCTTTGCGGGAGAGCCTGCGAAGGGAGGTGCCGAGAAAGGTCCCGATCCCCACCAAGAAGGGCATCACCACGACGAGCAGTCCGGTCAGCTTGGGGGAAATCAAGTAGAGAGACACAAAACAGCCCACCGTCTGAGTGAGGCTGCGTAGACCCTGCAAGTGGGGGGGGGGGTGAGGTGGGGTGAAGAAAGAGAGGGTGGCATAAAAAGAGGCGCCTCCACGAAAGAGGGAAAGGTGACCTCCAGTCCGCACAAGACAAGTCCGCATCGGAGCAGAATTGCCCTCCGCTCGGCGAGCCCACCCCTCCCGCCCCACCATCGGTCACACCTGAGAGATGACCAGCTTGAACGAGGACTTGAATTCCTGGATGTCGGCGGTCAGGCGGTTCACCAGGTGCCCCGTCTGATTGGCATCGAAAAAGGCAATCTCTTCCCTTGGGGATCAAAAAGGACCAGGGTTATCATATGAAGAAAACTTATATTATAAAATGTTTGACAGATGGCATATGACACCAGGGTTTTCCCAGTTGCAAGGTATGGCTGTGAAAGCTGGACCGTAAGAAAGGCTGAGCGCCAAAGAATGGAGACCTCTGAACTCTGGTGCTGGAGAAGACTCCTGCGAGTCCCCTGGACTGCAAGGTGATCCAACCAGTCAGTCCTAGAGGAGATCAATCCCGACTGCTCTTTAGAAGGCCAGACCCTCAAGTGGAAACTCAAATACTTTGGCCACCTAATGAGAAGGAAGGACTCCCTGGAGAAGAGCCTGATGCTGGGAAAGATGGAGGGCAAGAGAAGAATGGGGCGACAGAGAAGGAGGTGGCTGGATGGAGTCACCGAAGCAGAAGGTGTGAGCATCAATGGACTCCAGAAGATGGCAGAGGCCAGGAAGGCCTGGAGGAACGTTGCCCATGGGGTCGCAACGGGTCGGACACGACTTCGTAACTAACAACAACATGACACCTGTGAGATTAGCAAAAATGTTTAAAAATACTTCAAACAACTGTTGGAAATGTAAACAGAGACCAGGTACGTATTATCGTATCGGGTGGATATGCCCCAAAGCAAAAAAAAGATTTGGGGTTCAAATACATTTACAGTTGGAGAAAACAACTAAAAAAACAAATAAGACCTTAAACTGGAATGATTTTTGTTAGGAATAACAGGAGCTAAATCTGAGAAAGATTGCAGATATCCAATAGATAAGATAAACTTAATGTCATTTTTTGTTTTTTACCGTGGGCACAGCGGCACACATCAAAAATGAAATTTAGCTGCCCGCTCTAAAAGTGAAACACATAACATGACACACCCCTAAAACATACTATGGACAACATATGCATAGACCCGCACCCCTATATATACGTAGCAAATAAATATTAAATACTGTTCATCTTGAAAATATAACGGAAGGAGGAAGCTTGAGAGTTCACAAGGTTAATGCTGTATGGAATGCAACTGTGGCTGAATCTGGATGTTCTGCTGCGGATATTAAGGGCAGCAAGACTTGTATTTGGAAAAATGAAAATTTACCAACTGAAGAAGTGCTAATTAAGACAATTCTAGAGTGGGCAGAAATGGATAGGTTGACTTTAAAGATTATTAAAGAGAAAGAAGACTCAGTGTACTTTAGAACATCGGATCATTGCTATCTATGGCTAGAAAAACGAGGCTGATAGAACAAGGCTGAAAGAAAGGAACGTGATATGTAATTTTGAATAGATAGATAGATATAGATAGATTACATAGATTAGATCTATCTAACAGCAACAGCCAAACAACAGCAACGCAGCTCACCATCTGAAATCCCCCTGCAAATCAGACTAACCCGAGCACAACAAAGCCCCCACCCAAACAGAACACTTCCCCATCCAATCAGAGCACAGCCAAGCCCCTAACCAATCAGAACACACCTCCAACCAATCAGAACACAGCCAAGTTTCCACTCAATCAGTTCATACCCCCACTGGCAGTTAAAAGGAAGAAACAGCTACGATCACACATTGCTCCTAGAAGCACGAAGCCGAAAACACCAGCCTGAAGATGACGAATGGGACTTCGTCGAAACGTCGCCAAGACACTTCCAATTTTACGCGGGAGAAAACCCGAATAACCAAAGACCTACATATAGATAGATAGATAGATATAGATATAGACAGATATAGATAGATAGATAGATATAGATGTTTTCTGAGGTTTTCGCGGGTGTTTGTATGTAGGTCTTTGGTTATTCGGGTTTTCTCCCGCATCAAATTGGAAGTGTCTTGGCGACGTTTCAACGAAGTCTCATTCGTTATCTTCAGGCTGGTGTTTTCGTCTTCGTGCTTCTAGGAGCAATCTTCTAGAAGCACGAAGCCGAAAACACCAGCCTGAAGATGACGAGTGAGACTTTGTTGAAACGTCGCCAAGACACTTCCAATTTGACACGGGAGAAAACCTGAATAACCAAAGACCTACGTACGTACGTACATACATACATACATACATACATACATATATATATATATATATATATATTAGTAAGAAGAAGGCCATTGAATGATGAGTTAACGTATCGTTTAGGGTGATTAACTATATCTATTATTGTTAGTACCCAGACATTGTGCTGTTTGCTAAATGTTGAAAATGTTATTTGGAAAAACCCCAGCCCCAACCCTAACCCCAACACCCCACCTTATCCCTTATCAAGGACTACCTCCACGTAGTTGTAACGCCGAAGGCTAGCTGCCGTTTAGCCAAGTTGCTGAATTTCTCAACCGGATTTGACAGCCGACCTATCCTCAGCTTCGGATCATTCGGGGACCACGCCGCCCCCTTCCCCGTTACCCCTCCCTCCAAGGCCAGCCCGGACCCGGATGACATCCCAGCATGCCCCCCCTTGTTTTTAACCCCCTTACCTGAGGAAGGAAGAGAACAGTTGCTTCCGCATACTGCCAGCCACTCTCTCCCCGATCCAGGACAGCAGCAGGATGTACCCAAAGGTTAAGGCGCCCTGCAGCCGGGGGGGGGGGGGGTAAAAAAAAAAAAAAAAGAGAGAGAGAGTTGAGTCTCAAAGGTGCTTTTTTTCCCAAGAGGCAACTGGATTTCTTTGTTTTTCCTTCGAAGATGTTTCGCTTCTCGTCCCAGAGGCTTCTTCAGCTGCGACCGGAGAGTGGGGAAATGGAAGGATTTAGATGTCTTGCAGAAATACTGGTCATTTGCATACTTTTGGAGAGTCGTTGAGGCCACTTGGATGTTGGTCGGTGTGCTCAGGGTCACCCGAGTGGTGCAAATGGGTGTGGAGCCTTCTTGGAACTGCGGAAAGGACGGTGTTGTAGACTGGAGATAGATAGATCGCCCATTTGCACCACTCAGGTGACCTTAAACTTCCAAGTGGCCTCAACGACCTTCTCAAAGGAGGCAAATGACCGGCGGTCTGCAAGGAGTATAAATCCTTCCGTTCCTCCCGCCATCCAGTCAGAGCTGAAGAAGCTTCTTGGATGAGAAGCGAAACGTCTTCAAAGAATAATAAGGAAGTCCCAGGAGGGCACAGATAAGCCTCCAAGTGGCCTCAACGCCCTGCTAAAAGGAGGCAAATGACCAGCAGTCTGCAAGGCGTATAAATCCTTCCATTTCCCTCCATCCAGCCAGAGCTGAAGAAGCAATAAGAAGCGAAACAAGACAAGTCCAGTGGGCTTCCGTTTTAAGTAGCAGATCATTTTCTTATTCCTTTCTTCCGTTCTCCCCTTTTTCCTTCTTTCTCTCTTCTTTTTTTTTTCTTCTTCCTCGATGACTTTTTTTCCATTTACTTTTTAAAATACAAACCTTGCAGGAAAGATTTTGTGATGGAATTATTGATTAACCCAGCCGCCACGCTGCTTTTTAAACACTCAAATGTAAAATTGGAAAAATTAATAAAATATTATTTTTTAAAAAAAAAAAGCCCCCTGGGAGAAGCATCCGTGTGTGTGTGGATGTGTGTGTGTGTGTGTGTGTGTGTTTGTGTGTAACTTGAGATTTGCACTGAAGATTTTGTGATGGAATTATTGATTAACCCAGTTGCCACGCTGCTTTCTAAATACTCGAATGGAAAATTGGAAAATTAATAAAATATTTTTTTTTTAAAAAAAAGGCCCCTGGGAGAAGCATCCGTGTGTGTGTGTGTGTGTGTGTGTGTGTGTGTGTGTGTGTGTGTGTAACTTGAGATTTGCACGAAAGATTTTGTGATGGAACTATTGATTAACCCAGTCGCCACGCTGCTTTCTAATTACTCGAATATAAAATTGGGAAATTAATAAAATATTATTTTTTTTAAAAAAAAAAAACCCTGGGAGAAGCATCCGTGTGTGTGTGTGTGTGTGTGTGTGTGTAACTTGAGATTTGCACTGAAGATTTTGTGATCGAACTGTTGATTAACCCAGCCGCCACGTTGCTTTCTAAATACTCAAATGGAAAAATTAATAAAAATATGATTAAAAAGGAAGGAAGGGACTCACCTGGAGGCCGTAGAGGGTCAGCAGGCGCAGGGCCGGCTCGCGCACCAAGCGCAGGTAGTCGCCCACACGCATGTGCTTGGCCACCACGTTCACCATCTGGCCCAGCAGCAGCGGGATGTGGACGTTGAGCATCGCCGCCCCAAAGGCAAACTGCGGGTCGGGAAAGAAAGAAAAGGCCGGAGAACGACGGCCGGGATATTTATTATTTTCAATTTTATTTTATTTTTTGGGGGGGGCAAACTTTGGTTTAAATAGGATGGCTTGAAGGTGAGCTGGCAAGGGGGGGGGAAGGGCGGACCCCCCCCAAGTGAATAGGACGCTTGGTTGTACAAAGGCGCCTCTCCTTCCTTCCTGAATCTGTCTTTTTCCTTCTTTCCCTTCCTCCCTTCTACTTCCTTCCTTTCTAAATCTGTCTTCCTTCCTTCCTGAATTGGTCTGCTTCCTTCCTTCCTTCCTGAATCAGTCTCCTTTCTTCTCCTTCCTTCTTTCCCTTCCTTCCTTCCACTTCCTTCTTTTCTAAATCTGCCTCCTTCCTGAACTGGCCTGCTTCTTTCCTTCCTTCGTTCCATCCTTCCTGAATCTGTCTCCTTCTTTCCCTTCCTTCCTTCACTCCCTCCCTTTCTAAATGTCTTCCTTCCTTCCTGAATTGCTGTCTCCTTCCTTCCTTCTTCATGAATATCTCCTTCCTTCCTTCCTGAATCGCTCTTTCCTCCCTCCCTTCTACTTCCTTCCTTCCTAAATCTGCTTCCTTCCTGAATCACTTGTCTCCGTCTCCTTCTTTCTTCCTGAGCCTGTCTCCTTCCTCCCTCCCTCCTTCCTTCTTTCCTAAATCTGTCTGCTTCCTTCGTTCCTTCCCGAGTCTTCCTGTCTCTTTCCTTCCTGAATCGGTCTGCTTCCTCCCTCCCTTCTCCTTCCTTCCTTCCTAAATCTTCTTCCTTCCTGAATCACTTGTCTCCTTCGTCTCCTTCCTCCCTCCTTCTTCCTTCCTGAATCACTTGTCTCCTTCTCCTTTCTTCCTGAATCCGTCTGCTTCCTCCCTCCCTTTCTTCCTTCCTAAATCTGTCTGCTTCCTTCCCGAGCCTGTCTTTCTTCCTTCCTTCCTGAATCGCTCTCCTTCCTTTCTTCCCAAATCAGTCTCCTTCCTTCCTTCCTAAATCTGCTTCCTTCCTGAATCACTTGTCTCCTTCTCCTTCCTTCCTGAATCTGTCTCCTTCCCCCCTCCCTTCTTTCCTAAATGTCAGCTTCCTTTCTTCCTTCCCGAGTCTTCCTGTCTCCTTCTTTCCTGAATCGGTCTGCTTCCTTCCTTCCTGAATCGCTCTTTCCTTCCTCCCTTCTACTTCCTTCCTTCCTAAATCTGCTTCCTTCCTGAATCACTTGTCTCCTTCGTCTCCTCCCTCCCTTCTTCCTTCCTAAATCTGTCCCTTCCTTCCTTCCCAAGTCTTCCTGTCTCCTTCCTTCTTCCTTCCTGAATCTGTCTCCTTCCTTCCTTCTTTCTTCCTTCCTAAATCTGTGTCCTTCCTGAATCACTTGTCTCCTTCTCCTTTCTTCCTGAATCTTTCCTCCCTCCCTTCTTCCTTCCTAAATCTGTCTCCTTCCTTCCTTCCCGAGTCTTCCTGTCTCCTTCTGCCTTCCTTCCTGAGTCTGTCTCCTTCCTTCCTTCTTTCTCTCTCTCCGTCCTTCCGGCTGGAGCAAGGGCTCGGATAAGTGAGACCTCCCAGGTCCCTTGCCAGCTCTGATGGCGATCGCATTTCCTTCCCACCCCACTGTCCACGGGCCGGCCGGCCGGCCCGACCGCCCGCCCACGGGGAAAGACCCTCACCACGATGGACGCCGCCACCGCCAGCAGCTGAGGGCGTATGAATTTCCAAAACATGGCCCAGTTGAAGTCCGGCTCTTTCTCCCCGGGCAGGCAGATCATCTCCACCTTGGGGGCCTCCTGGCAGAAGACCCTCTGGCCGAAGCCGGCCCCCAGCCCCACCAGGGCCGGCCCGGCCCACCAGGCCGCCATCCGGCCCAGCGGCGCCAGGTGGCGGGGCAAGGCCAGCAGCACGGCCGGGGAGAGCCTGGGCAGGCCGCCGCGGGGAAGCCGCCGGACGCAGGAGGAGAAGCGGGCATGGCTCCCGGAGTGCCTGGGAGGAAGGAGGAGAAGAAAGCAGAAGGGGGAAGACAGATCAGGGGGCAGCAAACGGCGGGAAAGGGCGGGCAGGCTCCCCCCCCCCGGTCTCCGGAGGGGAGGCAGCCAATGTGGCCGGGAAGAGATGCCTGCCTGCCTTCGGGTCCCCAGGCATCCCACCCGCCCGGCGATACTACTCTGCGCTTCCTCTATTCTATTCTCCATCCTATCCTATTTCGTCTCATTCTCTTTTGCCTTGTTCTATTCTGGTCTACTATTTTATTCTATCCTATTCTGTCTTATTCTATGCTTCTGCTCTGCCTTCTTCTATTCTACTATTCTATCCTATCATCCTCTTCTATGTCGTATTCTTTCTGCCCCGTTCTATTCTATTTTATTCTATCCTATTCTATTTTCTTATTCTATCCTCTTCTGCCTTATTTGAGTCTACTTTTATTCTATCCTCTTCTGCCTTATTCTTATTCTATTCTATTCTATCCTGTCTTATTCTATTCTGCCTTATTCTAGTCTACTATTTTATTCTATCCTATTCTGCCTTATTCTATTCTATTCTATCCTATTTTGTCTTATTCTATTCTTAGTCTTATTCTATTCTAATCTAGTTTATCCTATTGTCCTATTCTTAGTCTTATTCTATTGTTTTTTCTATCATATTGTCTTATTCTATTCTGCCTTAATTCTACTTTTCTATCCTATCCTATCCCTTATTCTATTACATTTTACTATTCTGTTCTATTCTATCCTATTCTATTCTTAGTCTTACTCTATTCTGTCTTATTCTATTCTATTTAGTCTTATTCCATTCTTAGTCTTATTCTATTCTGTCTTATTCTATTCTATTTTATTCTATCCTATTCTGCCTTATTCTATTCTAATCTAGTTTATTCTATCCTATTCCATCTTCTTCTATTCTTATTCTATTCTGCCTTATTCTATTCTATTTTATTCTATCCTATAGTCTTATTCTATTCTATTCTAATTCTATTCTGCCTTATTCTATTTTGTTTTATCCTGTCCTATTCTATTCTGCCTTATTCTATTTTAATCTATCCTATTGTCTTATTCTATTCTTAGTTTTATTCTATTCTGATCTAGTTTATTCTATCCTATTGTCCTATTCTTAGTCTTATTCTATTCTATTTTATTCTATTCTATTGTCTTATTCTATTCTGCCTTAATTCTACTTTTCTATCCTATCCTATCCCTTATTCTATTATATTCTACTATTCTATCCTATTCTATTCTTAGTCTTACTCTATTCTGCCTTGTTCTATTCTATTTTATTCTATCCTATTCTGTCTTATTCTATTCTTAGTCTTATTCTATTCTTAGTCTTATTCTATTCTACTATTTTATTCTATCCTATTCTGTCTGGGGGGGGAAGCCTCCCAGCCACCATGCAAAGGCTGGGGCCTGTTAATTTGATTAATAGTAATATTAATATTGCTGTTAACATCGTGTGACATTGCCTAGTTTGGAGAATGAAACGTCTGCAAGGAAACCACCCAGCTCAGAGAGCACCAGGAAAGCCCTTATTTCAGGCCCGAGCTAGAAATATTCTCCTTTGATCAGTCACTCCACCGGGATTTCAAGAGGCTACTCTACAAAACCCAACCTTTAGATCAGCGTCTGTCTTGCTTGGGGGGAAAAAAGCACCGTGCCCCAGGAGGGCGTCACAGTGAGTGGCTTGACTCATGTCTGTTTTAATCATGGTTCACTGAATTTTGCCGTAAGCCGCCCCGTCTGGAGGGAGACTCAAAAGTATACTGAATAAGTATGGCTGGACCTGAAGGCCTCTAAGGTGCCATCCAGTTCTATTCTATTCTCTCCTATTCTATTGCCTTATTCTATTCTATTCTATTCTATTCTCTTATTCTAAGTCTTATTCTATTCTGTCTTATTCTGTTATTCTTATTCTTTTCTGTCTTATTCTATTCTATTCTAATTCTATTCTGCCCTATTCTATTCTATCCTATTCTCTTATTCTAAGTCTTCTCCTATTCTGTCTTATTCTATTCTGCCATCTTCTATTGTATTTAGTCGTATTCTATTCCGTATTATATAATTCTATTCTATTCTATCCTGTCTTATTCTACTCTGCCTTATTCTATTCTACATTCCTCTTTTCTATCCTATTCTCTTATTCTATTCTATCTTATTCTAAGTCTTATTGTATTCTACTCTACATTCCTCTATTCTATCCTATTTTTCTATTTCATTCTATTCACTATTCTATTCTTCTTTCTATTCCATTCTATCTATTCTGCCTTATTCTAGTCCATTCTATGTCTTATTCTATTCTGCCTTATTCTACCTTATTCTATTCCATTCTATCAGAACAGAATTATTGTATTCTACTCTACATTCTTCTATTCTATCCTATTTTTCTATTTCATTGTTCTATTGTATTCCATTGTATTCTAGTCTTCTTCTTTGTATTCCATTCTAATTCTATTCCATCCACTATTCTATTCTATATTTCTATTCTATTCTGCCTTATTCTATTCCATTGTATCGGAACAGAATAGAATAAGGCAGAATGGAATAGAATAGAATGATGTAGAAAAATAGGATAGAATAGAGGAATGTAAATGTAAATACAGAATTACTGTATTTACATTCCTCTATTCTATCCTATTTTTCTACATAATTCTATTCTATTCCATTCACTATTCTATTCTTCTTCTTTCTATTTTATTCTATCTATTCTATTCTGCCTTATTCTAGTCCATTCTGTCTTATTCTATTCTGCCTTATTCCATTCTATCAGAACAGAATTACTGTATTCTACTCTACATTCCTCTATTCTATCCTATTTTTCTATTTCATTCTATTCTATTCCATTCAGTATTCTATTCTTATTTCCATTCTAATTCTATTCCATTCACTATTCTATTCTATATTTCTATTCTATTCTACCTTATTCTATTCTATCAGAACAGAATTACTGTATTCTACTCGACATTTGTCTCTACTATTCTATGCTAGTTCTCGTTCTCCCTTATTCTATTCCCTTTCCCTCTTATCCTAGATGGGGAAGAAAAGCCCCTTCCTGCAGCTGTCCAGGCGCCTCAGGGCCGCCTCTGACGCAGGCCTTTTTCCAAGAACCCAATTCCAAGGAAAAGGCTTCTTTCCCTTGGCAGGAGGGAGGGAAAAAAAAAACAAAAATCCACCCATCCATCATCCCCTGCCAAGCCCTGAGGTAAAAAAAACAAAGCAGTGCGCATGCGCGCTCCTCTCCCGCCCGCCCGCCGGCTTGGCCTCCAGCTAATCACCCCTTTGGCCTTTGGCCGATTTCCCGGCGGGAAAAGCTGAGGAGAGGAAAAGCTGAGGCGGGCGACGAGCTCCAACTCCTTCGGCGGCCGGTCACGCCAGCCCGGCCTGGCCGGCGCTAAAGGAGAAAACGGGCGCGGGCCTATGAGGGACTACGACTCCCGGCATGCCCCGCGAGGCGGCCTCGCGCCCCTGGCGGAAGGGAGGGGGGAGGCGACGGTTACCTGGCAACGCCTACGGCCGGCGACGGCGGGAGGCCCTTCAGGGCCGCCTCCCCGCGGGGAAGCCGCCGGCCGTAGGAGCCGCGCCCCGCGGCCACTCCCGGCCGCAGCAGCGCCAGCCGAGCCAGCATGACGGCGAGCGAATGCGGCTCCCTCACGCCTTCCCCGCCCGGCCGGCCGCTCGCTTTCCCCGCCTCAGGAACCGCCGCCGCCGCCCAGAATGCACCGCGCGGGGCGTGGCTAAGGCGCGAGACGGCGGGCCGTGAAGAACACGGGAGGGGGCGGGGAAAGGAATTGCTCGGCTGGGCCCGCCTTTAGCAGCCCCAGCTGCGCAGGCGCAGAGCCTCCCTCGCCCGCTCCGCCCTCGGAAGAGGCGAGCCGCGGAAACCCGGCCCTTCAAAGCCACCCGCGCAGGCGTAGTAAGAGTCGGCGAGTCCGCCCCCGTCCCCCCCTCTTACTGCACAGGCGCAGTAAAAAGCGGCGAGGCCGGGCTCCGCCGCTCGAAGCCACTCGCGCAGGCGCAGTAAGAGTCGCCGAGTCCGCCCCAGTCCGCGAGACGGAGCTGCACAGGCGCAATGAGAAGCGGCGGGGCCGCTGAAAGAGACTCGCGCAGGCGCAGTAAGCAGTCACTGAGTCTGCTACTAAGAGACTCGCAGAGCCCACCCCTCCTGAGAGACGGACCCGCACAGGGGCAATAAGAAGCGGTGAGGCCGGGCTCCAACATTAAAAGCCACCCACGCAGGCGCAGTAAGAATGACTGAGCCCGCCTCCTCCGAGAGACGGACCTGCAAAGGCGCAATAAAAAGCATTGAGGCTGGGCTCCGCCACTAAAAGCGACTTGCGCAGGCGCAGTAACAGCGAGCCGCCGCTAAGAGACCCGCGCAGGCGCACTAAGAGTCACAGTAACAAACACACACAAACACCCCACGAGACGGACCCGCACAGGCGCAATAAGAAGCGGCGAGGCCGGGTTCCGCCAGTCAAAGCCACCCGCGCAGGCGCAGTGAAACTGCGGCGCGGAGAGACGGAGCCGCACAGGCGCAATAAGCAGCGGCGAGGCCAGTCAAAGCCACCCGCGCAGGCGCAGTAAAAGTCCGCCCGCGAGAGCCGGACCCGCACAGGCGCAATAAGGAGCGGCGAGGCCGCGCAATCGCTAGTCGGCGTCGAGGCGGGGCCTCCCGCCGGCCCCGCCTCAGGGAGGCGTGGCCTCGGAGGCCGCGGGGTCGGACGCGGCTCCGGCCCGGCGTGACTCAGGCGGCTCCTCGCCCGCTGAGCGGCCGCCTTTCCCCTCCTCGGTCCCGGGCAGCCTCGGCAGACGAGTCCCGGCGGCGGGAGAGCGGCTGGAGCCGCCTTTGGCCGCTGACGTCCGGCGACGGTGGCCGCTTCGCACTTACGACCGGCGTTTCGGACTTACGACGCACCTGGATAGGATTCTGCAGGGAGGGGGCGGCTGGGAGGTGCTGAGTTCGAGTTCTGGCTCGGCCTGGGGGGGAATCTGGGCCAGGATCTCTCTCTCTCTCTCTCCCCCCCCTCTCTCTGGCCGGCCCACCTGGCAGGGTTGTTGTTGCAGAGGAGGAGGGTAAAAAAAAAAGGGGAAACGAAGCTGGGCGGCCCTGACGGGGGACTGGTCGGGTGGAGGGGGTGGGGGAGGCTGGACTAGATGACCTCCGGAGGTCCCAGCCAGCTCTGCTGTCCTCCTTAGGCAGGGATTGGACTGCTAGATGACCTCCAGGATCCCTTCCCGGTCTGCTCTTCTGTCAGGGTCTCCTGTTTTAGCAGGGGGTTGGACTAGATGACCTGCGGGGGTCTCTTCCAGCTCTGTTGTTCTGCAAGGGTCTCCTGTTTGAGCAGGGGGTTGGACTAGATGACCTGCGGGGTCCCTTCCAGCTCTGTTGTTCTGCAAGGGTCTCCTGCTTGGGCAAGGGTGGGTTGGACTAGATGACCTCTGGGCTCCCTTCCCGGTCTGTTATGCTGAAGGGTCTCCTGCTTGAGCAAGGGGGGGGTTGGACTAGATGATGTTTGAGGTCCGTTCTGTTTATACTTCTGTAAGGGTCTTCTGCTTGAGCAGGGGGGGGAACTAGATGACCTCCAGGGCCCTTTCTGTTGTTCTATGATTCTGCAAGGGTCTCCTGCTTGGGCAGGGGGTTGACTAGATGATCTCCGGGATCCCTTCCAGCTCTGTTGTCCTGCTTGGGCGGGGATTGGACTAGATGACCTCCAGGATCCCTTCTGTTCTGTGATTCAGTAAGAATCTCCTGCTTGAGCAGGAGGTTGGACTAGATGTCCTCCAGGGTCTCTTCTGCTCTATTATTCTGTAAAGGTCTCCTCCTTGAGCAGGGGGCTGGACTAGATGTCCTCCAGGATCCCTTCTCTGGTTCTGTGACTCTGTAAGGGTCTCCTGCTTGAGCAGGGTGTGAACTAGATGACCTCCGGGGGTCCCTTCTGTTGTTCTAGGATTCTTTAAGGGTCTCCTGTTTGAGCAGGGGATTGGACTAGATGACCTCCAGGGTGCCTTCCTGTTCCATTATTCTGTAAGGGTCTCCTGTTTGAGCAGGGGGTTGGACTAGATGTCCTCCAGGGTCCCCTTCTGTCGTTCTATGATTCTGTAAGCGTCTCCTGCTTGAGCAGGACTAGATGATCTCTGAGGTCCCTTCCCGCTCTGGTCATTCTGTAAGCGTGGCCTGCTTAGGCGGGGACTGGATGAGATGTCCTCCATCGCCCCTTCTGTTATTCTCTATGATTCTGTAAGGGTCTCCTGCTTGAGCCAGGGGTTGGACTAGATGACCTCCAGGGTCCCTTCCCACCTCTGTGTCTTCTCAATGGGAACGCCGGGTGTGTGTTTGTTGGGGGGGGGGGACGGAATCTGCATCGAGAAAGGCCCCAGCTGCTCCCCAGGATCCTGGTTTATGGGACACCCCCCTCCCCCTTTGTGGCCAATTGTTTCCCCAAGTTATTGAGGTGTGTGTGTGTGTGTGAGAGAGAGATTTTGTCGCGCCTCGGTTGTGTTGTGTCCGCACCTGTTCACTGTGTTGCCTTTGCTTTGTCTTCCAGAGTCGCTGCTGAATTCAGTTTTAGAGAGACCTGCAGGGCAGGGGCTGTGTGTGTGTGTGTGTGTGTGTGTGTGTGTGTGTGTGTGTGTGTGTGTGAGATTGTGTGTGGGTGTTTGTGGGTTCCGGGCCCCATGGCGCTGAGCCGGGAGGCCACGGGGGACTACCACCCCTTGCCGGATTCCGAAGACGACGACTCCCCCCCGGAGGACGAGCAGCAGTTGTTGGTCCACGTCACGGAGGGGCTGAAAGGTGGGCCTGGATTTGGGGGGGCACCGGGGGGTCAAAGGTCAGGGAGTCACCCCTGGGGAAGGGTCCTTGCACCCCAATTTTTATTTTTTTTCTCCATCTCTGCTTCCCCCCCCTCCAGATTCCTGGCACCACATCAAGAACCTGGATAACTTCTTCACCAAAATATCCTTTCTGGCTCGCTTGGGAAGACTTGAACCCCCCACCCTAAAAAGTACCCCCCTTTTATTGATTGAGCTCCCCCCCCCAAAAAATGTTGGGGCTGGGGGGGGCAAAGCGACAGGCCCCCGAAGCGAATTGGGGCTCCCGTTTGACGGGCCGCCGTCGGTAAGTGAATCCCTCCAGTTTAAGGGAAAAAAAAAATAGAATCCAGGCGGAAGGGTCCCGTGAGGTCATCTAGTCCAACCCCCTGCTTGAGCAGGAAGAGAGAAAAAAAGAGATCACATGACACACACACACACACACACAAACACACACGGGACACTGCGACCGTCGTAAAGGCGAGTCGGTTGGCCAAAGGTTGGGATTTTGACCGTGGGATGACAGGAGCACCGAGTCGGAAGGGACCTCGGAGGTGGTCTAGTCCAGCCCCCTGCTCGAACAGGAGAGCCTTATAGAATAACAGAGACGGAAGAGACCTCGGGGGTCATCTAGTCCAACCCCCTAAAGCAGGAAACCCTTCGAATAATAGGACCACACAGTTGTGTTACTCTATATTGGGTCGGTCTCCGAACTTGGCCCTTTGATGACTGGTGGACAATTGGCAGGGACCTCGGAGGTCATCTGGTCCAACCCCCTGCTCGAGCAGGAGACTCTTACAGAATTACACCATTGGAAGGGATCTTGGAGGTCATCTATCCAACCCCCTGCCCGAGCAAGAAACCCTTAGAATAATAGGACAACACAGTCAGAAGAGACCTCGGAGGTCATCTAGTCCAACCCCCTGCTCGAGCAGGAGACGTATAGAATTACACAATTGGAAGGGACCTCAGAGATCATCTAGTCCAACCCCCTGCTCGAGCAGGAGACTTGTAGAATTACACAATTGGAAGGGACCTCAGAGGTCATCTAGTCCAACCCCCTGCTCGAGCAGCAGACCCTTACAGAATTACACAATTGGAAGGGACCTCAGAGGTTATCTAGTCCAACCCCCTGCTCGAGCAGCAGACCCTTACAGAATTACACAATTGGAAGGGACCTCGGAGGTCATCTAGTCCAACCCCCTGCTCGAGCAGCAGACCCTTACAGAATTACACAATTGGAAGGGACCTCGGAGGTCATCTAGTCCAACCCCCTGCTCGAGCAGGAAACCCTTAGAATAATAGGACAACACAGTTGGAGATCATCTCGTCCAACCCCCTGCTCGAGCAGGAAACGCTTCGAATAATAGAGCAACAGAGTTGGAAGGGACCTCGGAGGTCATCTAGGCCAACCCCCTGCTCGAGCAGGAAACCCTTCGAATAATAAGACCACACATTGGGTTGGCCTTCGAACTGGGCCCTTTGGTGACTGGGGGACTTCAACTCCCAGAATTCCTGAGCCAGGCACGTTGGTTGAGGAATTCTGGGAGCTGAAGTCCACCCGTCATCAAAGGGCCCAGTTCGAAGACCGACCCCTGGTATAGAGTATATAGAACAGGCGTCTTCGAACTTGGCCCTTTGGTGACTGGGGGACTTCAACTCCCAGAATTCCTCAGCCAGGCACGCTGGCCGAGGAATTCTCTGAGCTGAAGTCCACCAGTCACAAAAGGACCAAGTATGTAGAACATATATAGAATACTATATAACGGCCGTCTCGCCTAGCCGCGGAAAATTGGGGGGCTCCGTTACGGCCGTAAAGCGAGGACTGCCTGCTCAGTGAGGCCAGCTGAACCCCGCAAGGACGGGGGTCCCCTAAGGCGGTGGTCCCCCAATTTTTAAGGTTTTTTGGACCGGTGGCAAGCGGGCTGCAGCCCCGGCGGTTGGGGACCCTTTTCCTAATGCACTGCAGCAGGCCGAGGAATCTGTTGTCAGTTTTCCCCGAAGTTGTCCGTCACCGTCGAAGCTTCGTCTGCCGTGGCGGTGGGTCCTCCCCCCCCCCTCCAGGGTGGGCTGTGTGCCGTGGGGTAGGGGGGCTGGCGCCCCGTGGCCTCTGGACGTGGTTTTTCCTTGACGGCTTCTGCACATCTATCATTTTCACCAAAGGAACGGCTTTGCTTGCATGATGCTCTCTGACGTCTTTGAGCTGGTGTAAGAGGGCGCCCGGCGGGACCCCCCCCCATTCCCCTCCGGGTGGGAGGGGTGGGGTGGGGAGCGGCTGGAGGGGTCTGGCATTAGGGGAGGGGGGCGCTGGGCTCCCTGGCTGAGGATAGAGAGTGACGAGAAGAGAAGAGAAAATAGAATAGAATTCAAAATAGAATAGAATTCAGAATAGAATAGAATTTAGAACAGACTTCACATAGAATAGAATTCAGAATAGAATAGAATTCAAAACAGAATTCAAAATAGAATAAAATTTAGAACAATTCAGCATAGAATAGAGTTTAGAATAGAAAAGAATTCAGAATGGAATAGAATTTAGCAGAATTCAGCGTAGAATAGAATTCAGAATAGAATAGAATAGAATTCAGAACAGAATTCACAATAGAGTAGAATTTAGAACAGAATTCAGAATAGAATAGAATTTAGAATTCAGAATAGAATAGAATTTAGAATTCAGAAAAGAATAGAATTTAGAACAGAATTCAGAATAGAATTCAGGTAATAAAATTCAGAATAGAATATAATTTAGAAGAGAAGAGAATTTAGAACAGAATTCAGAATAGAATAGAATTTAGCAGAATTCAGAACAGAATAGAATTCAGAACAGAATTCACAATAGAGTAGAATTTAGAACAGAATTCAGAATAGAATAGAATTTAGAATTCAGAATAGAATAGAATTTAGAGCAGAATTCACAATAGAATTCAGGTAATAAAATTCAGAACAGAATTCAAAATTGAACTCAGAATACAATACACTTTAGAACAGAATTCAGAATAGAATCAAATTCAGAATAGAATATAATTTAGAAGAGAAGAGAATTTAGAACAGAATTCAGAATAGAATAGAATTTAGCAGAATTCAGAACAGAATAGAATTCAGAACAGAATTCACAATAGAGTAGAATTTAGAACAGAATTCAGAATAGAATAGAATTTAGAATTCAGAAAAGAATAGAATTTAGAGCAGAATTCAGAATAGAATTCAGGTAATAAAATTCAGAACAGAATTCAAAATAGAATTGAGAATACATTAGACTTTAGAACGGAATTCAGAACAGAATATAATTTAGAATAGAAGAGAATTTAGAAAAGAATTCAGAATAGAATAGAATTAATGGAATAGAATTTAGAACAATTCAGGAATAGAATTTAGAATAGAACAGAATAGAATTCAGAATAGAATAGAATTTAGCAGAATTCAGAATAGAATAGAATCCTGAATACAATAGAATTCAGAATAGAATAGGATTCACAATAGAGTAGAATTTAGAACGGAAGTTAGAATAGAATTTAGAAGAGAAGAGAATTTAGAATTCAGAATAGAAAAGAATTTAGAACAGAATTCAGAATAGAATAGAATTCAGAATGTAATACAATTTGAAACTGAATTCAAAATGGAATAGACTTTAGAATAATTCGGCATAGAATAGAATTCAGAACAGAATAGAATTGAGAACAGGATTCAGAATAGAACAGAATTCCGAATGGAATACGATAGACTTCAGAGTAGAACAGAACGGAGAACTAGCGCTGGGACTAGAGTAGAATAGAATAGAATTCGGGATCCAGTAAAGTAACGCTAGACGGGACCTCGGGGGTCCTCTAGTCCAACCCCCTGCTCCATCGGGAGACCCCCGACTATTCCAGACCGTCTCCTCTTAAAAAAACTCCAGTGCCCCCCTCCCACCCCACCCCGGCCGCAATTTCTGATGCCAACTATAGGAGGTGCCCAACCACCTTCCTCTCGGCTGTCTCCGCTTGACCGGGTGGCCGTCTGCCTGCCCCCGGCCAGCCCAGCCGCCATGACTAAAAGGCCGCCCCCCCCTCCCCAGGCAGTTCCTGTTTGTGGCCACTTTCTCCACCTTCCTGCTTTGCTGCGTGGAGTATGACGTTCTCTTTGCCAACCGGCCCGTCAATCACACCCACCAGGGAGGAGGTGGAAGTTTTGGGCCCGATCGCAGCAAGGTTACGCTCCCGGATGCTATCCTACCCGCTGCCGAGTGTGCTCAAAGGTAAGTAGCGGTCCGGAAAGATCCGTGCCTCCCCCCCCCCCAGTTCTTAGCAGGAGCCCAAGCGGGTTTCGGCCGTCGTGGTGGGACATTGGCACCGGTGGAGGGGGAGGCAAATGAAACTTTGCCGCTCCTCGCCAGCCTGGCCGAGAGCCTGCCTCTCGGATCGAGATACGACTACCTCGGGACGTGGAATCTCGCCGAGATTTGCGGCTCGCCGAGATCTCTCCGGGTGCCGTGGAGGATGCGAATCGGGGCTAAATCCAGACCAAATCTGCTTCGCGTTGTACCCGCTAGTCCTCAGCTTAACGACGGTTCGTTTAGTGGCCGACGTTGCGACAGGACTTGGCGATCTCCTTCCCAGTTCGGCAGAAAGCCCTTCCGCTCTGGCTTCTCGGTCAAGGTAGACTGCCTCAGGATGTGGAGTCTCTCTTTTCTGGCTGTGGCTGAGCCCCGATGCGGCCTAGTCCTCAATATAACGACGGTTCGTTTAGTGGCCGTTATGATGGAAGGGCTTTCACTTCCCAGTGAAAGCCCTTCCACTCTGGCTTCTGGGTCAAGGTAGACTGCCTCGGGATGTGGAGTCTCTCTTTTCTGGCTGTGGCTGAGCCCCGATGCGGCCTAGTCCTCAACGTAACGACGGTTCGTTTAGTGACCGACGTTACGACGGGACTTGGCGATCTCCTTCCCAGTCCGGCAGAAAGCTCTTCTGCTCTGGTTTCTCGGTCAAGGTAGACTACCTCGGGATGTGGAGTCTCTCTTTTCCGGCTGTGGCTGAGCCCCGATGCAGCCTAGTCCTCGGCTTACGACGGTTCGTTTAGCGACCGTTGGAAGTGGCAACGACAACTTTGAAAACAAAATGGCCCATTTTTCACGCGACTGAAACGCGATCGAAAGATTCTTGGCCACTGGTTCTCCCTTAACGACCGCTGCGCTTGTCGCCTTTTGCGACCTTCCCGCCGAGCGAACCCAAGGGGGGGGGGGAAGCCCGATTCGCTGAGCGACCCGACCCACCACGTGGCAAGGGAAGAAGGGGGCCAAAGTCGCTTCACCCGGGCCTCGGTGTCAGAGCTGAAATGCGGCGGTCGTAAAGCCGAGGACAGCCTGTCCTTCGTTCCGTTTGCGGCCAGTTTGGGCCCTGCTGTTCCTGGGCAAAGAGCCTCTTGCTGTTCAACCAGTGGAGAGCGAGCCGGCATCCCCACCCTCCACTCCGCCACCTGCCGTTCCGGAAGTCGGTGCCAGCCGCACCCGGCGACCCCGTAGCCAAAGGGCTTTCCGAGTACCGGGGGGGGGGGGGATTCCTAGAAAGGCATTCCCCTCTGACGTGCGTTGTGTGTCTGTGTCTGTTTGTGTGCAACCAGAGAGGCCTTGCGCAACCGACAGCTGTTTTTCCCTCCCCTTTCTCCCCCCAGGATCCAGGCCAGCCACGGGGTCATCTTCCTGCTGGTGATGGCTGCCACGTTCTGGCTGTACCGACTCGTCAAGGTGTTCTTCAGCCTGATGGGTTACTGGGAGATCCGCTCCTTTTACACCAAGGCGCTCAAGATCCCCTCGGTAAGTGCACGGGGGTGGGGTGGGGTGGGAGGTGGGGTCCCGCCTGCATCGCCCCCCCCCCCCCGTAGGTGGGCCGTATGGTGCAGCCGGGATTTGGAGGTATCCTTTCGAGGCCTTGCGATTGAGGGCGTTCACTGGTATGGGGTCTCCTGCACGGGCGGGGTGGGGGGGTGGACTAGATGACCTCCAGGGTCCCTTCCAGCCCTTTGATGAGGTAAGGGTCTCCAGCTCGAGCAGGGGGGTTGGGCTGGATGACCTCCAGGGTCCCTTCCAACTCTGCTATCCTGTAAGGTTCTCCTGCTCAAGCAGGGGGTTGGGCTGGATGACCTCCAGGGTCCCTTCCAGCTCTTTGAATCCGTAAGGGTCTCCTGCTCGGGCAGGAGGTTGGACTAGATGACCTCCAGGGTCCCTTCCAGCTCTTTGATTCCGTAAGAGTCTCCTGCTAGAGCAGGGGGTTGGGCTGGATGACCTCCAGGGTCCCTTCCAACTGTGCTATCCTGTAACGGTCTCCTGCTCGAGCAGGGGGTTGGGCTGGATGACCTCCAGGGTCCCTTCCAACTCTTTGATTCCGTAAGGGTCTCCTGCTCAAGCAGGGGGTTGGACTAGATGAACTCCATGATCCCTTCGAGCTTGTTGATTCCGTAAGAGTCTCCTGCTTGAGCATAGGGTTGGACTAGATGACCTCCAGGGTCCCTTCCAACTTTGGTATTCTGTAAGGGTCTCCTGCTCGGGCAGGGGTTTGGACTAGATAACCTCCAGGGTCCCTTCCAGCCCTTCGATGCCGCAAGGGTCTCCTGCTCGAGCGGGGGGCTGGACTGGATGACCTCCAGGGTCCCTTCCAACTCTGCTATCCTGTAAGGTTGTCCTGCTCGAGCAGGGGGTTGGGCTGGATGACCTCCAGGGTCCCTTCCAGCTCTTTGGTTCCGTAAGGGTCTCCTGCTAGAGCAGGGCGTTGGACTAGATGACCTCCAGGGTCCCTTCCAACTTCGCTATTCTGTAAGCTTCTCCTGCTCGGGCAGGGGGTTGGACTAGATAACCTCCAGAGTCCCTTCCAACTCTTTGATTCTGTAAGGGTTTCGTCTTTGAGCACGGGGTTGGACTGGATGACCTCCAGGGTCTCTTCCAACTCTTGTCATTCTGTGATTCTGTGATCTGACTCCAGACATTTGGCAACTGACTCGCCTTTACGACGGTCAGGGTGTCCTGGGGTCACACGATCCCTTTTTGTGATTCTGTCAGCCTGGAAGGATCTCCTGCTCAAGCAGGGGGTTGATCTAGAGGACCTCAGGGGTGCCTTCTAATTCTGTGATTCTGGAAGGGTCTCCGGCTTGTGCAGCGGGTTGGTCTAGAGGACCTCCAGAGTCCCCTCCAACTCTATGATTCTGTGATTCTGGAAGAGTCTTCTCGGGGATCATCTAGTCCAGCCCCCTGCTCGAGCAGGAGACCCTTCCAGAATCATAGAATATCAGAGTAGGAAGGGACCTCGGGGGTCATCTAGTCCAGCCCCCTGCTCGAGCAGGAGACCTTTCCAGAATCGTAGGATATCAGAGATGGAAGGGACCTCAGAGGTCATCTAGTCCATCCCCCTGATCGAGCAGGAGACCCTTCCAGAATCGTAGGATATCAGAGTAGGAAGGGACCTCGGGGGTCATCTAGTCCAACCCCCTACTCAAGCAGGAGACACTTGCAGAATCATAGAAGGACAGAGGTGGAAGGAACCGTGGAGGTCATCTAGTCTAGCCCCCCTTACACAATCATAGGATAACAGAGTTGAAAGGGAACTCAGAGGTCATCTAGTTCAACCCCCTGCTCGAGCAGGAGACCCTTCCAGAATCACAGAATGACAAAGTAATAGTAATAGTAGTAAAGTAGGAAGGGACCTTGGGGGTCATGTAGTCCAGCCCTCTGTTCGAGCAGGAGACGCTTCCAGAATCATAGAATATCAGAGATGGAAGGGACCTCGGGGGTCATCTAGTCCAGCACCCTGCTCGAGCAGGAGGACCATTTCAGATCTTCTTTAAAAAACCTCCCGTGATAAAGCCGTCACCCCTTCGGGTGGCCAGCAGTCCCCCTGGCTAATCGCCCTCGCAGTTCGGACGGACCTTTCTTCTCCGTCCCGGCTTGCTCCTCTCCGTCGTTCCTCGCCCACCCCCCGCCTCTTTTTTGGCGAAACCCGCCTCCGGTGCCAGAACGCCGCTCCCGCCTTGCCCCCTCCCTAGTCCTCCTTTTCCGCCAAGCCGTGGTTGGATGTCAGTTCGGACGGGCGCCTGTCTCTCCTCTCCCCTCGGCAGGCGCAGCTGTGCAACTGCAGCTGGCGGGAGGTGCAGGCCCGGCTGATCGCTCTGCAGCGGGAGCAGCGCCTGTGCGTGCACCGTCGGGAGCTGACCGAGCTGGACATCCACCACCGCATCCTCCGCTTCAAGAACTACCTGGTGGCCATGGTCAACAAGTCGCTGCTCCCCGTCCGCTTCCGGCTGCCCCTGTTCGGGCGCGGCGTCTTCCTGACCCGGGGGCTGAAGTACAACCTGGAGCTGCTCCTCTTCTGGGGGCCGGGCTCCCTCTTCCAGGGCAAGTGGAGCCTCCAGCCCCAGTACAAGCGAGCCGGGGCCCGGCTGGAGCTGGCCCGCCGGCTGGCCCGGAGCCTGCTGCTCCTCGGAGTCGCCAATTTGTTGCTCTGCCCCTTCATCCTGGTCTGGCAGGGCCTGTACGCCTTCTTCAGCTACGCCGAGGCCCTCAAGCGGGAGCCCGGCAGCCTGGGCGCGCGGCGCTGGTCGCTCTACGGCCGCCTCTACCTGCGCCACTTCAACGAGCTGGACCACGAGCTGCAGGCCCGGCTCAGCCGAGGCTACAAGCCGGCCGCCAAGTACCTCAACTCCTTCGCCAACCCGCTGCTGGCCGTCGCGGCGGGCAACGCCGCCTTCTTCGCCGGCTCCCTGCTGGCCGTCCTCATCGCCCTGACCGTCTACGACGAGGACGTGCTGGCCGTCCAGCACATCCTGACCGCCGTCACCCTGCTGGGGCTGGTGGTCACCCTGGCCAGGTGGGCGGGGCAGGGGGGGCGGAGTCTTCGGCAGACTTCACAAGGGGGGGAGGAGTCTGCTGCCCGGTTTGGGGAAGGGGTGGGGCCTTGGCTCAGGGATGGGGTGAAAGGTGAGCGGGAGGGGTTGGGTCTGGGGCTCCCTTCCTTTCTTTCCTTCCTTCCTTCCTTCCTTTTCTATCTCGTTTCTTCCTCCCTCCTTTTTTCCTTCATCTCCTTTCTTCTCTCCTTCCGTTCTTCATTGCCTGCCTCCCTTCCTTCCTTTCTTCCTTCCCTTCCTTCCTTCCTTCCTTCTTTCCTAACTCGTTTCTTCTTCCGTCCCTCCTTTTTTCCTTCATCTCCGTCTTTCCCTTCTTCTCTCCTTCCCTTCTTCATTGCCTGCCTCCCTTCCTTTCTTCCTTCCCTTCCTTTCTGCCTGCCTCTATCACTATCTCTCTTCCTTCCATCTCCTTTCTTTTCTCGTTTCTTTCCTCTGCTTCCTTTCTTCCTTCCTTCTCTCCTCCCTCCCTTTCTCCTTCCTCCCTTCCTCACTCAATCCCTATTTTCCTTCCTTCTTTCCTTTCTCCTTCCTTCCTTCCTCCCTCCCTCCTTTCCTTCCTGTATTTCCTTCCTTCCATTCTTCCTGTCTCCTTAACTTCCTCCCTTCTTCCCTCTCTCCTTTTTTTCCTCCCTCCCTCCTTTTTTCCTTCCTTCCTTCCCTCCCTCCCTGTCTCCTTCTTTCCTTCCTCCGTTCCTATCTCCTTCCTTCCTTCCTTGCCGGCCTGCCTTCCTCCTTCCTTCATCCCCTTCCTGTCTCCCTCCCTCCGTCTCTTCCTTCATTCAATCTCCTTTTCTTCCTTCTTCCCTCCCTCCCTCCCTTTCTTCCTTCCTATCTCCTTCCTCCCTCCCTCCTTTCCTTCTTGTATTTCCTTCCTTCCATTCTTCCTGTCTCTTTTCTTCCTCCCGTCCTCCTTTTTCCCTTCCTCAGTCCCTCCGTATCTCCCGCCCATCCATCCCCTTCCTTCCTTCGTCCCGCCAAACGGCGCCTTCTCTGGGGCGCATCTTGAATCCCCAGCTACGGTTTGCTTTTCTCCCCAACTTGGAGGCTTTCCATATCTCACCTCGGGAGGGGGGCACCCAGAGGTGGACGGGAGAACAGGGGGGGGCCCCGTGGGAGGGAGGGAGGAAGGACAACCCCCCTGCCTTCCCACCCCCCAAAAAAACACACCTGGGAAAAAGTCCCGGCCCTTCCACCGAGGATCTCGCAACGGGACGCCCAGGCACACCAAGCCGTGCAGCTCTTCTCCGCTGGTCGAATTTTGGAGCCCGGGACGCCCAGGCACACCAAGCTGTGCAGCTCTTCTCCGCTGGTCGAATTTTGGAGCCCGGGACGCCCAGGCACACCAAGCTGTGCAGCTCTTCTCCGCTGGTCGAATTTTGGAGCCCGGGACGCCCAGGCACACCAAGCTGTGCAGCTCTTCTCCGCTGGTCGAATTTTGGAGCCCGTCGGGTTGACGCTTCTCCTCTTTCTTGTCTCTCCCTCCCCCCCCCCCCCCGCTCTTCCCGGCCATCCCACTCCCTCACCCTTCACCCCCGCAGGGCCTTCATCCCGGACGAGCACCTGGTGTGGTGTCCGGAGCAGCTCCTGCAGTGTGTCTTGGCCCACATCCACTACATCCCCGACCACTGGCAAGGCAACGCGCACAAGGCGGAGACCCGGGAGGAGCTGGGCCAGCTCTTCCAGTACAAGGCGGTGAGCGGGCTGGTGGGGGTGGGAGGAGGAGGAGGAAGCACCATCGGCCACCACCACCAGCCCCTTCCTCCCCTGCTTATTTCGGCCTCCGTCCTTGCACCCTCCACCCCCCCCCTTGCAGGTCTTCATCCTGGAGGAGCTGCTGAGTCCCATCGTGACCCCCTTCCTGCTCATCTTCCCTCTGAGGGCCAAGGCCCTGGAGATCGTCGACTTTTTCCGCAACTTCTCGGTGGAGGTGGTGGGCGTGGGGGACATCTGCTCCTTCGCCCAGCTGGACATCCGCAACCACGGCAACCCTCAGGTGAGGGGGAGAGGGAGGGAGGGGAGGGGGGCGGTCTTTGCAGCTGGGGAGAGGTGAGGTGGGGTCTCCCGAGGGTCATTTGCACCCTATTTTCTTGGCAAGCTGGACAAAGGGGGGGACGATGGAGAAGCCTCGCCGCCGGATGGATTTGGGAGCTGCTTCATCCCGGGAAGAGACGCCTGCCCTGTCCATCTGTCAGACACGGCGTAGGGTCTCCCGCTTGGGCAGGGGGAGGCGGGCTGGACTAGATGACCTCCGAGGTCCCTTCCACCCATTCTTCTAGGATTCTGCGAGAGTTTGTTGCTTCAGCGGGGGAGGGGGAGTTGGGCTGGACTAGAAGATCTCCAAGGTCCCTTCTGATTCTGTGATTCTATCAGGGTCTCCTGCTTGAGCAGGGGGTTGGACTAGATGACCTCCGGGGTCCCTCCCAACTCTGATTCTGGAAGGGTCTCCTGCTCGAGCAAGGGGTTGGACTAGATGACCTCTGGGGTCCCTTCCAACTGTTCTGTCATTCTGGAAGGGTCTCCTGCTCGAGCAGAGGGCTGGACTAGATGACCTCCAAGATCCCTTTCAGCTGTTCTGTGGTTCTGTAAGAGTTTGTTGCTTCAGCAGGCGGGTTGGACTAGAAGATCTCTGAGGTGCCTTCCAATTCTGTGATTCTGTAAGGGTCTCCTGCTCGAGCAGGGGGTTGGACTAGATGACCTCCAAGGTTCCTTCCAGCTCAGTTACTCTGTGATTCTGGAAGGGTCTCCTGCTCGAGCAGGGGGTTGGACTAGATGACCTCTGAGGTCCCTTCCAACTCTTGTCATTCTGTGATTCTGCGGGCCTGAGCAGGGGACTGGACTAGATGACCTCTGAGGCCCCTTCCAGCTCAATTATTCTGTGATTCTGGAAGGCTCTCCTGCTTGAGCAGGCGGTTGGACAAGATGACCTCCAAGATCCCTTTCAGGTGTTCTGTGATTCTGTAAGAGTTTGTTGCTTCACCAGGCGGGTTGGACTAGAAGATCTCTGAGGTCCCTTCCAATTCTGTGATTCTGTAAGGGTCTCCTGCTCGAGCAGGGGGTTGGACTAGATGACCTCCAAGGTTCCTTCCGACTCAATCACTCTGAGATTCTGGAAGGGTCGAGCAGGGGGTTGGACTAGATGACCTCCGAGGTCCCTTCCAACTCTTGTCATTCCGTGATTCTGTAAGGGTCTGCGGGCTTGAGCAGGGGGCTGGACTAGGTGACCTCCGAGGTCCCTTCCACATTCCCTTCTCTTCTGTCCCCCCCAGTGGCTGTCGCAGGGCCGGACTGAGGCCTCCGTCTACCAGCAGGCCGAGAACGGCAAGACGGAGCTCTCGCTGGTCCACTTCGCCATCGCCAACCCGCACTGGCATCCGCCGCCCGAAAGCTCCCTCTTCATCGGGCACCTGAAGGAGCGGGTGCACCAGGACGCCTCCCAGGCCCAGCGCCTGCTGGCCGAGGGGCCCTTGGCGGCCTCCCTGCTCTCCGACGAGGGGCCTGGCCCCATGGTCAGTTTTGGCGGCTGGGGGCGGGGGGGTGAGGGCTGACGGGGTGAGGGTTGGGTGGCTGAGGCTGCGGGAGTGAAGGGTGAGGGCCGAGGGATGTGGGGGTGAAGGGTGCGGGGGCTCAGGGCTGGGCAGATGAGGGCTGGGGGGAAGGGTGAGGGGCGAGCGTTGAGGGAGGTGGGTGTGAGGGCTGGGGGGTGAGCTGGGCGGATGAGGGATGAGGGGGTGAGGGCTGGGGGTAAGGGCTGAGGGGCAGTGTGAGGGGGCAAGGGCTGAGGGGCTGAGGGCTAAGGGGAAGTGTGAGGGGGGTGAGGGCTGCAGGGGTGAGGGTTGGATGGCTGAGGCTGCGGGGGTGAGGGCTGAGGGATGTGGGGGTGAAGGGTGAGCGGAGTGAGGGCTGGGGGGTGAGCTGGGCGGATGAGGGCTGAGGGGGTAAGGACCAGGGGTAAGGGCTGAGGAGAAGTGTGAGAGAGTGAGGGCTGAGGGGGTGAGGACTGGGAGTGAGGGCTGAGGGGAGGTATGAGGGGGTGAGGCCTGAGGGGCTGTCGGGGGGGGGGTGAGACTGCAGGGGTGGGGGCTGAGGGGAAGTGTGAAGGGGTGTTGTGGGGGTGAGGGTTGGATGGCTAAGGCTGCAGGGGTGAGGGCTGAGGGAGGTGGGGGTGAAGGGTGAGCAGAGTGAGGGCTGAGGGGGTGAGGACCAGGGGTAAGGGCTGAGGGGAAGTGTGAGAGAGTGAGGGCTGAGGGGGTGAGGACTGGGGGTGAGGGCTGAGGGGAGGTATGAGGGGGTGAGGTCTGGAAGGTGGGGCTGAGGGGAAGTGTGAAGGGGTGCCGCGGGGGTGAGGGTTGGATGGCTGCGGGGGTGAGGGCTGAGGGATGGAGTGAATGGAGAGCAGAGCCAGCGCTGAGGGATGTGGGAGTGAGGGCTGGGGGGGGGTGAGCTGGGCAGATGAGGGCTGAGGAGGTGAAGGTGGATGGCTGAGGGGAAGGGTGAGGAGGGTGAGGGCTGCGGGGGTGAGGGCTGGAGGGCTCTGGGGGTGAGGACAGGGTAACGGCTGAGGGGAAGTGTGAGGGGAATGAGGGCTGAGGGGCTGAGGGATGTCGGGGTGAGCGCTGAGGGGGGGTAAGGGCTGGGGACTTGAGGCTGCTGGCTGAGTTCCTTTCCTCTGCAGCCGGATGCCCTCCTGGCCAGCGTCCTGGCCCACCCGGTCCTCGCAGAGCGTCGGCTGCTCACTCAGCCCGGCAGCACAGCCAGCATCCTGGCCTCCCTCTCCTCTTCCCAGCCGCCCCGGCACAGGAGCCATCCCGGGCAGACCCCCGTCTCTGATAGCCAGAGCCCGCTTCTGGAGGAGAGGTACTCCACGGGAGTCTTCCGGGTGGGAGTCCCCACATTGGGGGGGGAGTGGTGTCAGCTCCTTCCCTGGGGGGGGGGGAGGGAAGGAGGTGCTCAGCCCTCCCATTTCTGTGCTGGGTGGGGGTCTGACTGGTTTTACCCTGTCGCCCACAGCACCGCTGCTCCCTCGCGCCCGGCTCCTCTCAGCCGCTCGGTTTTGCTCTCCGAGTTGGCGTTGGCCGAGATGAGTTTGCACGCCCTCTACATGCACGAGGTGAGAGGCCAGGGAGAGGACACTTGGGGGCCAATCAGAAGCCCCCACACACACATAACCCATCTTTAACCACCCTCCCTTCTTTCTACTCGCCCACCCCAGCTTCACCAGCAACAAACGTCCGCCCGCTTTGCGCCGCAGCCTTCGGCACAACCAGGTCAGGACTGTACCACTCGCGGCCCCTCCCGTGCCTCAAAGGGATGGGTGAGCAGAGAGTGGGAGGGCGCCCCACTGCGTACCTTCCCTTCCCCTCTGCTCTCCCCTCCCAAGGACCGAATCCCTCCGCATTCACTATCAGGGCAGGGGGTACCCCTTATACCCAGCTGGGTCTGCGATGCACGTTTTGTGTCGGTTGCCCAGAACCCCCCTCTTTGCAGGGCCACACAGGTGGTGGGAGGGCTCTGTGCAAGTTTTGTGCCCTGTTTCTTGGTACAGCGTCCCCCCGGCGTCCCTTCGATACGCACGGCCAGGACTGTTCGCTAGAAGTTTGCGAAGAGGAATCGGACGAGACGCAACAGCCGCAGCACGAGAAGAGCTAGCAGGAGCCGGCCGTGTTTTTGTCCTTCCTTCCTCCGTGTAGGTGTCTCCTCCATCCTTACTCTGGGGTGGGATACGCAGCCTCCCGCTCACCTCTCCCTTTCCGTTGGCAGCCCAGGTTCCTGTCCCGTGCTGGGTCCCCCCCCCCCGGGAGAGTGGCCAATAAGCGTGAAGCAGGGGTCTCCAATCCCTGGGCCACGGTGCGGTACCGGTCCACAAAAGAGGCGGGCGAGCACCCCGTGCATTTTCCTTGTTGACGTTGCTCCTCAGACGTTCGCAAAAGGGCATCGCGGCACCCCGGGACACTGCGACTGTCGTAAATACAAGTCATTTGCCAAGCATCCCTATTTGGGTCACGTGACCGTAGGGAATGCTGCAATAAACAGTCACTCCACGAACGGATGTAAGTCGACCGTTCGAACGGTCCCTCGGCGAACGGATGTAAGTCGGGCACCGTTCGAACGGTCCCTCCGCGAACAGATATAAATCGACTGTTCGGATGGACCCTCCACAAACGGATGTAAGTCGAAGACTGTTCGAACGCTCCCTCCACGAACGGATGTAAGTCGAGGACTGTTCGGACGGTTCCTCAATGAACGGATGTTAAGTTGAGGACTGTTCGGACGGTCTCTCCATGAATGGATGTAAGTCGAGGACTGTTCTGACAGTCCCTCCACGAACGGATGTAAGTTGAGGATTGTTCGGACGGTCCCTCCATGAACGGATGTAAGTTGAGGATTGTTCAGACGGTCCGTCGAGGACCGTTCAAACGGTCCCTCGGCGAACGGATGTAAGTCGAGGACCGTTCAGATGGTCCCTTCGCGAACAGATGTAAATCGACTGTTTGGACGGTCCCTCCACAAACGGATGTAAGTCGAAGATTGTTTGAACGCTCCCTCCACGAACGGATGTAAGTCGAGGACTGTTCGGACGGTCCCTCCACGAATGGATGTAAGTCGAGGACTGTTCGAACGGTCCCTCCACGAATCGATGTAAGTCGAGGACCGTTTGAATGCTTCCTCCACGAACGGATGTAAGTCGAGGACCGTTTGAACACTCCCTTGACGAACGGATGTAAGTCGAGGACTGTTCAAACGGTCCCTTGACGAACGGATGTAAGTTGACGACTGTTCAAATGTCATAACTGTGAGCCACTTGCCAAGCGTCTGAATTCTGATCACATGACCACGGGGACGCTGCAAAGGGCCTAAGCGTGGGAAAAGGGTCACAAGTGACTTGTTTTGGGGCCATCGTAACTTTGAACGGTCACCAAATGAACGGCTGTAAGCCAAGGACTCCCGCTCGTCCTCCCGCAAAGCTCCCATTTGGGCACGCGTGGGATTAGGTTGCGTGTGGGACGAGGAAGAAGCTCTTTTCTGCTACACACACACACAGACACACACCTTGATCAAGTCCTTCCTTTCGCCCTGCAGGTTTCTGGAGGATTGGCACAGCCATGGACGGCTTTCCCGGACGATCCCCCGGTGGACAGAACATGCCTGGAAGTGGGGCCGCCGGGCATCTCCTCCACTCCGAGGCAGGAGTGACTGACGGCTGCCCCTCCTTCGCCGTGGATTTGCCTGCGACGAGTGGCCTTGTCCGCGAGGCTTCCCGGACCCTCCTTTTGGGGGGGGAGTGTGCGCTTCTTGGGGGGTGAATAAGCTTTGGGGCTGGTTCAGGCCCCACACGGTGCTATTTGTATTTTGGGGGGGGGGTCTCTCTGGGGTCAAGAGAGAAGGGGGTGGGCGACGTCGGACTAGGAGACCTCCGAGGTCCCTTCCAGCTCTGCGATTCTAGGATTCTGTCAGGGTCTCCTGCTCGAGCAGGGGGCTGGACTAGAAGACCTCCCAGGTCCCGTCCAACCCTGTCACTCAAGGATTCGGGAAGGCTCTGCTCTCGCCCTGTGCTTCTTCCCCCCTTCCCTGCCCCCCCCCATTTCCCCTCCCCTCCAGCACGCATGCTGTCGCGGTTGCATCGCAGGAGACTTTGTTAGGGACAATAAATGTTTACAGCAACGAGAAGCAAAGCGCCCCCTTTTTGTCGGGGTGGGGTGGGAGGATGCGGTGGGTCCCCGGAGGCCAAAGGCGGCAGGCAATCTGCTAAGCAAGGGAAGTGGGCTGCCACCTTCAGCTGGTAGGGAAGTGATGGCCGCCGACTCGGGCTCGACGGTGCCAGTATGGGGTGGGGGAGTTTTGATTGGCACAGATTGGACGCCAGGACTGCTGAGTGGACTTGGGGAGGGTCTGTATCCCCTCCCCATCTTGCAAAGAGGATAAGCGGTGTTCCCCCCCTCCAATCCCGAAAAGGAAGGGTCCGTCCCCCTTGAAGCCGCGAGGATCCTTGCTTTCTGCTAGGGCTCTGCGCACCATGCAGCGGCACCTATCCTCTCGCAAGTCCCTCATCAATCCGGGTGGGCACGATCGTCCGCCCAACCTCGCTTTTCCCGGTTTGTTTCCCGGGGGGTTAACTCGTGTAAAACAGTGGGAAACAGACCCGGGTAACGGGCCGAGGCAGTCCTCGAATTACGACCGCAATGGAGCCCCCAATGTATGTCGCTCAGTGAAAAACAAGCGAGCTTTGCCCCCGTTTTACGACTTTTCCTGCCACTGTTGGTCAGGGATTCGCCGCAGTTAAGTTAGTTCACACGGTCGTTAAGTGGATTCGACTTCCCCCTGTTGACTTTGCTCGTCACACGGTCGCAAAAGGGGATCTGTCGACAGGCCACGGAGGTTATGATGACCTTAATACAGGCAGGTCCTCGACTTAACGACCGCAGTGGGGCCCCCAATTTCACTTGTGGAGACCGTTCTGACGCGGGTTTGACCCCGTTTAGGACTTTCCTTGCCAGGGTCGTTAAGTGAACTTTGCTGATTTTGCTCATCGGAGGGTCACCAAACGGGGTCGCGTGACCCCCGGGACGCCACAGCCATCTTTAACTACGAGTCAGTCGCCAAGCGTCTGAATTTTGATCCCGCGAGAATGGGATGCTGCAACGGTCGCGTCAAAAACGGTCACCAGTCACTTTTTTGCGGCCGTTGTACTGACTTTGAACGGTCACTAAGTGAACGGTTGTGAGTCGGCGACTCCCGGTTCTCCTCCGCTTACGATGGTAAGAGACCCTGCGCGTTGCGCTCTTAAAGCCGAGATGGTCGCCAAACAGCACCACGCGCCGGATGTTATGCTCTGTTTTGTGGCCATCAGTAAATGAGTCAGTTCGCTATGGGGCAGTCTGTCCCCCCCTAAAAACCACGGAAGTTGGAGCCACCATTTGGCAAAACCCTACAATGCAACCGAGAGACCGTGGGACGCTGCCGATAGCCATAAAGGCAGTCATGTAACCCCGGCAGTTCAGAACTGCCGCCGAAGGAAATCTGAGTTTTAAATTTGAACAGTCGCTAAACCAGTGGTTCTCAACCTTTTTAACGCCGCGAACCCCAACCGGTCGTAAGTCGAGGACTACTCAACTGGTGCAGCACCATTTGCAGACTGGGACTTTTGCAAGAGAGTCTATTCCAGTGGTTCTCAACCTGTGGGTAGGGACCCCATTTGGGGTCGAACGACCATTTCACAGGGGTTGAGTAGTCCTCGACTTACGACCGTTTGGAGGTCGCGGCATTAAAAAGGTTGAGAACCACTGGTCTCTTCTATTGGTTTCCAAAAGCCAATAGAATAAAAGGGAGGAGCACAGCTAAGGAAAAAGGGGGGGGAAATGGCGGACTGCATTGTTTGGCGACCCCCGTGAAATGGTCGTTCAACCCACAGGTTGAGAACCACTGCGCTAAACGATGCGGTCGTAAGCGGTGGGTGAAGTGGTGGCGACCCTTCCGGGGTGCCAAGGCTCCCCGTGGCTAAGGGGCGCCCCACGTGGGTAACGAAGTGACTGCCAACCTCTTCCCGGGGAAGCAGACCCCAACCGCCCATCCCACCCACCCCAGAAAGAACGGCTGCGAAGGCGGGGGGGCAGAAAAGGGCTTTAATGGGGGGTCCCCAAAAGAGGGGGGGGTCTTGAAGGCACTTGGGCCTCAGATCTCCGCCACGAGGCAGCTTTTCCGCCCGTACTTGGAGAAGGAGAGACTTCGGATGCGCGACGCCACTTCCTGTGTGCGGAAGGTCAGGCCGAAGATGTCCTCGTGGTAGCGGTTTTGGTCCTGCGGGAACCGAAGGACAAGAGACGCGGGTTGGGCCCTGAGAAAACAGGGACGCCCCCCCCCAAAAGAAGCCGAGGATGACCCACCGCCCCTCCCCGACCCGGCGTACCCGGAGTTCGCTGATGGCGTCGCCTGCCTCCACCAACGACATCCTCCCTTCCTGCGCCAAGATCTGCTGGATGGTCTGCAGGACCCCCGTGGCCATCGTGACGTCGCCGCAGACGTAGACGTGGCCCTCGAGCTGGCTCAGCACCTCGAAGACGTGGTCCGCCAGGTGCAGCCGCAACAGGTCCTGCACGTAGGTCTGGGACGCAACGGACAAGCAAGTGGGCGACGTGCCCACCGAGTCGCCCCGTTGGGGTGTAGACCCTCTCCCTGGCGCTGAAGGACACGTTTTGGGTGCCTTGCGGTGGCGTTCCGGCACCAGCAGAAGCTGCCCTGGGAGTATCTGGCCGAGAGCGGTCCCACTTGGCCTACCTTGGGGTAATCGGGGTCCCGCGAGAAGCCGGTGAGGACGCGACGTAGGGCCCCCGTCTCCTGCGCCTCTCGGATCTCCTCGCTGTAGATGTGGTCGTGGCGGGAACTACGGCAGCCAAACACGAGAGTCATGTCGCCGGGGGCCAGGCCTGGAAAGGACAACTGAGGACTTCAGCGAGGCGCTCGACAAAGGAGACCACGCTTACGAAACGGGTAAACCAGCGAAAGGCGTGGGCATACTAAGATAGCGGTAAGGCGTTCGACAAAGTAGGCCGCAAGCTACTACATTAGTAGGCCAGCAAAAGGCTGTGGCCGTACCGTGCTTAGGTTTCGGTAAGGCATTCAACAAAGTAGACCACAAGGTCCGTTCCAACTCTTGTCAGTCTGTGATTCTGTAAGGGTCTCCTGCTTCAGCAGGGGGTTGGACTAGATGACCTCCGAGGTCCCTTCCAACTCTGTTATCCTATTCTGTAAGGGTCTCCTGCAGGGGAAGGGGGTCAGACTAGATGACCTCCAAGGTCCCTTCCAACTCTGTTATCCCATTATTCTGTAAGGGTCTCCTGCTTCAGCAGGGGGTTGGACTAGATGACCTCCAAGATCCCTTCCAATGGTTATCCCATTATTCTGTAAGGGTCTCCTCCTTCAGCGGGAGTTGGACTAGATGACCTCCGAGGTCCCGTCCAACTCTGTTATCCCATTATTCTGTAAGGGTCTCCTCCTTCAGCGGGGGTTGGACTAGATGACCTCCGATGTCCCTTCCGACTCTTTTTATCCCATTATTCTGTAAGGGTCTCCTGCTTCAGCAGGGGGGTCGGACTAGATGACCTCCAAGATCCCTTCCGAGTCTGTTATCCCATTATTCTGTAAGAGTCTCCTGCTTCAGCAGGGGGTCGGACTAGATGACCTCCAAGGTCCCTTCCAACTCTTATTCTGTAATTCTCTAAGGGTCTCCTGCTGGAGCAGGGGGTCGGACTAGATGACCTCCAAGATCCCTTCCAACTGTTATCCCATTATTGTGTAAGGGTCTCCTGCTTCAGCGGGGGTTGGACTAGATGACCTCTAACCTCCTTTCCAGCCCTGTCATTGTATGATTCTGTAAGAGTCTCCTGCTGGAATAGAGGGTCGGACTAGATGACCTCTGAGGTCCCTTCCCACTTTTGTTATTCTAGGATTCTGTTAAGGGTCTCCTGCTGGAGCGGGGGGTGGTGGTGGTGGTCAGACTAGATGACCTCCGGGCTCCCTTCCGGCTCTATTCTGGACTGATTGATATCCAGCCCCACCCCTCCACCCCCACCCCGGGGCCGGAGCCCCTCCCCTCCCCTTGGACTCACCTTCGGTTTTCATCCGGTGTTGCCGTTGCTGCCAGAAACCCCGGAACGGGGCGATGCCGGTGCCAGGCCCCACCAGGATACAGGGGGCTGTGGGGTCCTCCGGGAGCTGGAAGTTTGGGGTGCTGTTAGGGCCAAGAAAAGCCAATTAATTTTGGGGGGACGGGGGGGGGAGATTCCCGGAGCTTATCATGGAGGTTTTGGCTAGGCTGGCGCCCCCCTGTTGGTGCCGTCTCTGCTTCCGTGCAGCAAAGACCGGCGTGGACCCCCCAAAGGTCAGCGGGTCTCCCCGGAAAGAGCCCCCCTCTTTTCTCCCCCCATTGCAGAAAGAGGTGGCATTTCCCCCCCTCAGGCTAAGGGGGGGGGTTGGGGCTGGCCAAGGACAACCAAACGTTCCCCAATTATTATTATTTTTTTGCAGTCTGCTTCCCTTTACGGTTTGGAGGGGGGTCTCCAAATTCTCCTCTTTAAAGGATGGTTGGGGGGGGTGTCAAAGAAACTTTGCTTGACCTCTTGGGCAGCAAAGGGACCACATAGCCCTTAAGGCACCGCCGGGCCAGGCGTCCCTTGACAAGATCCTAGACACAATCCGAAAAAGAGCCAGTGGCAAGATGGGGGGGGGTGAAGGCTGTTCCCCCCCCCCTTACAGGCAAGACAGATCAGTGCCCTATGGGAATCCCCAATCGGACATCTGGGATTGCAACCAGCAAGGGAGGGTTGTAAGTCTGTTATTCTATGACTGTAAGGATCTCCTGCTCGAGCAGGGGGCTGGACTAGATGACCTCCCGGGGTGCCTTCCAATTCTGTAAGGGTCTCCTGCTGCGGCAGGGGGCTGGACTAGATGACCTCTGAGGTACCTTCCAGCTCTTTCAAGCTATGATTCTCTAAATGTCTCCTACTCGAGCAGGGGGTTGGACTAGATGACCTCCCGGGGTCCCTTCCAATTCTGTAATTCTGCAAGGGTCTCCTGCTTCGGCAGGGGGTTGGACTAGATGACCTCCAGGGTACCTTCCAACTCTTTCAATCTATGATTCTCTAAAGGTCTCCTACTCGAGCAGGGGGCTGGACTAGATGACCTCGGAGATCCCTTCCAAGTCTGTGATCCTCTAATTCTGTAAAGATGTCCTGCTGGAGCAGGGGGTTGAACTACATGACCTCTCGGGGTCCCTTCCAGCCCTGTCATTCTATGATTCTGTAAGGGTCTCCTGCTTGAGCTGGGTGGTTGGACTAGATGACCTCTGAGGTCCCTTCCATCTCTGTCATTCTATGATTCTGTAAAGGTCTCCTGCTCGAGCTGGGCGGTTGAACTAGATGACCTCTGAGGATCTCCCAACTCTGTCATGCAATGATTCTATAAAGGTCTCCTGCTCTATCCCTAACCCTAACCTTTACAGAATCACAGTGTTGTAAGGGACCTTAGAGATGATCTAGTCCAACTCCTAGTCCAGTTTTAAGTCAAAACTAACTTAACAAATTTCTTACTTAGCAACGGATTTGTTGGGCCCAATTGCGGTCGTAAGTTGAGGACTACCTGTGTCTCGGAGAGGGGAGCAACTGCTTCAAAAACAGAGCCCCCCCCCAATTTTAGTGGAATCCCCCTCGAAAGATGTGCTCGAGAGAGAAAAGCAGGCCCCAGGACTCCGATACCCATCTGGAAGTTCCTTACCTTCGAACGAAAGCCGGCACCATCTCGCCCGGAGAGAGCTGGGACAGCCACGTGGAGCAGACGCCGTAGTGCATGGGGCCCTTCCCATCTAGGGGACAAAATGGAAACACCACCGTGAGCCCCACGGAGTTGCCTTCTACCCGCCAGCTCTCGCCGCAGCCAACTGAGCGCGGGAAAATTTAACCAATTTAATTTCTTAAAACAAATAAAAGATTATTTTAATGGTCATCGTTCACAATTCGTTTGGTCCCTCCTTTTGCATCCTTTCTTAAATGAGGTTGTGCCATCATTTTTTTTTTTTTTTTGATGTTAGCGTTAAATGTTCTCCCACAGCAAGTTATCTCAAAGGGAGTTGTCCGTAGTGAGTTGTCTTTCAGCCAATTCACCGCAGCGCATTCTCCCACAGCGCGTTCGCCCACAGCAAGTTTTCCACAGCAAGTTGTCCTGTAGTGAGTCATCCACAGTGACTTCTCCCGCAGCAAGTTGTCCCTCAGTGACTTCTCCCTCAGCGAGTTGTCCCTCAGTGACTTCTCCCTCAGCGAGTTGTCCCTCAGTGAGTTATCGCTCAGCGAGTTCTCCCATAGCGAGTTGTCCCACAGCGAGTTCTCCCTCAGTTGTCCCTCAGTGAGTTGTCCCTCAGCGAGTTCTCCCTCAGCGAGTTATCCCTCAGCCAATTCTCCCTCAGCGAGTTCTTCCTCAGTGAGTTCTCCCGTATTGAGTTCTCCCTCAGTGAGTTCCTCCTCAGTGAGTTATCCCACAGTGAGTTCTCCCGTAGCAAGTTGTCCCACAGCACGTTCTCCCACAGCACATTCACCCATAGCAAGTTTTCCACAGCAAGTTGTCCTGTAGTGAGTCATCCACAGTGACTTCTCCCGCAGCAAGTTGTCCCTCAGTGACTTCTCCCTCAGCGAGTTGTCCCTCAGTGACTTCTCCCTCAGCGAGTTGTCCCACAGTGAGTTATCGCTCAGCGAGTTCTCCCATAGCGAGTTGTCCCACAGCGAGTTCTCCCTCAGTTGTCCCTCAGTGAGTTGTCCCTCAGCGAGTTCTCCCTCAGCGAGTTATCCCTCAGCCAATTCTCCCTCAGCGAGTTCTTCCTCAGTGAGTTATCCCACAGTGAGTTATCCCACAGTGAGTTCTCCCGTAGCAAGTTGTCCCACAGCACGTTCTCCCACAGCACATTCACCCATAGCACATTCACCCATAGCAAGTTTTCCACAGCAAGTTGTCCTGTAGTGAGTCATCCACAGTGACTTCTCCCGAAGCAAGTTGTCCCTCAGTGACTTCTCCCTCAGCGAGTTGTCCCTCAGTGACTTCTCCCTCAGCGAGTTGTCCCTCAGTGAGTTATCGCTCAGCGAGTTCTCCCATAGCGAGTTGTCCCACAGCGAGTTCTCCCTCAGTTGTCCCTCTGAGTTGTCCCTCAGCGAGTTCTCCCTCAGCGAGTTATCCCTCAGCCAATTCTCCCTCAGCGAGTTCTTCCTCAGTGAGTTCTCCCGTATTGAGTTCTCCCTCAGCGAGTTCCTCCTCAGTGAGTTATCCCACAGTAAGTTCTCCCGTAGCAAGTTGTCCCACAGCACGTTCTCCCACAGCACATTCACCCATAGCAAGTTTCCACAGCAAGTTGTCCTGTAGTGAGTCGTCCACAGTGACTTCTCCCGCAGCAAGTTGTCCCTCAGCGACTTCTCCCTCAGCGAGTTGTCCCTCAGTGAGTTATCGCTCAGCAAGTTCTCCCATAGCGAGTTGTCCCACAGCGAGTTCTCCCTCAGTTGTCCCTCAGTGAGTTGTCCCTCAGCGAGTTCTCCCTCAGCAAGTTCCTCCTCAGTATGTTGTCCCTCAGCGAGTTCTCCCTCAGCGAGTTATCCCTCAGCAAGTTCCTCCTCAGTGAGTTATCCCGTAGCAAGTTGTCCCACAGCGCATTCTCCAAGAGCGCATTCGCCCATAGCACGTTTTCCACAACAAGTTGTCCTGTAGTGAGTCGTCCACAGTGACTTCTCCCGCAGCAAGTTGTCCCTCAGCGACTTCTCCCTCGGTAAGTTGTCCCTCAGTGAGTTTTCGCTCAGCGAGTTCTCCCATAGCGAGTTGTCCCACAGCGAGTTCTCCCTCAGTTGTCCCTCAGTGAGTTGTCCCTCAGCATGTTGTCCCTCAGCGAGCTCTCCCTCAGCGAGTTGTCCCACAGCGAGTTCTCCCTCAGTGAGTTGTTCCTCAGTGAGTTAACGCTCAGCGAGTTCTCCCATAGCGAGTTGTCCCACAGCGAGTTCTCCCTCATCGAGTTCTCCCTCAGCCGGTTCTCCCTCAGCGAGTTCCTCCTTAGTGAGTTCTCCCGTAGTGAGTTCTCCCTCAGCGAGTTCTCCCTCAGCGAGCTCTCCCTCAGTGAGTTATCTCTCAGCGGGTTCTCCTGTAGCAAGTTATCTCACAGCGAGTTCTCCCTCAGTGACTTATCCCTCAGCGAGTTATTCTGCAGCAAGTTATCCCACAGCAAATTATCCCACGGCGAGTTATCCCTCAGCCAGTTATCCCGCAGTGAGTAGTCCCACAGCGAGTTACCCATGGCAAGTTGCCCATGGCTAGATGGCCGTGGTGAGTTACTCGTGGCGAGTTGACCACGGTGAATTATAGCCCCACACAGCCTGGAGACACTGGCTGGCCTCTCTCCAAGGCACCCGGATCTCTTCCTGTCCACTCACCCTGACTGCGATAGTTGAGCACGGCTACGGTGAGGTGCAGCTCCCCCGGATGCGTGTCGGGCGCGGAGCTAACGGAGTACTGGCGGGCCTGTAGTAAGGGCAGCTGGGTGAGCAGCAGTGAAGTAGGCAGCGCCACCGAGGGGAACTCCTCCAACAGTTCGATCACCGTCGGGCACCGGAACCACTTCCACTCTTCGTAGAGCAGGGAGTCCTGGGGGCACAAGGACGGGCGCTCAGCATGGGGGCATAGTAGTACAAACAGGAAAAATGAAGGTCAGCTGACCCTGGGGTGGGCACTGGGGGGCTTTTGTAAGGGGTGTCCTTAAAAGGGAGCGTCGAGGGGGTTGGGATTCATTCACACAAAATACAGATACTCCTCGACATACGACAGTTCATTGCATGATCATTTGAGGTCGGACTAGATGACCTTCAAGATCCCTTCCAGCTCTGTCCTATGAAATTCTGGAAGGGTCTCCTGCTCGAGCAGGGGTTGGACTAGATGACCTCCAAGGTCCCTTCCCACTCTGTGATTTTGTGAAGGTCTCCTGCTTGTGCAGGAGTTGGACTAGATGACCTCCAAGGTCCCTTTCCACTCTGTGATTCTATGATTCTCTAAGGTTCTCCTGCTCGAGCAGAAGTTTAAACTGGATGACCTCTGAGGTCCCTTCCAATTCTGTTATGCAATCATTCTCAAGCAGAAAGTTCGACTAGATGACCTCCAAGGTCCCTTCCAACTCTGTTATTTTATAAGCATCTCCTGATGGAGCAGGAGGCTGGACTAGATGACTTCTAAGGTCCCTTCCAACTCTGTCATTCTGTAAGGATCGCCCGCCTGAGCAGGGGGGTAGACTAGATGACCTCTAGGATCCCTTCCCACTCTGTGGGAAGGTCCCCTCCAACTCTATGATTTTGTAATTCTGTAAGGATCTCCTGCTTGAGCAGAGGGTTAGACTAGATGACCTCCGAGATCTCTTCTATGATTCTCCAAGGCTCTCTTGCGTGAGTACTCCCACTCTGTCATTCTGTAAGGGTCTCCCGCCTTAGCAGGGGGGCTGGACTGGATGACCTCTAGGATCCCTTCTCACTCTGCCATTTGGTAAGGGTCTCCCGCCTGAGCAGGGGGTTGGACTGGATGACCTCTAAGATCCCTTCCCACTCTTGTCATTCGGTAAGGGTCTCCCGCCTGAGCACGGGGGCTGGACTAGATGACCTCTAGGATCCCTTCCCACTCTGCCATTCTGTAAGGATCGCCCGCCTGAGCAGGGGGCTGGACCGGATGACCTCTAGGATCCCTTCCCACTCTTATCATTCAGTAAGGATCGCTCGCCTGAGCACGGGGGTTGGACTGGATGACCTCTAGGATCCCTTCCCACTCTTGTCATTCGGTAAGGATCGCTCGCCTGAGCACGGGGGCTGGACTAGATGACCTCTAGGATCCCTTCCCACTCTGTCATTCGGTAAGGGTCTCCCGCCTGAGCAGGGGGGCTGGACCGGATGACCTCCCGGGTCCCCTCCACCTCTTTTCTTCTGCAAGGCTCTCCAGCTCGAGCAGGGGGTCCGACTAGATGACCTCTGGGTTCCCTTCCCGCTCACCGATCCTCGATTCGGACGCCCCCCCCCCCCCGCTCTTACCTGGCTGAGCCGCTGCAGCTTCTCCCGCTCCGTCCGGTCCTCGGCCAGGCCGGCCAACAGCTGGAGCATCTGGGGGCTGGGCGCCGTGGTGATATCCAGGAAGTAGGTCAGCGCCTGGCGCAGGGTGCAGGGGGGCAGCCGGGGGCTGGGCACCCACATCCGCTTCACCCCTGCGACAGACGGAACGGGCAAGAGCGTCAACGCCTCCTGCCCCAAACCGGTCCAGGCCCTCCTCGACTTAAACGACGGTTTCGTTTAGTGACCGTTCGGACTTACGACCCCAGTGGGGGGAAAAAAGTGACCGATCCAGGCCGTTCTTCACGCTGAACGACCATCGCGACGTCCCCAGGGTCAGGAGCCAGGCCTCCTCTGGGCCTTTGCCCACCTCCCGAAACGGCGTCGTTGGCAGCGGGTTGGACTAGATGACCTCCGAGGTCCCTTCCAACTCTGACATTCTATGATTCTCCAACGCTCTGTGGCGTGAGTACAGAGTTGGACTAGATGACCTCCAGGGTCCCTTCCCACTCTGTCATTCTGTAAGGATCGCCCGCCTGAGCCGGAGGGCTGGACTAGATGACCTCTAGGATCCCTTCCCACTCTTGTCATTCGGTAAGGGTCTCCTGCCTGAGCAGGGGGCTGGACCAGATGACCTCTAGGATCCCTTCCCACTCTGTCATTCTGTAAGGATCGCCCGCCTGAGCAGGGGGCTGGACTAGATGACCTCTAGGATCCCTTCCCACTCTGTCATTCTATAAGGGTCTCCCTCCTGAACAGGGGGCTGGACTAGATGACCTCTAGGATCCCTTCCCACTCTGTCATTCTATAAGGGTCTCCCGCCTGAGCAGGGGGCTGGACTAGATGACCTCTAGGATCCCTTCCCACTCTGTCATTCTGTAAAGGTCACATCCGCTTCACCCCTGCGAGAGACGGAACGGGCGAGAGCGTCAACGCCTCCTGCCCCTAACCGGTCCAGGCCCTCCTCGACTTAAACGACGGTTTCGTTTAGTGACCGTTTGGACTTACGACCCCAGTGGGGGGGGGAAAAGTGACCGATCCAGGCCATTCTTCACGCTGAACGACCGGCGCAACGTCCCCAGGGTCATCAGGGCCACGTGGGAGCCAGGCCACCTCCCGAAACGGCGGCGGCGGCAGCGGGTTGGACTAGATGACCTCCGAGGTCCCATCCAACTTTATTATTGTTGTTGCTATTTTGGGGGGAGGGCGGGGGGCTCGGCTCTCCCCCACCCCTCCACCCTCCCCGGCTCTCACCCTCGGTGCCTGCCTCCAGGGTCTCCACGGCGACGGGCTCCTCGGCCGGCGGGGGGTCCTGGACCAGGCGCATCAGCGCCTCCACCAGCGGCGCCCGGTTGGCCGGGAAGATGCTGACGTGGTCACCCGGCTGGTAGCGCAGCTCCGCTTGGTCTCCCGTCTGCAGGCGCACCAGGAGGGTGGAGCGGCTGGGGGCGGAGCATGGTGGGGAAGACCGTCAGTGACAGTGGAGCCCCCCCCAGGACCCCCGCAGAGGCTGTGGAGGACCCCCCTCCCCACATTCCCATCTGAATCCATGGCCTCGGCTCCCTGGCATGGGGCCTCCGGGAGAAATGGCGTCGGGTGGTTAGGGTGGGACTAGATGACCCGCGAGGTCCCTTCCAGCTCTGTTGTTCTGTTCTATTCTATTCTATTCTATTCTACTCTATTCTATTCTATTAACTCTTTTTATTCTATTATTCTATTAGTATTATTCTATTCTATTCTATTCATTATTTTTATTTTATTATTCTATTAGTATTAGTATTATTCTATTCTATTATTTTTATTCTATTCTATTATTCTATTCTCCTCTATTCCATTCTATACTATTCTTATTATTAATTATGAATCTTAATCATGAATTACTTTTATCCTATTATTATTATTATTATATTCTATTATTCTCTTATTCTGCTTTATTATTATTCTATTCTATTAATTATTTTCATTCTAATATTCTATTAGTATTATGCTAGCCTATTATATTTTTACTCTATTCTATTCTATTATTATTATTATATTGTATTCTATATTCTATTCTATTATTCTCTTCTCTTATTCTGCTTTATTATTCTATTCTATTCTATTAATTATTTTTATTCTATTATTCTATTAGTATTATTCTATTCTATTCTATTATTTTTATTTTATTATTCTATTAGTATTAGTATTATTCTGTTCTATTATTATTTTATTCTATTCTATTATTCTATTCTACTCTATTCCATTCTATACTATTCTTGTTATTAATTATGAATCTTAATCATGAATTACTTTTATCCTATTATTATTATTATTATTGTTCTATTCTATTCTATTCTATTCTATTCTATTCTGTTCTATTCTATTCTATTCTATTCTATTCTTCTCTTATTCTGCTTTATTATTATTCTATTCTATTAATTATTTTCATTCTATTATTCTATTAGTATTACGCTAGTCTATTAATATTTTTATTGTATTCTATACTATTCTTATTATTAATTATTAATCATGAATTACTTTTATCCTAGTATTATTATTATTATTATTATTATTATTGTTGTATTCTATAATCTATTCTATTATTCTCTTCTCTTATTCTGCTATATTATTCTATTCTATGCTATTCTATTAATTATTTTTATTCTATTATTCTATTAGTGGTACGCTATTCTATTATTATTTTTACTCTATTCTATTCTATTCTTCTCTATTCTATTCTATACTATTCTTATTCTTAATTCTTAATCATTAATTACTTTTATCCTATTATTATTATTATTATTCTATTCTTTATTATTTTTATTTTTATTCTATTCTATTATTCTATTCTGTTCTATTCTATTCTATTATTTATTATTAATTATTTTATTCTATTCTTATTCCATTCTATTCTTATTATTTTTATTCTATTCTATTATTCTATTCTATTCTCATTATGGATTATTAATCATTAATTATTTTTATCCTATTATCATCCTATTATTATTATTCTATTCTCTTTCTATATTATTATTCTATTATTATTGTTATTCTAGTCTTATTTTTTATTCATTATTATTATTCTATTCTTGTTTTTAATTCTACTCTACTGTTATTATTCTATTATTCATTATTCATTATACATTACTCATCTGTTCTATTCCATATTCCATTCTATTATATTCTATTCTATTCCTAGCGACCGACGCATACATACGACGGTCACGGCGTCCCCGAGGGTGTGTGTGTGTGTTCCCCCCCCCCGATTCCCTTGTGCGACCTTCCCACGGCAGGGAACCTGCTGAACGACCGTAGGGAGGAAGGCCGTCGTAGGGAGGGTGAAACGCGCGGCAGAAAAGTCTCGTTTACCGACGTCGTTTTTCCTCGTACGTCGAGGACTCCGTGTCCTTGCGGAGTTGAAGCTCGGCCAGGCGGGGAGCGGAAGGGAGGGGATGGGGGGGGCGCATGGCGTTCAGGAGGGACCCTCCCCACCCCACAGGAGGGGGGGCTCCTCCTCCTCCTCCCCCTCCCCCCCCTCCTCGGAGGACCCTCACCCGGAATCGGAGCTCTGCAGATTCTTGACCGAATGGACGTAACACGGGAACACCTTCCGTTTGTGCATCTTCGTCAGATCTGGGGGAGACGTAGAGGGGGAGAAAAAAGATGGTGGCTCAGCTGGGCAAGTCTGGGGGGGTTACGCATTCTGCCCCCCCCAGGGGTCCCCCCACATTTCAGCCTCAAAAAGGGGAGCCCCATTTGCGGCGTAGTTGAGGAGGGCGGCACACGCGTGACCCCTGCCGAGAGAGGATGCTGCTTGGCGTCGCCGTTCAGGAGCTGTCAGGGGTGGGAGGCCCTTCACAAACACACAAACACACCTACACACACACACACACGCACGCACAACGGCCTGTTTCCATTCGCGGAAGAGTTGGGGTGCTTTGCAACATCTGGACGCTTCAAAGTCAAAGGTCCTCAACTTTTCCCGCGCTGCAGACTGGTGGCGGCAGACGCGGGGGGCGAGAGCGGAGGGTTTCGTGTGTGTGTGCCACTGGCACAAACACAACTCCACGGGCTGGCACGTGTGGACCGGTGGCGGTGGCACGTGCCACTTGCATGAATACACCTCCACACACTCGTAGGTGTGGACCAGGAACTGTGGAGAGGGGGGGCGGAGAGGGGAGGGTTTTGTGTGTGCGCCACTTGCACAAACACATCTCCACACACTTGTACATGCGGACCGGGAACAGCAGAGAGAGAGGAGTGCAGATGGTTTTGTGTGCGCGTGCCACTTGCACAAGTTCCGTTCCGCGTGTTTGCCTGTGCGGACCAGCACCGGCGGGGGAGAGGGGACGGTTTTGTGTGTGTGTGTGTGTGTCATTTGCGCAAATACGACACCGTGCCCTCACATGGGCGGACCGGCAGCGGTGGAGTGGGCAGGGGAGAGGGGAGGGTTTTGTGTGTGCGCCATTTGCACAAATACATCACACACTCGTATGTGTGGACCAGGAATGGCGGAGGGGGGAGGAAAGGGGACGGTTTTGTGTGAGCGCCACTTGCACAAATAAATCACACACTCAAATGTGTGGGCCAGGAACAACGGAGCGGGGTGGAAAGGGGACAGTTTTGTGTGTGTGCCACGTGCAGAAATACATCACACACTCGTATGTGTGGACCAGGAATGGCGGAGGGGGGAGGAAGGGGACGGTTTTGTGTGTGCGCCACTTGCACAAATACATCACACACTCGTATGTGTGGACCAGGAATGGCAGAGAGGGGGAGGAAAGGGGAGGGTTTTGTGTGTGCGCCACTTGCACAAATACATCACACACTCGTATGTGTGGACCAGGAACGGCGGAGAGGGGGGAGGAAAGGGGACAGTTTTGTGTGTGCGCCACTTGCACAAATACATCACACACTCGTTATGTGTGGATCAGGAATGGAGGAGTGGGGAGGAAAGGGGACGGTTTTCTGTATGCGCCACTTGCACAAATACGTCACACACTCGTATGTGTGGACCAGGAACGGTGGAGGGGGGAGGAAATGGGACAGTTTTGTGTGCGCACCACTTGCACAAATACATCACACACTCGCACATGTGGACCAGGAACGGCAGAGAGGGGGAGGAAAGGGGAGGGTTTTGTGTGTGTGCCACTGGCACAAATACATCACACACTCGGATGTGTGGACCAGCAACGGCAGAGAAGGGAGGCGTGGAGATCGTTTTTGTGCGTCCGCCAGTTGCACAAAGACACCTCCACACCCTTGCGGGTGTGGACCGGAAGCAGTAGAGTGGGGGGGGAGAGAGGGAGGGGAGTTGGGCGTGTGCCACTCGCACAACCACAACTCCGCGCACTGCTGCGTGCGTCAGACCGTTTTCCGATCGGTCGCGGACCGGTATGTGATTGTGGCCCACGGGTTGCGGACCCTTCAAGGCGTCGGCGGAAAAAAAACCAACCAGCCAATCGGAGGAGCCGAATCGGGTGGGTGAGGGAGGGAAGGAGGGGGATGCCCCGCCCACCTACCTGCCAGGAGGTCAAAGGTGACGCCGGGCTGGGCCAGGACCCGGTGCCGGTTGCGCTTCCAGCTGGAGCGGGCGGAGAACACCTCGGCGGAGACGCTGTCCGACGCGACGCAGAAGGTGTCGCACGCGGCCTGAATGGGGAGGAAAAAAAACAACATGGAGGTCAGGAGGGACCCGCCCCCACTCCGGATGGGATAACGGGCAGTCCTCGACTTACGACGGTTCATTGAGCGTCCGTCCCCGTGGGCCGACGGCCCTGGACCAAGCGACGGGCGGCGAGGGGAGTGGCCAAAGGCGGGCAAAACGCACTTGATCAAGGGGTCTCGCTTACCAGACGGAGGGGAGGGAGATCAGCTAGTCCAGCTCCCCTGCGCGGGAAGGAATCGCTGAGCCGGACGGGACCTCGGAGGTCATCTAGCCCAACCCCCCCCCGCTGGAGCAGAATAATAGACCTGGAAGGGAGCTCGGAGGTCCCCTAGCCCAACCCCCTGCTCAAGAAGGAGACCGTACAGAATCGCAGAGCGGGAAGGGACCTCGGAGGTCATCTAGCCCAACCCCCCGCTGGAGCAGAATAATAGACCTGGAAGGGAGCTCGGAGGTCATCTAGCCCAACCCCCATTTGAGCAGAATAATAGACCTGGAAGGGAGCTCGGAGGTCATCTAGCCCAACCCCCCGCTTGAGTAGAATAATAGACCTGGAAGGGAGCTCGGAGGTCATCTAGCCCAACCCCCTGCTCAAGAAGGTGACTCGTACACAATCACAGAGCTGGAAGGGACCTCGGAGGTCATCTAGCCCAACCCCCATTTGAGCAGAATAATAGACTTGGAAGGGAGCTCGGAGGTCATCTAGCCCAACCCCCCGCTTGAGTAGAATAATAGACCTGGAAGGGAGCTCGGAGGTCATCTAGCCCAACCCCCTGCTCAAGAAGGTGACTCGTACACAATCACAGAGCTGGAAGGGACCTCGGAGGTCATCTAGCCCAACCCCCATTTGAGCAGAATAATAGACTTGGAAGGGAGCTCGGAGGTCATCTAGCCCAACCCCCTGCTCAAAGAAGGACACCTGTACAGAATCACAGAGCGGGACCTCGGGGGTCATCTAGCCCAACCCCCCCCAGCTCGAGCAGGAGACCCTTGTAGAATAACAGACTCACAGAGTTGGAAGGGATCTTGGAGGTCATCTACTCCAACCCCCTTCTCAAGCAGGAGACCCTCACAGACTAAGAGAGTTCAAAGTGGCCTCGGAGGTCATCTAGTCCAACCCCCAGCTCAAGCAGGAGACCTTTACAGAAAAAGAGCGTTTGAAATCACCCTGGAGGTCATCTAGTCCAACCCCAGCTCAAGCAGGAGATCCTCACAGAATAAGAGAGCTCAAAGGGGCCTCGGAGGTCATCTAGTCAAACCCCCTTCTCAAGCAGGAGCCCTTTACAGGAAAAGAGTGTTCGAAATCAACCCGGAGGTCATCTAGTCCAACCCCCTGCTCAAGAAGGAGACCCTTACAGAATCACAGAGTGGGAAGGGAGATCTAGTCCAACCCCGGCCCCCGCTTGAGCCGAAGACCGAGCGTCGGAAAGGTCAGCGAGTGAACCGTTGCAACTCGAGAACGGCCTGCGACTTAACGGCGGTCGCGGCATTCCCGGGCTCACGAAATCTCCCCCTTTTGCGACGGGCGAAGCAAAGAGGGGGGAGGGAGAGCTGTGTCGCTAAGGTCACAATTGCCGCGATCCGCGGCGAGAAAGGCCGTGGAACCGGGGGAGGGGGGCAGGAACTCATTTCGCCCAGGCCTCACTTAGCGACGGAACTCTCGGTCGTTACGTCGAGGACGGCCGGCACGACGTTCCCCGGCTGGCCACCGGGGGGCAGCGGCGTCATTGCAAAGGAGATGGGGAAAACCTTTGGCTGCTTCTGAGCAAGAGGGAAGGGGGGTGGGTGGGCCAGGGTGGGGGGGGGCGCCAGGGGAGGGCCTGATTCTGCCCCCCAGCCCCACCTTGAAGACGCTGGAGGCCCAGGTGCGGAAGGACTCCTCCTGCCCGCACAGCTCGTCGCCTTCGCCCAGCGGCAGGATCCGTTCGCCGCCCAGCTCCTCCAGCCGGGTGTCCACCGCGTGGGCGAAGGCGCAGAAGTGGGGGTACGCCCGGGACCCCAGACCGAAGACGGAGAACCTGGGGGAAGAAGAGGGGGGGGTCTCATGAGCAGCTTCTTCCCCTCCAGGCCTCGGCGGAAGCAGCGACAGGATGTTCTCTTCTATATTCTATTGTATTATTATTCTATTCTATTCTATTCTATTCCATATCCTGTTCCATTTCATATTTTATTCTGTTCTGTTCTGTTCCATATTCTTATTATTCTATTCTATTCTCTTTGATTCTTCTATTCGATATTCTATTCTATATTCTGTTCTCTTCTATATTCTATTCTTTTATTATATTCTATTATTATTCTAATCTATATTCTATTTTATTATTCTATTCTATTCTCTTCAATTCTATATTCTATTCTATCCTATCCTATCCTATCCTATTCCTTAATTCTACTCTACTCTACTTTACTCTACTCTACTCTATTCTATTTTATATTCTATTCTATTCTATTCTATTCTATTCTATTCTATTCTATTCTATTCTATTCTATTCTATTCTATTCTATTCTATTCTATTTTATATTCTATTCTATTCCATTCTATTATATATTCTATTCTATACATTCTATATTCTATTCTATTCTATTCTATTCTATTCTATTCTATTCTATTCTATTCTATTCTCCATTCTATATATTCTATATTCTATTATATTATATTATATTATATACATTCTATATTCTATTCTATTATATTTTATATTCTATTCTATTCTATACTCCATTCTATACATTCTATATTCTATTCTATTCTATTCTATATTGTATTCTATATTCTCTCTTCTATATTCTATCCTATCCTATCCTATCCTATCCTAATTCTACTCTACTCTACTCTGTTCTATTCTATTCTATTCTATTCTATTCTATTCTATTCTATTCTATTCTATTCTATTCTATTCTATTCTACAATGTTATTTCTATTCTATTAATTCTATATTCTATTCTACAATGCTATTTCTATTCTATGAATTCTCCATTCTGCCCCATTGCCTACCTGAGGGTGCCCAGGGCGCCCGCACTGTCCGTGTTGCTGGACTCTCTGCGCTTCTTCTTCCAGAAGGCCACCGAAGGGTCGGACTGAGAGATGCTGTTGAAGCGCATCTTGTAGCTCCTGAGGGAGGGAGGGAGGGATGGAGGGAGGGAGAGAGGGAAAGAGAGAGAGGAAGGGATGAAGAGGGAGGGAGGGAGAGAGGAAGGAAGGAAGGAAGGAAGGAAGGAAGGAAGGAAGGAAGGAAGGAAGGAAGGAAGGAAGGAAGGAAAAGTTTAATGCCATAAATATTGGCAGACGTAAGCCACGGGGACCCCAGTTCTTTGGGGGGTCCTCCATAACATTCTAGAAGTGGGAAGGGTCCTGAGTGCAAACAGTTTCATCAACGGGGCTGGGGCACAGCTTTAGATGCTTGGCGACCAGACGATTGCCAACATCTGGAGTAGCTTTCCAAAGACCCTTTGCCCTCGAGGTAAGTAAGGGGTAAGGCTCCACCTGAGGGGCAGCCCCAGATGTTTGAGAAAGCAAATTATGGGAACGGAGGCCTTCTAAGCCCCCTCCCTCGTCTCGTATCTCCCAAGGATGCTGGGCTTCCAATCCCCATAGACCCGGACGGGGGTCCACCACCTCTGGGGGAGGGGGCTCCGAGGCAACTGATCTTCCACAACGTGGGATGGGCTCTTCACGGGGTTCCCGGTCCAATCCCGCGCGGGCTGACTCCCGAGAACCCCCCACCGGCCAGGTTCCAGAAGATTCCGTCAAGCCCTCAAAAGTCCTGGACCTGTCATTCTCTCCCCTTGCCGCGTCCCCCGTAAGGTGTCTTCATTGGGACTTCCCGCCAGGCAGAGTGGTTCAAAAGGCTAACGCCATCCACAGCCCAGCTCTGAGGACCTTCCAGGTCCTCTAGAGGCCCAAGCTGAAGGACCTTCACTCAAGCTTCAGCAGCTGAAGCCACCGCTGATTCGGAGAAGATCTCAAGACTGAACTAGGAGAAGAAGGGGCAGAGACAACTCTCTTACTTCTGAAACTCCGGCTCCACCGCTCCCAGATACGGGCAGGACATCTCCATCAAGGCTTTGGAGAAGCTCTGGAAGGAGAAAGAAGCAACCTAGAACTAAGGAGAAACTTCCGGACAGCGACAACAATTAACAGGTGGAACATCTCCAGAAGTTGTGGTTGCTCCATCGCTGGAGGTTTTGAAGGAGAGACTGGACCACCATGTATCTGGAAGGGTATGGGGTCTCCTGCTTGAGCAGGGGGATCGGACGAGAAGATCTCCACGGTCCCTTCCAAAACCGTCATTCTATAATCCCAGATCAATTAACCGGTGGAACATCTCCAGAAATTGTAGGTGCTCCATCGCTGGAGCTTTTCCCAGAAGAACCCTGTAATAACCCAAAGCCGCCCGATCCGCCTGTCTCAACCCCGCGTGGACTTCAACTCCCAGAATTCCCCAGCCAGCCTCCCGATCCGCATTCCTCAACCTGGGCCACTCGGAAGACGGGTGGACTTCAACTCTCGCGTTGCTGAGGGGGATTCTGGGAGCCAAAAAGTCCGCACGTCGTCAAGTTGCCCAGGTTTGGGCCACGTTTGTCTAGAGGTGGTCCACCGGCTTCATCCCCCATTGATGTTGTTACCTCTCCGTTCTCCGGAGGGTCTCCGTTGCCGAAGGTGCTGGTGACCACCAGAACGAGGGTCTCATGCTCCAAGGACACCACGTCGTATTCATCGAGGCACATCACCTGTTGGGCGAGAGACGGAAACACGACGAGATGGAGATGCCAATGTTCTCCATCCTCACCACCACCACCCCAACTCTTGAGGGTATCTGCTGAAGGTTCGTAAGATGGTTAACGAGCACCGTTCTCCTTCCTTACGTCCTGCAGGACGTCAACAGTGAGATGTTCTCCTGGACTAGACAGAAGGAAGCCTACAGGTCTACTATGACCCAATCTGGAAGAATTGGGACTCCACCCCAGGACCCACACTTCAAACATGGATCAACCTGGAGTGTGTGGAATGGGGAAAGATGACGGTTTTGTGCACAAAACCGGGCGAGAGGGGCTGTGAGGCTCCACGTCAGTGGGGTCACAACTGCCTGTGATAATCGTGGCGACGTTCCTGTGACCTGGCCTGCCGATGCCCACGACACTTGTGGTGACGCTCGCGCAAGCAGGACCATGAACGCCTGCGACACGGCGACACTCACAGGACTGCGTCCAGGAACGCCCTCCAGGCTTGGGATGATCTGAGCGGTTGTGCGTGGGGGGGCCACGAGTCTATGGAACATCAGGGCAGTACTTGCACAACTGGGGCCGCAACGCCCGCGATGCTTGCGGTGGCACGTGGGGTAGTGGGGCGGCAGATACCCGCAATGCTTGGGTGTGGGGGCCGCCAATGCCCCCAACAGTTGTGGTGATGCTCACACGCGTGGGGCCGAAAACACCCACGAAACCCGTGGCGACGTTTGCACAAATGGAGCACAAACGCCCGCCACGCTCGCAGCGACACGAGCGCTCGTGTGGAGGGCCGTCAACGCCCGTGACGCTCATGGCGATGCTTGCACAAGGGGGTCTGTGTATGCACATGCACACATGTGCACCAGCCAGCCACTTATGTGGCCCGGTGGCCAATAGGCTGCGGATCGGTAGTGGGCTGTGGCCCGCAGGTTGGGGACCCCTTCTATGAATGTCCTCCTTGACCGACCAAACTTCCCACAGCCATGGATGTGCAAATCTTCTCTTTGTTTCTCCTACTCCTCCCCCCCTCTTGTCCTCCCCTTCTCCTTTCTCCTTCTCCTTCTTTCTCCTTCTTCTTTCTCCTTCTCCTTGTCCTTACTTCTTCTCCTTCTTTCTCCTCGTTTCTCCTCCCCTCTTGTCCTCCACTTCTTCTTTCTTCTTCTCCTTTTCATTCTCCTTCTCCTCATTTCTCCTCCTCCCCTCTTGACCTCCACTTCTTTCTCCTTCTCCTTTCTCCTCCTCCCCCCTTCTCTTTTCTCCTTCTCCTTCTCCTCATTTCTCCTCCTCCCCCTCTCCTCCTCCCCTTCTCCTTTCTCCTTCTTTCTCCTCCTTCTCCTTCTCCTTGCTTCTCCTTCTTCTTTCTCGTTTCTCCTCCCTTCTTGTCCTCCACTTCTCCTTTCTTCTTCTCCTTCTCCTTCCTTCTCCTTCTCCTTCTCCTCATTTCTCCTCCTCCTCCCCTCTTGTCCTCCACTTCTTTCTCCTTCTCCTTTCTCCTCCTTCTCCTTTCTCCTTCTCCTTCTCCTCGTTTCTCCTCCTCCTCCCCTTCTCCTTTCTCCTTCTTTCTCCTTCTCCTTACTTCTTCTCCTTCCTCATTTCTCCTCCCCTCTTCCTCCCCTTCTCCTTTCTCCTTCTTTCTCCTTCTTCTCACTTCTTCTCCTTCTTCTTTCTCATTTCTCCTCCCTTCTTGTCCTTCTTTCTTCTTCTCCTTCTCCTCATTTCTCCTCCTCCTCCTCCCCTCTTGTCCTCATTTCTCCTTCTTCTCCTTTCTCCTTCTCCTTCTTTCTCTTTCTCCTTTCTCCTTCTCGTCCCCTTCCTTCTTTCTCCTCTCCCCTCCTCCTCCCTCCCTTCTTTCCCAGCTTCTGGCCTACCCGCCTCTTTCTTGGGATATTCCCATTTCCCATCCCACCAGAGCAGGGGTTCTCCACCTGTGGGTCGGGACCCCATTTGGGGGTCGAACGACCATTTCACGGGGGTCGCCAAACAACGCAGTCCGCCATTTTTTTCCCCCTTTTCCTTAGCTGTGCTACTCCCTTTTATTCTATTGGCTTTTGAAAGCCAATAGAATGGACTCTCTTGAACAGAGTCTAATTCTATTGGCTTTCCAAAGCCAATAGGAATTGTCCAGGCTGTTTCTGCCCTGCTGAGCCCGCCAAAAGCCCCAGTCTGCAAACGGTGCAGTTGAGGAGTCCTCGATGTACGACCGGTTGAATGGTCCTCGACTTACAACCGGTTGGGGGTCGCGGCATTAGAAAGGTTGAGAACCACTGCACGGAGTCTTTCCCACGTCGTCTAAGGGTCGGTGGGTAGTTGGCGGACAGCCAAGCGCCTCCCACACCCACTACCAGAAACATAGCAGAACGTCTCCCAATTCCCCCCCGGGGTGTGCTGAAAACCCCCAGGTATTAAAAATAAATAAATACGGTGGTCTCCCTGAGCCCAGATCACATCTTCTCCACCCCCCCGGGACCCCAGACGGGCCTTCCCACCACATCTCCGGGAGCTTCTGGACCGCGGGTCTCGACCCGTTCTTCTCCCAACCCAGCCGAAGACCCGCGGAGGTCCTTCGGACGGCCGTCCCGGCGGGCTCACCTTGGGGGCGAAGGCCGACTGGAAGAGCTCCTTCAGGCTGAAGGCGTAGGCCTTGGACTTGCCCGTCTCCGAGGCGTAGAGGATGGTGGCCTTGACCCGTTGGGCCATCACGTGGCCCATCAGCTTGGCGGAGATCTTGACGGCGCTGGGAGGGAAAGGAGAGCCCGGTTGGGGAGGGGGGCACCCGTAGGGCCCATCCTTCCTCCTCCTCGGGATGGGGGTGAGGGGACCGACGACGGGGCAGCCCTCATTCTTCGCCTCCCGAGCCTCGGAGAACCCGGAGAAGGATGGACGGTCCTTACTTGGCGATCTCCTTGAAGGTCTTCTTCCGGGTGATGGTGGTCCCTTTGGGGACGTAGGACTTCCAGGGGTCGGCCTGCGGGGAGAGGGGGGTCCATTCAGGAGAGGGGGGAGGGCCCGCGAAGGTTGGAGACCCCCTCAACGCTCCAGCTGGGTGGAGACGGAGGGGCTGCTGCAGGCCGCCTCCGCGCGGGCCCTGGTGCCTGTCCCGGAGGTCCCGGCGTCTCAGGGCGTCCTCGGCTTTACGACGGAAGCGTTCGTCGAGGGGCCGTCGGAGGTTCCGGCCCCGGAGAAGTCTCCGGTGGGGGGTCCTCACACTGACAGCCGTCAGAGGTGTCCAGGGATCAAAATCTGGGTACTACGCCTCCTCTCTTGTCCTCCCATTCTCCTTTCTCCTTCTCCTTCTTTTTTCTTCTCCTTCTCTTCCTTCTTTCTCCTCCTCCTCTCCTCCTCCCCTGTCCGTTCTCCTTTCTCCTTCTCCTTCTTTCTCTTCTCCTTTGTTTTTCCCCCTCCCCTTCCCCTCTTGTCCTCCCCTTCTCATTTCTCCTTCTCCTTCTTTCTCCTTTCTCCTTCTTTCTTCTTCTTCTTCTCGTTCTCTTTCTTCTTTCTCCTCCCCCTCCTCCCCCTTCTTGTCCTCCCCTTCTCCATTCTCCTTCTCTTTTCTCTTCCTTTTTTCTCCTCCTCCTCCCCTCTTGTCCTCCCCTCCTCCTTTCTCCTTTTTCTCCTTTCTCTTTCTCCTTCTCCTCCTTATTTCTCCTCCTCCTCCCCTCTTGTCCTCCCCTCCTCCTTTCTCCTTTTTCTCCTTTCTCTTTCTCCTTCTCCTCCTTGTTTCTCCTCCTCCTCCTCCCCTCTTGTCCTCCCCTTCTCCTTTCTCCTTCTCTTTTCTCTTCCTTTTTTCTCCTCCTCCTCCCCTCTTGTCCTCCCCTCCTCCTTTCTCCTTTTTCTCCTTTCTCTTTCTCCTTCTCCTCCTTATTTCTCCTCCTCCTCCCCTCTTGTCCTCCCCTCCTCCTTTCTCCTTTTTCTCCTTTCTCTTTCTCCTTCTCCTCCTTATTTCTCCTCCTCCTCCCCTCTTGTCCTCCCCTTCTCCTTTCTCCTTCTCTTTTCTCCTTCCTTTTTTCTCCTCCTCCTCCCATCTGTTCTCCGTTCTCCTCCGTTCTTCTCCTCCTCCTTCTTTTTCCTTCTCCTTCTTTCTCCTTCTCCTTTGTTTCTCCCCCTCCCCTCTTGTCCTCCCCTTCTCCTTCTCCTTTTTTCTCTTTCTCCTTTCTCCTTCTTTCTTCTTCTCCTCGTTCTCTTTCTTCTTTCTCCTCCTCCTCCTCCCCTCTTGTCCTCCCCTTCTCCTTTCTCCTTTTTTCTCCTTTCTCCTTCTCCTTTTTTCTCCTCCTCCCCCCTCTTGTCCTCCCCTTCTCCTTTCTCCTTTTTCTCCTTTCTCCTTCTTTCTTCTCCTTCTCCTCCTCTTCCTTCTTTCTCCTCCTCCTCCCCCTCCCCTCTTGTCTGTTCTCCTTTCTCCTTCTCCGTTCTCCTCCTCCTCCTTGTTTCTCCTCCTTTTTTCTCCCCCTCCTTCGTTTCTCCCCCTCCCCTCTTGCCCTCCCCTTCTCCTTTCGCCTCCTTTCTCCTTCTTCTTCTTCTCCTTTCTCCTTCTCCTTCTTTCTTCTTCTTCTCCTTCTCTTCCTTCTTTCTCCTCCCCCTCCCCCTCCCCTCTTGTCTGTTCTCCTTTCTCCTTCTCCGTTCTCCTCCTCCTCCTTGTTTCTCCTCCTCCTTCTTTCTCCTTCTCCTTTGTTTCTCCCCTTCCCCTCTTGCCCTCCCCTTCTCCTTTCTCCTCCTTTCTCCTTCTTCTTCTTTCTCCTTCTCCTTTTTTCTTCTCCTCCTCCTTCTCTTCCTTCTTTCTTTCTCCTCCTCCTCCTCCCTTCCCCCTTTCCCAGCTTCTGGCCCACCCGCCTGTCCTCTTTCCTGGGACATTCCCCTTTTCCGTCCCACCAGAGTCTTTCCCACGTCCTCTAAGCATCAGGGGGGGAGGCATAGTCGGGGGAGCAGCCAAGTTTCCCCCCACACCTGTTATCGGAAAGATTCCTGAGCAGAACATCTCCCAAGGCCCCCCGGGTGTGCAGAAAATCCCCAGGCATTAATATATATGTATATATATGTGTTTTCTGTGGTTTTCGCGGGTGTTTATATGTAGGTCTTTGGTTATTCGGGTTTTCTCCCGCGTCAAATTGGAAGTAGTCTTGGCGACGTTTCGATGAAGTCCCGTTCGTCATCTTCAGGCTGGTGTTTTTGGCTTCGTGCTTCTCATTGCTCCTAGAAGCACGAAGCCGAAAACACCAGCCTGAAGATGACGAACGGGACTTCGTCGAAACGTCGCCAAGACTACTTCCAATTTGACGCGGGAGAAAACCCGAATGACCAAAGACCAAAGGTGCCTCCAAAAATGTTTAATTCGTTAACCGGGGGGGAGCCCAAACCAGGGGGGAGGGAGGAGATTAAGGAAGGGCGGCCCCCTCCCCATGAGTGGGAGGTGGGGTGGGAGGGGTGGGGGGAGGGAAGCCCACCTGGTATCGGAAGCCGGGGGACAGCTGGTAGTTGACCAGCTCCTGGTGGAAGACGGGGGTGAGGCTGCCGGAGATGGGGGGCACCAGCCAGATCCAGTCGGCCGGGCAGCCCCCCCGGATGCGCTGCTCGTTCTCCAGGTGCTTCATGAAGGACTCAGCCACAGCGTGGTGGTCCACGATGGTCACTTTGGCCAGCTGCGGAGACGGGCGGAGAAGGGCCAAGGGTCCCGTCAGACGACCCCCTCCCCCTCCATGGGAAAAGGAGAAGGAGACGACGGAGAGAAGGGAAGGGAAGGGAAGGGAGGAGGGAGGGAGGGAGGAAGGAAGGAAGGAAGGAGGAAGGGAGGAGAGGGAAGAGTAAGAAGAAAGGAGGAAGGGAGGAGAGAGAGAAAAGGAAGGAAGGAAGGAAGGATGGAAAAAAGAAAGAAAGAAAGAAAGAAAGAAGAAGGAAGGAAGGAGGAAGGAGGAAGGGAGGAGAGAGAGAAAAGTAAGGAGGGAAGAAAGGGAGGATGGAAGAAAGAAAGAAGGAAGGAAGAAAGGAAGGAGGAAGGGAGGAGAGAGAGAAGCAGAAGAAAGAAAGGAAGGAAGGATGGAAGAAAGAAAGAAAGAAAGAAAGAAGGAAGGAAGGAAGGAAGGAAGGAAGAAGAGGAAGGAGGCAAGAAAGAGAGAGAAGAGGAAGGAAGGAAGGATGGAAGAAAGAAAAAGAAAGAAAGAAAGAGAGAGAGAGAGAGAAGAGGAAGGAAGGAAGAAGGAAGTAGAGAGAGGAAGGAAGGAAGGAAAGAAGAAGGAAGGGAGGGAGAGAAGAAAGAAAGAGAGAGAGAGAAGAAGGAGAGAAAAGGAAGGAAGGAGAGAAGAGGAAGGAAGAGGGGAGAGAAAGCAAAGAAGGAAGAAAGAAAGAGAGAAAGAAAGAAGAAGGAAGGAGAGAGAGAAAGGAAGGAAGAAAGAAAGGCAGAAAGAAAGAAGGAAGGAGAGAGAAAGGAAAGAAGGAAGGAAAGAAGGAAGAAAAAAGAAAGAAAGAGAAAGAAAGAAAGGGGAGGAAGGAAGAAAAGAAGAAAAAGAAGGGAGGGAGGAAGGGAGGAGAGAGAGAGAGAGAGAGAGAGTAGACTGTAGCTGGCTGGAGGTCCCGTGAAGAAGGTCCACTTTTGGGGGGGTGAATCTGGGTGGGAGACCCCAAGAGTTGTTAGTGTGGGTTGAGCTGGGGGAAGGGGGAGAAGGCAGGAGAGGAGGGGAGACCCCCCCCCCACACACACACCAGCACCGGCTTGTGTAGCCCCGTTGTCGCCAACAGCTCATTCCAGCGACCATTCATACGGTCCTCGACTTACGACAGCTCGTTTAGCGACCGCTCTCTTTGCAGCCTCCCCACAGTGGCGGGATCCAAACTGGGACGCCTGGCAATCGACTCGCGTTTACGATGGTCCTCTCTGTCCACCTTCCCGACGAGCCAAGTCGACGGGGAGGGTGGGGGTGAGAGATTCCACTGAACGGCCACGCGACTCGCTTAACGACCGCAGGGACTTTCGCTTAACGCCGGTGGGAAGGAAGCGGAGCCCAACTCCCGTGATATATGTCTCGCTCGGCGGAAGAAATGTGGGTGGGGTGTCGGTTGCGGTCGTGAGTCGAGGATTCTCTGTAGTGGCCACACACAGACACACACACACACACACACACACACACAAACACACACACCTGGAAGCTGTGCAGCACGGCCACGTTCATCTCCACCGCCGCCTTGTCTTTCCATAGGGAGAGGGTGGTCCCCGTGTCCAGCCCCATCTTCTCAGCCACCCCCTGCGAGAGACGGTTAGGGCGAAGGAGGAAAAGAAAATTGGGGGACCGTCCGGGATGGCCCGCAGCTCCTAAGCGGAGGATTTTGGGGGGGAGGATCTGTTGTGACCACCACCCCTTGCTGGGGAAGGATCCGCCATTTTCAGAGAGGGAGAGTGGCGGGCGTTGGGAGGGGCACCTGGATGCGCTTGTTTCATTTCATTTCATTTCATGCTGTAATTTAATTCTTCAACTTGATTCAATTTAATTCTATTTAATTTAATATTTAATTCTATTTAATTCTATTTCATTTAATTCCATTTCATTTAATTATTTGAGTTGATTTGATAATTTAATTTAATTCTATTTCATTCCATTTAATTTAATTATTTTATTTAATTATTTGAGTTGATTTGATAATTTAATTTAATTTAATTCTATTTAACTTAATTCTACTTAATTCTACTTAATTCTATCTAATTCTATTTAATTCTGTTTAATTCTATTTAATTTAATTTAATTCTATAATTCTATTTAATTTAATATTTAACTTAATTTAGTTTAATTTAATTTAATATTTAACTTAATTTATTTTCGTTTAGTTTAATTCAATTCTGTAATTTAATTCTTCAATTTGATTCAATTTAATTCTATTTAATTTAATATTTAATTCTATTTAATTCTATTTAATTTAATCATTTAATTTAATTATTTGATTTGATTTGTTAATTTAATTTAATTCTATTTCATTCTATTTAATTTAATTATTTTATTTAATTATTTGATTTGATTTGATAATTTAATAATTTAATTTAATTTAATTCTATTTAATTTAATTCTACTTAATTCTATTTAATTCTGCTTAATTTTATTGAATTTAATTTAATTCTATAATTCTATTTAATTTAATATTTAACTTAATTTAGTTTAGTTTACTTTAATTTAATATTTAACTTAATTTATTTTAGTTTATTTTAATTCAATTTAATTTAATTTAATTCTATTTAATTCAATTCTACTTAATTCTACTTAATTCTATTTAATTTAATTTAATTTATAGAGTTTCTTGCCTGAGCAGGGGGTTGGGCTAGATGACCTTCAAGGTCCCTTCCAACTTTATTATTATAATTTAATTTAATTTAATTCTATTTAATTTAATTCTATTTAATTCTACTTAATTCTATTTAATTTAATTTAATTTAAAGAGTTTCTTGCCTGAGCAGGGGGTTGGGTTAGATGACCTCCAAGGTCCCTTCTAACTTTATTATTATAATTTAATTTAATTTAATTTAATTTAAAATTTAATTTAATTTAATTTAATTTATATCCCACCTTTATTCTTTTGACAAAGAATGCGAGGTGGCCCACATCGCCAATAGAAGGTCTATTGGCGATGTGGGCCACCTTGCATTCTTCTTCCTCCTCCTATGTTCCCCACAAAAAACAACTCTGTGAGGTAGGCTGGGCCGAGAGAGAGAGAGAGAGAGAGAGAGAGAGAGAGAGAGAGAGAGACTACTAGGCCAAAGTCACCCAGCGGGCTTTCACACCGAAGGCAGGACTAGAACTCCCGGTCTCCCATTGATTGGCTCAGTGTCACCCGGCTGGTTTTCATTTCCTAATGCGGGACTAGAACTCACCATCTCCTGGGAATTGGCCCAACGTTACCCAGCCAGCTTTCAGGTCTAAGGCAGGACTAGAACTCACGGCGCCCTGGTGATTAGCCCAAAGTCACCCAGCGGCCGTCGTCAAATAGGGGCCAAACTAAACCAGCGTCTCCCTTAACGGCAGAAACATCGGGCTCCGTGGTCGTAATTCGGGGACTTCCTGTAGGGGCGGAGACTGTCTGGGCGGGGCGGGTCTCCTCCCCCTCCTCCTTCCCCTCTCTCTTTCCTCAGAATGGGCCCTCACCTGCAAGAGGTTGTAGCGGTGGGCGTCGCAAAAGTCCCGCATGCCGATCTCGCAGCCCACGTACCAGCCGCTGAAGGGGGCGGCTGGGAACTCTAGACCGCCAATTTCCAGCAGCATGTTGGCCACGGCCGGGAGGGCGTACCAGCGGAGTCCCAGCTCCTCAAACCACGGCAGTCTGGAGTAAACATGAGGGGGGGACAGCGGGTGAGGAAGAGCAGGGGGCCGGGCCTGATGGGTGGGGGAATCCCTGGAGACGTCCTTTGTGAGAGCCCCACGTGAGTGGCGGACAAGAGTTTTCGCCCCGCTGATATGGCCTCACTCCCATCGGGTGCCCTCGGCCGTCATGCTACGCTCTGCAACACGTCGGCTGCCAGCCTGCACCCAATGGGACTGGAGACCGTGTGAATACAGCTAGAGGGTGTTGGACAAGGGGGCCCGAGAGGTCCGCCTGTGTGCAGCATGGCTCTCATCCAAGGAAGCTGTCAATGGCGCCTCTCCGTCCTCTAGGTCACTTGGATGTCCTCGTTTTTCCCAGAAGTGGTTTCACTTCTTCGTCTGGGAGGCTTCCGCAGCTCTAGGGAAGGGACCTTCGAGCAGGAGCAGATCCTCCGACGAGAAGCGAAACGTCTCCCGAGGAAAAATGGGAAAGTCCCGTTGCCTCATGGAAAAGGCACCTTTGGGACATCCTCTGAGACCGCCACCCCCCCGAGAGACCACTGTGCCCCCCTCTCCCCATCTGGGGCCCAGCTCAGCTCACGTGGGGTGGACGATGGGCACCTCCAGCACCAGCTCGGGAGGCAGAACGAACAGCTCGGGGTCCTCGTCTGGCGCTTGCAGGAGCAGCGGGAGGACATCGAAACGGCCATAGGGGGGACGCCAGCCATACTGCATGCAGAGCTGGGGAGGGGGGCGCAGAGAAAACAGCAAGTGGGGAACGGCCCCCCAACAGAATAGAATAGAATAGAATAGAATAGAATAGAATAACAGCATTGGAAGGTATCCTGGAGGTCATCTAGTCCAACCCCCTAGTCCAAGATGGAAGTCTTGGAACGGGCACTGAGAAGTGGGGTGAGGATGTCCCCATGTTCCACTACCCCTGGGTGGAGTTGGGCTGGAGGGTCCGAGCCCCTTCCGGGGGGGCTGGTGAGGGTCCGGCAGGAGCTTTCCTGAGAACCACACTCACTCAGGCACACAAGGGAGGATGGGATTTAAGGGCCTCCTGCTCAAGCAGGGGGTTGGACTAGATGACCTCCAGGGTCCCTTCCAACTCTGTTATTCTATGATTCTGCAAAGGTCTCCTGCTCGAGCAGGGGGTTGGACTAGATGACCTCTGAGGTCCCTTCCAACTATGTTATTCTATGATTCTGCGAGGGTCTCCTGCTCAAGCAGGGGGTTGGACTAAATGCCCTCTGAGGTCCCTTCCAACTCTGTCCTTCTATGATTCTGTAAGGGTCTCTTGCTCGAGCAAGGGGTTGGGCTAGATGACCTCCAGGGTCCCTTCCAGCTCTGTTATTCTATGCTCCTGTATGGCATCTCCTGCTCGAGCAGGGGGTTGGACTAGATGACCTCTGAGGTCCCTTCCAACTCTGGTATTCTATGATCCTGTATGGCATCTCCTGCTCGCGCCGAGGGGTGGACTAGATGACCTTCGAGGTCCCTTTCAGCTCTGTTATCCTGTGATTCTGTAAGGATAGCGTGTTCCGAGGAGGGGGCGGGACTAGATGATCTCCAAGGTCCCTTCCAGCTCTGTCGTTCGGTGATTCTGGAAGGGTCTCCTGCTCGAGCGGGGCGGCGGGGGGGGGGGTCAGACTAGATGACCTCCGAGCTCCCTTCCCCCTCCGCCTTCCGTCTCCTGCTCACCTCGGTGATCTCCATGCTGGCCGGGTCTCCCAGGACGCCGCCGTCGGGCTGCGGGTAGCCGGCGTAGCGGATCAGCTGCTGATTCCAGATGCGGAAGTCGCCCCGTCCCGCCAGCCGCGGCGGGAAGACAGTGATGGCCGACCTGGCGGGAGGAAGCGAGGGGGTGGGGGGAAAAACCTCAGGTTTGGCCAGGGGAACCTCCTGCCACCGCCCGCTGCCACTGCCCGCCAGGGCTTACCGTAGATTCCCCCGGTTGGTTGCGTAGTTGATGTGGTTACACAGGAAGGTGAACATGTCCTGGGCGGTGGTGATGTCCCGGGCGTCAAAGACCTGCAGGAAGGAGGGTCTAAGTGGCACCAGGGGTGCCCCTCTTTCGCCCGCCCTTCTTCGCTTGAGGAAGAGGACGAGGACTCCGAGCCTGACACACACACACACACACAAACACACACACACACACCCCGCCAACTGGAATAGGAGTGTCTTTCTAGGCCAGGATCTTCCCGCTGTCGAATTGGGTCCCGCCTGCACTTTGTGGGAGCCCAGCAAGGCTTCTGGGAAAGGAAGGGGAGGGTGCAAGAGGAGGAGGACCCTGAGCCTGGCACACACACACACACACACACACACACACACACACACACACACACAGCCCGGGCGTCAAAGACCTGCGGGAAGGAGGGTCTAAGTGGCAGCAGGGGTGCCCCTCTTTCGCCCGCCCTTCCTCGCTTGAGGAAGAGGGCGAGGACTCCGAGCCTGACACACACACACACACACACACACACACACACACCCCGCCAACTGGAATAGGAGTGTCTTTCTAGGCCAGGATCTTCCCGCCGTCGGATTGGGTCCCGTCTGCAGTTTGTGGGAGCCCAGCAAGGCTGCGGGGAAAGGAAGGAGAGGGTGCAAGAGGAGGAGGACCCTGAGCCTGGCACATGCACACACACACACACACACACACACACACACACACACACACACACAGCCCGGGCGTCAAAGACCTGCGGGAAGGAGGGTCTAAGTGGCAGCAGGGGTGCCCCTCTTTCGCCCGCCCTTCCTCGCTTGAGGAAGAGGGCGAGGACTCCGAGCCTGACACACACACACACACACACACACACACACACACACACAAACACACACCCCGCCAACTGGTTTATCGCCAGTGGTTTGGGTCCCGCCTGTGGGACGATTTGGATGCAGCCGCCCCCGACCGCACCTGCAACTTGTTCCACTGGATGCGTCCCAGGCAGCGCGGGGCGTTGCGCCAGGCGTGCTTGGCGCCGAAGACCAGCTCGGCCTCCAGCAGCTGGTAGGTGCCGGTGGCGGCAATCTGCTGCTCCACCTCCCGGAGGCGCTGGTGGTGGGCTTGCGACTCGGCCCTGGGGAGCAAAGAGAGGACCGGGGGGTTTTCCGTACGGCGCTTCCACATGTCCTCGGATCGAGGCGACCGCTGCCCGAGGTCGGGAGGCGGGGAGAGTGTCCGGCCGGCTGGGATTGGCTCCCCTTTCCCAGCTTCCAGGCTGACGCCAGCCCTGCCAGGCGGGCCGCCGGAGTCGAAGGACCCCTGCGCAGTGGCGGGGATGCCCAACCGGCACGAGAAAGCGGCAGAACCCTGGTAGTCGTTGACGTACGGCTAACAATTTGCGACCGCAAAGGCGCCCCTGAGCATGGAGCAAACATTGGGCAGCCAGTCACCCGGGCTGGGTCTGGGAATTTCTGGGATGGACTAGAGGACCTCTGAGGTCTCTTCCGACCTTACAATTGGGGTTGAATTCACGATGCCACACGAACCCCGGTAGTCCTTGACTTACGGCTAACAATTTGCGACTGCAAAGGAGCCCAAAGGATGGATCGTGAACATGGAGCAAACGTTGGTCAGCCAGTCACCCAGGGTGGCAGCCCGGATGGTGGCACCCCATTTACAGAGGGAGCACCCTGTCCTCTCTCACCACAGGGGGGCAGCCTGGATCCTGGCACCCCATTTACAGAGGGGGCACCATCCGGGCTGCCCCCTGTAGAGAGAGAGGACGGGGTGCCCCCTCTGTAAATGGGGTGCCAGGATCCAGGCTGCCCCCCTGCGGGGAGAGAGGACGGGGTGCCCCCTCTTTGAATGGGGTGCCACCATCCGGGCTGTAACCCTGCAGGGAGAGAGGATGGGGTGCCCCCTCTGTAAATGGGGTGCCAAGATCCGGGGTGCCCCCCTGTAGGGAGAGAGGACGGGGTGCCCCCTCTTTAAATGGGGTGCCACCATCCAGGCTGTAACCCTGTAGGGAGAGAGGACGGGGTGCCCCCTCTGTAAATGGGGTGCCAGAATCCAGGCTGCCCCCCTGTGGGGAGAGAGGACGGGGTGCCCCTTCTGTAAATGGGGTGCCAGGATCCAGGCTGCCCCCCTGTGGGGAGAGAGGACGGGGTGCCCCCTCTTTAAATGGGGTGCCACCATCCGGGCTGTAACCCTGTAGGGAGAGAGGACGGGATGCCCCCTCTGTAAATGGGGTGCCAGGATCCAGGCTGCCCCCCTGTGGGGAGAGAGGACGGGGTGCCCCCTCTGTAAATGGGGTGCCAGCATCCAGGCTGCCCCCCTGTGGGGAGAGAGGACGGGGTGCCCCCTCTGTAAATGGGGTGCCAGGACCCAGGTTGCCCCCCTGTAGGGAGAGAGGACGGGGCGCCCCCTCTGTAAATGGGGTGCCACCATCCAGGCTGCCCCCCTGTAGGGAGAGAGTATGGGGTGCCCCTACTGTAAATGGGGTGCCAGGAACCGGGCTGCCCCCCTGTAGAGAGAGAGGATGGGGTGCCCCCTCTGTAAATGGGGTGCCACCATCCGGGCTGTAACCCTGTAGGGAGAGAGGATGGGGCGCCCCCTCTGTAAATGGGGTGCCAGAATCCAGGCTGCCCCACTGTAGGGAGAGAGGACGGGGTGCCCCCTCTTTAAATGGGGTGCCACCATCCGGGCTGTAACCCTGTAGGGAGAGAGGACGGGGCGCCCCCTCTGTAAATGGGGTGCCAGAATCCAGGCTGCCCCACTGTAGGGAGAGAGTAAGGGGTGCCGCCTCTGTAAATGGGGTGCCACAATCCAGGCTGCCCCCCTGTAGGGAGAGAGAGGACGGGGTGCCCCCTGCGCAAACGGGGCGCCCCTTTCGGAGTGGGGGGGGTTCCGGTGGACTTACCGCCTCATGGAGCTGTAGTAGAGGCCGAGGAAGTCCCTGGCCAGACTCAGCAGCTCTTCCTCCGATCGGGCACCGTCGCAGCCGGCTAGCATCTGTTTGGGCAGCATGGCGGCGCCCAGGCACCGTTTCCCATTGCAGGGCACCTCCTGGAAGGGGCAGGCGGGCATCGTGGGGGGGGCAGAATTGGGAGGGGGGGTGCCCCATTGGCTCCTCCCCCCAACCCCCTAGGCTCCTCCCTCCCTCCCTCCCTGCCTGCCCCCACTGCCGCGGGCACTCTCACCTGCCTGGCCTGGGCGCTGAGGGTGTCGTACAGGATGGTGCCCGTCTGCCAGTTCTTGAGGCGGGAATAGCGGGGAGGGTCCGCCGGGCGCTCGGCTGGCAAGCTGGGGGGGGGCAGAGAGAGAGAGGGAGGGAGATGAGTTGGGGGGGCGGGCGAGACCCCCTCCCCGCGTCCGGAGACCGGCCCCCTGGCATCCCTGGCGATGCCCCAACCTCCTTCCCGAATCATGAAAAAGAGCCGAGAGCGACCTCGGAGGTCATCCAGTCTGACCCCCGACTCAAGCAGAACCCCCTTCCAGAGTCATAGCATAAGGGAGTGGGAAGGGTCCTTCCCCCCCGGAGGTCATCTAGTCTGACCCCCTGCTCGAGCAGGAGACCCTTCCAGAAGCATAGGAGGACAGCACGGGAAGGGAGCTCGGCGGTCATCTAGTCCGACCCCCCCCCCGCCGCCGCTCGAGCAGGAGACCCTTCAGTGGTGGACAGGGGGAAGGGACCTGGGAGGTCATCTGCTCTGGCTCCTGACTCGATGCAGGAGACCCTTCCAGAGTCGTAGAATAAGGGAGTTGGAAGGGGATCCCTGGAGGTCATCTAGTCTGACCCCCTGCTCGAGCGGGAGACCCTTCCAGAATCATAGAAGGACAGAGCTGGAAGGGTCCTCGGAGGTCATCTAGTCTGACCCCCCTGTTCGAGCAGGACATCCTTCATAGATTGACAGTGGGAAGGGACCTGGGAGGTCATCTACTCTGACCCCTGACTCGATGCAGGAGACCCTTCCAGAGTCATAGAATAAGGAAGGGGATCCCCGGAGGTCATCTAATCTGACCCCCTGCTCAAGCGGGAGACCCTTCCAGAATCATAGAAGTACAGAGCTGGAAGGGTCCTTGGAGGTCATCTAGTCTGACTCCCTGCTCGAGGGGGAGACCCTTATGGAATCACAGAATGACAGAGCTGCAAGGGTCCTTGGAGGTCATCTAGTCTGACCCCCTGCTCGAGGGAGAGACCCTTACGGAATCACAGAATGACAGAGCTAGAGGTGACCTCGGAGGTCATCTACTCTGACCCCTGACTCGAGCAGGAGACCCTTCCAGAATCATAGAAGGATAGAGTTGGAAGACCTCAGAGGGCATCTAGTCTGACCCCTGCTTGAGCAGGAGACCCTTACATTGTCATAGAATAACAGAGTGGAAAGGGGCCTTAGAGGGCATCTAGTCCGACCCCCTGCTCAAGCGGGAGACCCTTCCAGAATCATAGATTGACAGAGCTGGAAGGGACCTCGGAGGTCATCTAGTCTGACCCCATGCTCCAGCAGGAGACCCTTCCAGAATCATAGACTAAAAGAGCTGGAGGAGTTCAGAGGTCATCTAGTCCAACCCACTGCTCGAGCGGGAGACCCTTCCAGAATCATAGATTGACAGAGCTGGAAGGGACCTCGGAGGTCATCTAGTCCTACCCCACTGCTATGGAATCATGGATGCCGCCTTGAGAATGCCACTCCAGCCGCCTTAGATGATGGGCTGGCAAGCCCTGGGGCCGAGGAGCATGGGTGTTTCCTGCCCATCCTGCTGGGAAGAGGGGGGGGAGACTGGGGACCCTTCCCCACTGCAGCTGGCACTCCTGGGCACGGCTGAATGCGCCATCTCCTCCCTTGCGCGCACACACAGACACACAAAACACACAACACACAAACCCAACATCGCTGCCAGCCGGGCCAGGAAGTCTTCGTTGGGGTCCACACTAAAAGAGCCCCTGGCAGGAGAAAGGGAGGCAGAATTGGGGGTCCCTCCCACTGGGGTCCCCCCTGGCTTAGACACAGCGAGGGCTCCCCCCCAACCGAGGGGGGCTGCGGCCCCTCCCTCTCCAGAGGGCCAGGTTGGGGGAGACCGGCCTGTTTATATTCATAGCCTGGAGACCCCTCCCCAGCTGGGAAACGGGGGGGGGAGGTCAGCAGCAACGGAAGGGGGTACCCCATAAGCACAGAGGGGGCCCCCCTTGCTCCTGGGCTGTCAAAGGCCCCTTCAAAGTTGTGTGTGTGTATGTGTGTGGGGGGGTGATTGCCGATCGTGTCTGAGCCCCCCCCCCGACCGGCTGGGGTTCAAGTGTGGCTGCTCTTTTGTGGGTTGGGACCCCCTTCTCCGCTCCCCCTCCCCTTGGGTTTAAAGATCCCCCCTCCACCCCTCTGGGTTCAAAGACCCCTCCCCTGTGGGTTTAAAGCCCCCTCCTCCTGGATTTAAAGCCCCCTTCCCCTGGGTTTGAAGCACCCCCCCATGGGTTTAAAGCTCCCTCCCCATGGGTTTGAAGCCCCTATGGGTTTGAAGCCCCCTCCCCCTGGATTTAAAGCCCCCTCCCCATGGGTTTGAAGCCCCCATGGGTTTGAAGCCCCCTCCCCCTGGATTTAAAGCCCCCTCCCCATGGGTTTGAAGCCCCCTCTCCCTGGATTTAAAGCCCCCTCCCCATGGGTTTGAAGCCCCCTCCCCCATGGGTTTAAAGCCCCCTCCCTGTGGATTTAAAGTCCCCTCCCCATGGGTTTGAAGCCCCCCATGGATTTAAAGCTCCCTCCCCCTGGATTTAAAGCCCCCTCCCCATGGGTTTAAAGCCCCCTCCCCATGGGTTTAAAGCCCCCTCCCCATGGGTTTGAAGCCCCCTCCCCATAGATTTAAAGCTCCCTCCCCATGGGTTTGAAGCCCCCTCTCCATGGATTTAAAGCCCCCTCCCCATGGGTTTGAAGCCCCCCCATGGGTTTGAAGCCCCCTCCCCCTGGATTTGAGGCCTCCTCCCCATGGGTTCGAAGCCCCCCCCCACAAAGCACCTCTATGGGGCAGGGGTCTTGGGAGGGGGTCAACCCCTGTGGAGGGAGACCCCACCACAGAAATGGGAGGGGCAGGGCCCTTGCTCCAGAAAAGCCCCAATCCTCCCTGGGGTGGATTTGGGGGGGGGGGTCCCGAGATTTTGGATAACCAGCCCCCCATGCCGCCCCCTCCCTTGGTTTCCTGACCTGCTCTTGCTGACGGGGTCCCCCTCCTCCGAGGTGGAGGGCCGGTGGCGGGAGCAGAGGGTCCGCCCGCAGGCGTGGGGCTGCGCGGGACCCCCGGGCCAGTTGCCCATGGCTCTGCGCTCTACGGCCAAGTCTTCAGCAATGCCAGGAAATCCTGCTTTTTTTTTTTTCTTCCTCCAGCAAGGAAAGACATGGGGGGGGGCTGGGAGCAGGGGGGGAGGAAGAGGAGGAGGCGGATCCAATCCTGCCCACCGTCAGAGGACACCCACTTGGGCCCCATAGGGTGCCCGGGCAACCCTGAGGGCATCTAGACGGGTCCCTGCCTCTTTTCCCAAAGGAGGGGTCGGGAGAGGTCTCTGGGAATCGCCCCCCCTCCACGTCTGGGAAGACTGGCTGGGTTGGAAACACGGTGGGGAGGGGTCTCCCCAACCGCTCCGTGCCCCCCCCAGGCCTCAAGGGTGGAAAGGATCTTGCTTGGCGTGAAGTGGGGGGGGGTCTTTGGCGTGCCACGAATTCCCCCCCCCCCAGTGTATCACGAACAAGGCCGAGGCTTCAAGGAGGCTTGACCTGTGTTGGGGAAGGGGGGCTGCGTTCACCTCTCCCCCCCCCAGTTCCTGAGAGAGCCCTATTGATGTAAGGCCTCCTGCTCAAGCAGACTAGATGACCTCTGAGGTCCCTGCCAACTCTGTCATTCTGTAATTCTGTAAGGGTCTCCTGCTTGAGCAGGGGGTCAGACTAGATGACCTCCACCCAGCTCTGTCATTCTATGATTCTGTAAGGGTCTCCTGTTTGAGCAGGGGGTTGGACTAGATGACCTCCGAGGTCCCTTCCAACTCTGTCATTCTGTAAGGGTCTCCTGCATGAGCTGAGGGGGTTGCACTAGATGACCTCCAGGGTCCCTTCCAGCTCTGTCATTCCGTAAGTCTGAAAGAATGTTCTACTTGAGAAGGGGGTTGGACTAGATGACCACCAAGCTCCCTTCCAACTCTGTCCTTCTATGATTCTGTCTCCTGCTCAAGCAGGGGGTTGGACTAGATGATCTCTAGCGTCCCTTCTAGCTCTGTGATTCTGTAAGTCTGAAAGAATCTTCTACTTGAGCAGGGGGTTGCACTAGATGACCTCTGAGGTCCCTTCCAACTCTGTCATTCTGTAATTCTGTAAGGGTCTCCTGCTTGAGCAGGGGGTCAGACTAGATGACCTCCACCCAGCTCTGTCATTCTATGATTCTGTAAGGGTCTCCTGCTTGGAGCAGGGGGTCAGACTGGATGACCTCCGAGGTCTGTGCCCACCCTGTCATTCTATGATTCTGTAAGGGTCACCTGCTTGAGCAGGGGGTCGGACTAGATGACCTCCAATATCCCTTCCAGCTCTGTCATTGTATGATTCTGTAAGGGTCTCCTGCTCGAGCTGGCGGGTTGGACTAGATGACCTCCGATGTCCCCTCCAGCTCTATTCTGTTCGTGTTTCTTGGCCCCAAGGCCTGCCAGCCCATCCTCCGAAGGTGGCTGGGGTGGCATTCTCCTTGCGGGCGACCCTTCAGCCCGCGTCCTCGAACGTACGACCGTTTATTTCGCTGACCGTTCCCGCTTACGACCGTTGAAGGATTCGGCTTCCTATTTACGACGGCTGCAGCCCTCCCGGCTTCCCGCCACCTACCGACCAACGGGAAGCCGGATCCGTTGAATGACTGCGCGACTCGCTTGGAACAACCGCAAGGATTCTCCTTTCAATCCTACGGCAGCTGGGGGGGGGAGGGCTCGCACGACGGGGCCGGGCGGCCCCCGAGGAAATGTCTCGCTTAGTGACGGGAAAGCCGAGTCGTAAGTTGAGGACTCCCTGGAGGGAGGCCGTGGGGCTGTTCCGTAAAGGTGGGAACTCCGGCGGTTTCCTTCACCGTTGTGGGTTTTGCTACGACGTTGCGGTTTCTTGGAACAGGAGTACGCAAAAACTGGCGGCCTTTTTGTGAGTAGATCTTGTTTACACACACACACACACACACACACACCAGATTTGGAGGGGGGGCCTCCAGCTGGTGGAGATCCCCATCTGTCTCCCCCCCTTGGGGATCCCTCCCCTCTCCAGCCCCCCCCCACCTCAGCCTTGGCAGGGTGTCGGCTCAGCTCAGCCGAGCTGAGTTGTCGTTCCAGGGTGTCGAAGTCGGAAAAGCCACACCTCGCCTTTCCTTCCTCCGTCTTGGTGGTGTCCTGGCTGGAGACACGTGTGCGTTGCGCACCAAAACACAAAGAGAGTTTCACACACACTTCCCCCCCCCCCAGGGGACCGTCACTCTGCTATAGAACCAATTCCTTATGTGACATCCTTATGGGACACATATGCATTGCCCACAACACAAAGACACAGGCAGTTTCACACACGCACGCACACACACTTCGCCCCCCCAGGGAACCGTCACTCTGCTATAGAACCAATTCCTTAAGGGACGTCCTTATGGGACACCTGTGGGTTGCGCACCACAACACAAAGATACAAAAACAGTTTCACACACACACACACACACACACACACACACACACACACACACACACACACTTCGCCCCCCCAGGGGACCAACACTCTGCTATAGAACCAATTCCTTATGTGACATCCTTATGGGACACATGTGCATTGCCCACAACACAAAGACACAGGCAGTTTCACACACGCACGCACACACACTTCGCCCCCCCCCCCCAGGGGACCGTCACTCTGCTATAGAACCAATTCCTTAAGGGACGTCCTTATGGGACACCTGTGCGTTGCCCACCACAACACAAAGGCACAAAGGCAGTTTCTCTCTCTCTCTCTCTCTCTCTCTCTCACACACACACACACACACACACACACACACACACACACACACACTTGCCCCCCCCAGGGGACCGTCACTCTGCTATAGAACCAATTCCTTAAGGGATATCCTTATGGGACACGCGAGCTTTGCCCATCACAACACAAACGCACAAAGGCAGTTTCTGACACACACACACACACACACTTGCCCCCCCAGGGGCCATCACTCTGCTATAAAACCAATTCCTTATGGGACACGCGTGCGTTGCCCACAACACAAAGGCACAAAGGCAGTTTCTGACACACACACACACAAACACACACACACACACACACACATACTTCCCCCCCCCCAGGGGACCGTCACTCTGCTATAGAACCAATTCCTTAGGGGACGTCCTTATGGGATACATGTGCATTGCCCACCATAACACAAAGACAAAGGCAGTTTCACACACGCACACACACACCAGTTTCACTCACACACACACACACATACACACAACCTTGCCCCCCCAGGGGACCGTCAGTCTGTTACGCAACCAATTCCTTATGGGATGTCCAGCTCTGCGATTCCGTAAGTCTGAAAGAATTTTCCACTTGAGCAGAGGGCAGGGGGTTGGACTAGATGACCTCCGAGGTCCCTTCCAGCTCTGCGATTCCGTAAGTCTGAAAGAATCTTCCACTTGAGCAGGGGGTTGGATTAGATGACCTCCGAGGTCTCTTCCAGCTCTGTGATTCTGTAAGTCTGAAAAAATCTTCCACCTGAGCAGGGGGTTGGACTAGATGACCTCCAGGATCCTTTCCAGCTCTGAAATTCCGTAAGTCTTAAAAAATCTTCCACTTGAGCAGGGGGTTGGACTAGATGACCGCCAGGTCCCTTCCACCTCTGTGATTCCGTAAATCTGAAAGAATCTTCTACTTGAGCAGGGGGTTGGACTAGATGACCTCCGAGGTCCCTTCCACCTCTGTGATTCCGTAATTCTGAAAGAATCTTCTACTTGAGCAGAGGGTTGGACTAGATGACCTCCAGGGTCCCTTCCAACTCTTTGATTCTGTAAATCTGTAAGGGTCTGCTGCTTGAGCAGGGGGTTGGACTGGATGACGTCCGAGGTCCCTTCTAGCTCTGTGATTCTGTAATACTGAATCTTCTACTTGAGCCGGGGTTGGACTAGATGACCTCCGAAGTCCCTTCCAGCTCTGTGATTCCATCAGTGTGAAAGAATCTTCCACTTGAGCAGGGAGTTGGACTAGATGACCTCCGAGGTCCCTTCTGACTCTGTGATTCTGTAAATCTGTAAGGGTCTGCTGCTTGAGCAGGGAGTTGGACTAGATGACCTCTCAGGTCCCTTCCAGTTCTGTCATGCCGTAAGTCTGAAAAAATCTTCTACTTGAGCAGGGGGTTGGACTAGATGACCTCCAGGGTCCCTTCCGACTCTGTGATTCTGTAAATCTGTAAGCATCTCCTGCTCAGCAGGGGGTTGGACTGGATGGCCTCCGAGGTCCCTTCCAGCTCTGTGATTCTGTAAGTCGGAAAGAATCTCCTGCTTGAGTGGGGGGTTGGACTAGATGACCTCCGGGGTCCCTTCCAGCTCTGTCCTTCTATGATTCTGTCCCCTGCTCGAGCAGGGGCTTGGACTAGATGACCTCCAGGGTCCCTTCCGACTCTGTGATTCTGTAAATCTGTAAGGGTCTGCTGCTTGAGCAGGGGGTTGGACTAGATGACCTCCGAGGTCCCTTCCAACTCTTTGATTCTGTAAATCTGTAAGGGTCTGCTGCTTGAGCAGGGGGTTGGACTAGATGACCTCCGAGGTCCCTTCCGAATCTGTCCTGTGATTCTGTGAAGGCCCCCGTGAATCAGTCTCTCCCGCTGTCCATCCGTTTGGGAGTGATATGCGACAGGAAGCCAGCAGCCCCCGTTAGTGACCTCAATGTCAGGAGAGGAAGGGTGACCCCCTTGTGTGATTCACACTCCCCCCCCCCCACACACACACGAGTTGTTGGAACACAATTGTGTTCTTGAAGGAAAGGCAGGTGGGAGAAAAAGGGTGGGACCCCTCCGTTTTTTTCCGGAAGAGCTGCCAAGTCTCTCCTTCCCCACGAACGAACTCTCTCGACAGGAAGGGCCTACGAGCACACACACACACACACACACACACACACACACAAACACACAACTCTGAGTGAGAATTGTCCAGCGTTTCCCCCAAGTGTGAGGAGACCCACAACTAGGAAAGAGGGGAGAGGGGATTCGGGGAGGGGGTCCTGCACGGGGAAGCACCAAGCAAAGGTTGGGCTGCTCTGAGGATGGAGGGGTGGACTAGATGACCTC